TTCCTCCATCCTCGCCTTTTCTGCTCCTGGTCTATTGCCCTTGCCACAAGATCCTCCAGAGGCAGCTGGTGTCGCGCTACCCAGCAAAGCTTCTAAGGGAAAACGACCTGCCGACTCTGAAGCCCGACGTCCATCTCAAGATAGACCAAGCAAAATAGCCGGTGCACGTGGAAACAGTCAAGCAGGGCCCTCCCTTTCACTACCTCGGAAAGATTCAGACAGTCGATCTGAGAGTGGTGCAGAGTCTACCTCGCATCATCAGATCTGGTATCCCCCGCAGGCTGCCTACGCGGATGAAGATCCAGAAGAAGAAGCTCAGGCGAATCTGACCATCAAGCCATCAGTACAGGCTTCTGAGCCGCCCAAGGATGCCAGTGCCACACCCAACGAGGCTCAGCGCCTAATAGAGCAGCAGCAGCTCGACGAATGGAGGCAGTATCCCCCATTCCCTTCTGCATATCCGCCAACGCCGATAACGACAACGGCGAGGCTCATCCCAAGCTCGATGGCTTTACCGTCCTCGCTGTACCCGCCAATCGAAGAAGAGATGGCTCAGCAGGATTTTCGCCAGTCGCTCCTGCCACAGCGTGAACCCTTGAATCCCACTCACGCGCGTGACTCGAGCGACAGAGACACCACCAACTTCGGGATTTACCACTATCTTGCCAACCAGCAACTCGCCAAGGACACGGACGACAGCATATCGACGTCAGACGACTATGAAGATGAGGACGAGGACGCGTTCAACGTGACACTGAGGACGCCCCTACCTCCGCAGGGCTCGGTGCGGTCACAGATACACTCAAGACGCTTCGTGTCGATGATATCGGCCTCGTCGGTTGCGAGTGTACCGAGCAGGTCGTCCGCACTGACCACGGTCGACTCTCTGAGGACGCAGACGTCGTCCGACTCTTCCTCAGCACCTGGGCCAGCCATGCTGTCCTCAACCGTCATAGGAAAGAAGCGGTCGTACCCCAAGACCAGGCCTCTAAGCACCAAGAACCGGGTACGCCAAGTCGAGGACGAAGGCTCTGAAGAGGAACCTGAGGACCTCTCCGATTCTGAGCGCCCAAAGACCACCTCCGCTCCGCGACTTCCTCCTCCTACGCGGAAGCTTACCTCAGACACCCTCCGGCCTCTGGCAAGCGCCAGCGATACCGCCGATGACGCCCTCGCTCCCTCCTCGGTAAGCAGCCGCTCCGACACCGAGGACCAGGCCGCCGAGGAACGAGAGGAACAAGAGGAGCACGACCCCGCTATACCACCTGAGGAGAAGAGGAGGAAGGTCGTGCGCTCGCAGCACCTTCGGGCGGTAACTGCGTCGAGGCCTGTTCGGCCCCGCGTAGCGAGGTATGCGTCGCCACCGCCCAAACAACCGTTGAAGCTCAGGCCGACAGAGTCATCGGCTGCGGCGAGGTCGAAGAGAGGTGCTGTGCGTTCGAAAGCTGGTTCGAGTGCAAATACGCAGGCGAAGACAAAGGAGAAGCCTATTAGTTCATCCGGTGCTTCGTCGCCAGCGTCTATGTCTGCAGGCGCCCCGCACGGCGCTTCCACCAAGCCAGCTTCTGGAACGACCAGCAGAAGAAAGTGAACTACACTCCTCGTCTTTTTTTAATCGATTTACGACTGCACGCCGACATTCTTCCTATCATATCATATTCATCGCCATTCCGTCCACAGCATCTGTATATATAGCCATATTCTTTGATTTATCATCGTCTCGTCCGCTGAGCAGCTCACTTTTCTTAGACTTCCCAGGTGTAACGGATTTTGGGCAAACAGCTACGCTGACTGAGAACCTTATACAAGAGTAAGAATACCTAATGCTTTGTGCCTCGGGCGGCATCGAATGCTCTTGGGGGATTCAAATCTGCGCACCTGTGCAGGGCTTTTCGTCGTTTAGGAAGCTAACTTCTCCGCCGAAGATTCTCGATGTTCCTTGGAGGTATTTTCAACCACTGCATCCATACTAGCATTGGCATTCTTTTTCTACCGTCGAGGAAAGCGTACTAATCAGCAGTCAACTCTACCCACTGAACCTGTGCCACTTTCTACTGATATTGTTGATGCGATGGGGAAGACTGGCCTGGCCCACAAGCTCTCGAATGCCGTTTTCCCTATGGTCATCTACCTCCAGCGTGCAGTTTCACAACTTATTGTACTTATCCGACACCCACAGTATACTTTTCTTCCGGTTACGTTCCCATTTGTCGAGCCTAAAGTCCTCCGATGTAAGTGACCTTCAAGCCCCTGTTTAGGGTTTTGTGTTTGCTGTGGCGTCGTTTATGTAAGCGTGAAGGTATCGCGGATATCGGGCCGGTGGTCATGTTAGTGTGGCGTGCTCTTCGATACTTGTCCTCTACATTCGCGTCTCAATGTGGTATACAAGGCACTAATTTGTTGACGTACAATTGTAGCATCGTCGGTGAGTGTCGTGGCCGGTATCCTCATTTCGCCAAGAGTCGTCCTTGTCGGACTAGGTTCACCGACGAAGCAATCCTTTCTGACACTCTCTACCAACTCTCCACTCAATTGTCATGGAAATGCTGCCTCCAGTGACATACGTGAGCCCTACGCTGTTCTTCCAGTGCCGACTCACGTAACGCGGCGCGTTCCCCGCCGATTCAGAGATGCTCGATCAGAGTGTAAGCTGTGCACTCAAACGCGAGAGTCGCGCGACAGATGGCCTTTTTCCTTGCATACCATGAGGATCCTTTACATTAGACAAGAAAAAACGTGGTAGAACGCAGGTTGGCGGCGATGCTCGTGGGCTTCCGTCTGTATTCAATACAAGACGACCGTGGAACGCGAAGCCCCACCCTAACACGTTGCTCGCGTCTACTTTGTTCGGTAGGTCGATAGTCGGGCAGTGTTTCGTACCTCATACATGGTATGATCTGCCTCTATGCTAAGGTACAGAGTTATTTTGAAAGGCACCGAACAATTATGCGCAGAGGAATTGGAACTTTGTCGGTCGATTGCTATGAGGGAAAGACAACTGTAATTTGCCTGACAGACAACAGCTCCATCCCAGTTGTCCATTCTTAGGTGTAGTGTATCAGCCCTTTATGTCGTGTTGTATTTTCAGCAAGAACAACTACAAGACGCGCTAGTGAAGATTTGCCATGGTAGCAGGTGTGAACGCCACAGTAGGGTACGGCACCAAATAGAACGCCGGAGGGTAGAAGATGACCGGACGGTAATTTCACAAGCGTCATAGAGAAGAATCGGCTTTAGGAAAGTAATCCTGAAGTGGATACGCCTCGTGTATTAAAATTGACTTTTACACCCTCCGACACCTCGTTGCCCATGCGCCGTACAATACTTCCAGGGCAGGCTTTACGGTGAGCAAGAATTTGATCGCCAACCCTGTTAACCGATTTCAGCCGACAGGTCCCCCATGCAGTGGCTATACGGTTCGACTCCCTTCTAGTTAGTTCTGGCGTCAATATTTAGCGTTGTGGGCGACATATACTCAGCTACGTTGACAAGAGGCTATGAGTCAAAGGTGTTCTCTTTAGAATCTGACTCGAGGACACCGATTGTCGTTGTAGATCCCAATCCAACTATAAAACGGACCAGATGCCTCGAGAGGGGATCCTAACATCTCGCTACCCTCCTTGGGCTCAGCGCCGTCCATCCTGGAAGTTCAACGCCCACCCCTTCTTCTCATCCACCTTCTGCGAGTCATCATGGGGCGATCGAAACGCACGAATAAACCATATTACCGAGCGCGCCACAAGACGTTGAACGATTTGTCAGAGGAGGTAAGCAATGGTCACATGTTTGGCGTCGTAAAGGTGCTGAAAATCCCGTTCTTTGAAGGATACTAAGCATAACTTTGAGGAACGCTTCAAGGGAGTAGGATCGCGTCGCCAAGCTTCGGAACCAGTGTACTTCGGCGTACTCGATGGTCGCGCCGACTCCTTCAAGACCGTAACCCAGGAGAACTACCGAAATATAGCGAAAGACCTGAAAGAAGACCCGCAGCAAGGTGGAGCGCAGAAAAATCTATCATCATCATCTCGGGTGAGCCAGCCAAGGGCTTCCCGACGGCGCGACGATGCCCGCAGAGCAACTATGCCGGCGCGCACGCGCAATTCGTCCCAAATTTACGACGTGGCCCAGGTTCAGCGATATCACTTTTCGCCCTCCTCGTCATCGGCGCCTTCATCCTTGTACGTAGGTATGCAGGAACACGGCCACATGCACAGCTTTTCCCAGACACAACCCTCCGTCGACGGCATCGGCCCGTTCAGAGAGCGAATCCCAGAAAGTTACGAACAGACCTACCAAGTGCATGACTATACGCAGCTCTCCGCTACTCCAATCCCTGTCGGCCAGAACGCTGACTGGGGTCAGTGGCAGGATGGCGTTGGCCAAATGCAAGTTCCTTCCATGCTTGGCTACTTAGCCGAGTCGGCGGAACTAAACGCCCACACATTTGGAATTTCCCAGGACTCGTTCGCACCATTTCCCAACAGCCAAAATACCGTCTACACCCCCGACTTCACCTACCTGTCTTCAAGTCATTCTATTGCGTCCTCTCCAATGTCTCTTGTAGACTCTCCCGCCTCACAATTGTTCCCTTTGCCCCCACACGAACCCGACGATTCGTCCCAAACCTTGTCCTTCGACTATGCCAACGCAATCTGGGCGGGTGTTGCGCCGGCAACTGGCTATGGGTACTAAAGGATACGACTAAAAATAGGCTTGATAGGTCCAAAGATGATACGGTGCTGACCCCGCATTCCATTTCCGATTTCAAAACTCTAACAGGACTTTGCTCTCATCGTCAGACGTCTTCCTTTTTCATCCTCTTTGCGCTTGGCTGTGTACACAAACAGAACATTTCATTTTGAACATCCCTCCCCCAACGAGAAGCCTTCCTAATGTTTGTGTTTCATGATATACACTATTGCTTCCGATTCAACTCCATTTGCATGTTTCTCCTTTTTGCCATTTGTCTTCAATTATCAGCATTCGCGATTTCGTTACTGTATCATACCCCACTCTGCCGTTGAACCCGTAGACCGACCATCATTTAATCATTTCCCATATGTAGCCAGTAGAATTCGCACCTTGTTTGTACCCATACTTATTTAAACAAAATTATTCACAGTCATTGGTGACGAGGCACCAGCACTCCTTGTATGATTAGGTTCAGCGTTTGTTAACCCCACTGCTCCTTCTCAGAGGGTGACGCCCTTAAGTGTTTCGACATACGCGTGTAGCCAGGGACGAGGCACAATTGCAATAGAGCATTTTGATGCAAATGAGGTGATGACGAGAAGTCCCGTCTCATACCCGCTGGCAAGTTGCTCCTTAAGTTAAGTGCTTCGAGGCTGGTCATATGTTCGATCCAGAGAACAGCCAACGGAAAGATACGAAGAGCCACCGCGATATGCCCTATCAGTTAATTTGGCGCTCATGATAAGCGCCGTGGCATACTCGGAAAAAGTTCCTTTTTAGGTCTCTTCCGATCATGGTCGTTTCGGCCGTTTGACAACCTCTCACCAAGCCAAAATGTAGGTTATGCGGACGGTTTTAAGAAAGGAAGTCAATTTTGACGGAATCATTCCAACTCCAGCACAGGTTTGCGGAACTCATTCCGACAGCAACTGAAAACATATCGACGTATGTTACTGAAGACCCGATGGACCGTTACAGGTCACCATCCACCTTTCGAGGATGCGCACGCTTAGGTGAAGGACAGCCGGCGGCAGCTCACTCATGTGTCTGGTCAAGACGACAATATGACAAGTGGATGGCAGGATAGCATTGAGGCGTATTGCACCTTAATGTCGCCAATGTGTGCCTGGGTCGTGGGTGACATGTGGTAGGCTGGGGAAATGGTCTCGTGGCAGCACAGTATGTACACGGGGCAGGGTTCTGAAACAGACAGCATCGATGGGAACCGGCATCCATAGAAGGTGGGACTTTCGCTAAGCACTCTAATTGAGTTTCTGCTATCGAGATAAAACATCGGGCATGCGCATTCTCTGAGTCTGATAAAAGCCATCTCATGTCCGAATTTAGCGGTCTGAGAAACGGAAGTGGAGCAAATTCCGATGTTTGTGTCTGCTGTTCAAACACAATTCCTGTATGTTAATGAAGAAGCCTTGATAGCGGGAACGGGAGCTGTCAAGGGTCGGTCACATTACGTTGGTAGTGATTGGCCCAGGAGAGCGGCGGATCGACGGAAGAGCGAGCACAGCCCAAAAGACGGTTGCTTGACAAAGCGTGGCGCACGTACAAACATGGCAATCTATGTTCAGCAAAACAGTGGCGCCCATGCTGGAAAACAATTACAAAAAAATCGTTTCAAAAATTAATTTAATGGGGATGTTTGGCAGAAACGCCAGGAAATAACGAACGTCAATTGCGCACGCAAGATCTGATGGAAGATGTGCAACACGGGCGCTTATTACATAAGTACATGATCAGTCATGCAGGAAAACGCATGTTGATTCTCTTCCACGACATGCGCCGCACGATCCAGCACCAGATTGATTTACTCGAACTGTGGGCGCTACATCATGTCATCCTCTTCCTCGAAACCAGGGTCGTTCGTCCTACTAAGAAAAGGCCTACACCTGGCAGCCTTGAGGAGAAGCTCGAAATGGCTACATGTATTAGTATCTGGTTATATAAGTATCCTCGTAGAATCCTCGTAGGGTGTCAGCTTCTCTAGATGCCTCCCCGGAAATCTGAAAGCCCTGCAAAGACGAAGTCTCAGAAACTTCGTCAACTTCCAAAGAAGCTTCGCGATATAAACTCAAACCCAGACCTCTGCGTGAGTATCATCCACTTCCTGGCTTTATGCTCTTGTACTCACATCTCATCAGAGTTTTATCAACGGCGTTCGACTTCAACCGACTGGCCGACGGCGACGAACGAGTTCAAGTCTCGCCACTTCCACTAGGTTAGGCCCTCCGTTCTCCCGTACTGAATTTATTCTCATCTTGCACCGATAGCCCGACTCCCCATCCGACGCAGTACCAGTATCAGTCGGAAGCCGCGAACGTATTGCCTCCCGAGTTCAACTACCGTTGCGCGAGGTCGTCCTCCGACTATGTACCGAATTCTGGATACTTCCCGGAAGGGCAGGCTAATGGTCTTTACGGAATCGACATACAGAGCAGCACGTATCACACTCCACAAGACATTCAGCGACCCTTTCCTATGCAAGCCAGCCAGCCTAAGGCACAGTATTCCATTGACGAGGCTCCTTCAATGCCCCACCCTTCTTCAAATTCGGTACCGGCTCAGGCCATACATAATCCGTCCTTCATGCCATTCAACGCACCAAACCCTGAACACGGGTTTCAAGACCATGCTCGCCATGATTACTGCCTCTATTCAAGCACTTCCCTCACCTCGAGCTCATTGACAGAGACCAATTATTCTGCAGAAGAAACCACGGCGCCTTGTCAGCAGAGTTTCGAACAGCCGTCTCTCGAAGATGTTCCATTCTTCGGCGCGTCGAGCGCTGGGTTAATCCTCGGCCCTCAGATGCATCCCACCTTACGCCCGCCCTATTCTTATCAGGATGGAGACCAGTGGGGTCCCAGATTTGACTACGATGCCGGATACGAGAATCAAGTCTCAAACACAGTCGAAAGTAACAGCACCTACTATTATCCCTACCCGCCGTTTTCTGACAAATTTGTTGGTGGACAAGCTGAATCACACGGAGAAGAAATGGTCGATGAGTCTGCCTCTTTGAACCCAAGCCCCTTCTATTATTCACAGTAGGTTTCCATGAAGCTAGTGCGCTCAGGTATATGTATCCTACTTATTTATTCCTATGCCACTCCTTTCTCAGTCCCGTAATCGTACTTCACATCTTAATTAGTTCTTCCTCTTTCCTAGCAATCTACTAGTAGATATACCGCTCGGATTGCTCAATAATACTAACGTTTGATTGCCTCCATATATATATCGGTACGCTGAAAAACGGATCACCTCCTGCCGGTGAGTCAAGTAGGTGTTTAACACACTTGGGCAAATGTAGTCCCTAATCCGGATTGAGCTTGGAGGACAAATAACAGCAAACTTCGTGCCTGGTACCGCCGCGCTGTTGACAGGCTCTCCATCCTACGCTCATACAAAAGTCATGCCTGTTCCCTGGGAGGCACTCATTCCTTTCGGTACGCAGACAAATTATACTTCCATATAACCAATTACGATTTATGCGTAGGTCTTCTCACCGCTATGTTCGGGGCTGCCGGGACTCTGTTTGCTGCCTCGAGTCGAGCGCAGAATCTGGGCAAGGTCAGCAGTTTGCATCGTTTGTTTCATCTCCTCAATCATGGATGGATTTCCCCCGCAGCCTCCTCGGTATGGCATAGATAACTGGGACACGATGATGATGAAACGGGACAAACAGTTGACTGGGCACGAGCGAGGGCAATCGGTGCGTTTAAACCCTGTCGAGTCGTCTTCTTGGGCGTCTAACTGTCAGCGTGTGGCTCCTAGGCATCGCCCGTTGCTCCACCTGAATTCGCCAACAACAGCGTGTGGTCTGTAGAGCGCATTCGATAGCTACATCATGGTTAAAGGACAGCAATGAAACCTATTTCTGCACTTCTATCGTGTTCCCGTCGGGCTTCTCTCCGAAACAACTCGAGCGATGGCAAACACACACCCTCCAGTCTGCACTGTAAGCCTATTGTGGGTTCCTCTGGACGTGTGGCGGCATTAGATTGGCCTCAAAGTGAACGCGCTGCGCAGAGACGTAATGGGGTTCGTAATTTTGTTCTGCGTCATTGGGCACCTCTCGTCCGTCTTCAACCGCCTACTACCGGCATCTTCAATTTAAGCGGCCAACATCCAGCGCTGCTTTGCATTGTGCAACTACTTCATTCAAGTTGGGATTGGCACTGGTCGGCAGGAGTTTAGAAACCGTTGTTGTCACGTGATAGTACTCACTTCAGAGGTTGAGGGAGACCATAAATTGAGTTCTGTCCTCCCAGGCCAGATATACACATTTTTCTTCGCCGAAGGATATTCAGAACCGAACTGATGGGCTTATGGCTATTGTCCGCCCCCCGCATGTTCGACATTACCCAGACAAGCCACTTGAAGTTCTGATGTCCTCATGGTCGGCTTCTCGTCCCCCACCGACCTGTGGATTTTTACCAAACGGCGGAGAGTGGGCTGGTAAACGCGTTTCTATCTGCCAGGCCTAGCCCGCCCAGGGCAAAGGGGATACAGTGAATCAGGTAATTGTGACAGTACAGGCTATCCTTGCATCGTCTCCCCTAACCAAAGCTCCACATCTCTGAAAGCTTGTTCCCCTTGAGATATCTCGGAAGTAGAGGGTATGCACGATTTTGGCATCGCGCTATTTTTGGAAAGCACTTCGCCTTCGAACCCATAGCGCTTGTTCTCGGACTCGGCACGAACTCGTTCCTGTAGCACACCTACCTTCGCGCTCGAGAGAAGCGTGTTTTCCACCTGCAGAGAGCACTCCAGGATCACTCCGTGTTTCGCTCTGATTCGAACAGCCTATCGACCGAAGAGCGGTTGAGCAGGAAACGATACACTGGAAAGTTGCACTTACGGCTTCGCCCCACGGGAAGATGCGGCTGGCGGTCTGCGTGAACTCGGGAGTTTGGCCGTAGAGCCAATCCCACGTCTAGTCGTACGGGACAAGAGTTCTCAGCCGCGCAGGTGGTACGATCAACTAGGACCCTGGACTTACTGTCAACTCTGAAATGCCTTGACAGATGTAGCCCATGCTTCTGACAGCCGCTGTATCTTGCACAAGACAGGCCTACAAACAAGGCGAATAAATAGGACAAAAACCCATTGAATCATAAACCTGTGCTAGGACAGAAGGGACTTACGTCGGTAACAATCCCATAGTCTTTCCGGAACTCCGTGATAAGAGCCGCTTTGAAATCCTCGTGCGTGATGCGTTTGTACTGCTGGAGATTACAGACAGGTGAGCGTACAGATTCAACGCCCTTGGTCACAATTTGTTTCTGAAGGGAAAACACAATCAGCTCCAATCAACGGCCATATTTTTAGCCAAAGATAAAAGCCAAATTTCCCTGCAAACCGCCCGGTCGAGTAAGAAGCTAGAAAATAAGCTCGCATCAAGCGCTGACGTCGTGGTTTCATGTTTGTGGGCCTCTCGGCTTGTAAGCACGCCATGAACCCCAGGTAAGAAGTAAGAAGACAGGCATTCTTCGGATGTGCCCGTCCTTTAGCGCTGAACGCAATTTAATCCATAAGGAGTGAGGCGTTTTGCCACTTCGACCGAGGCGATGGCAATTTATCTCGAAGGGAGAAAGAGAATTCGAGGCGAACACGGAAAACATACCTTGACAGGACGTAAAACGTCGCCGAGCTGATCCAGCCTCGTCGATATCAGCATCGTGCCATGGTGGTATGCTCGCCGATTGACGATCTTATACGCTGAACCTGAAACGTGCAGTACAACGTTTTGGGGTAAGTAACGACGCCATTAAAAGCAGGAAGGTGGATCAAGAGACCTCCACTTTCCGACCAGATTTTCGGAATTTTATTGCAGGAGGTGCTCCTTGTTACCCGCAAAGTAGGGCCAAGTTGGCGGGAAATGATGAAGAATACTTATCTTGTCAGGTCCGACACAGATGTCGTTTCTCTCGTTCAGTCGTGCATCAATATCGAGTGCTCTGACGGCCCGAAGAACTAGTTGGCCGGTGACGTGTCGGTCGAACGAGGCTCTGGGTAGGTGGACGGAGAAGTTGCTGTTTCCGAGATCCTGGAAGGACGGAGGAAAGGAAAGACATCGACCCAAGTCAGTAACCTCAATGACTTCCCTTCCAGTAAGTTGATATTCTTACATGGAAGACTGTCCCACCTCCGCTTCTCCTGCGAAGGAAGGGGATGCCTGCAGCCCGCAATGCTCCGAAGTTGACTTCCGTCCATGGGTTCTGGTGCCGTCCGATAACAACACAAGGGGAGTTCCGGTAAATGAATAAGAGAGGCGAGGACTCTCGTGCATGGCGAAAAAGCCTGCTCGTGTGCAGCACGAGGATATTTGAATCCATGAATGCCGGGTCATTTCGAAAATGTGGACAGTTGTCGGGAAATCGCGAAGAAAATTTAGTTGTGACGTGGTTGGGGAAAAATAAACGTGAATATGTGAGATACTAGGAGTAACGCGCTACTAACCAATCTTCTACCGTCAAATTGAAGTAAGGGTCCGTGGAAGTAGAGATATAGATGTCACAGTTAGGGCCCAAGGCAATGTCTTCTAAAGCGCCCACTCCGGCAGTAGAGATTTCTCGCCGAGCTGTCCTTTTCGGAGAGAACAACGTATTTCGACATAGACTAGATCGTATTAGGTTGATACTTGCCACCAGGTGCGTCGACGCGCGTCGTGAAAGATGCCAACATGGCAACATCCAGTGGGTCCCAAAAGAGCCTTCAAAAGCCAAGAGAGCGCCTGGGAGTGAATAAAGACTGTCTCGTCGTGCGGAACGCCGTTAGATATAGTTTAATATCGAGGGGCAGCGTCCAAAAAATCCTCGATAGTGACACTGGGTACCCGAAGTAGGACAGTTATGGTCAAAGGTCAAGAGCGATCCGGTCCGGAAGACCGTTAACGTTCACCCACCATGTGTTCGTCATATCGGAGCGTTGTGCATCCGTTAGAGGTGCAATTGAATGGGAGTGTGAAAGAACGCCATGAAGGTTTAATAAATAGGCATTCGCAGGAAGGCTAACGAGGACGAGGGTGCAAATTCTCAAGGGTACTCTAACGAAGATCCGAGTTCTGGAGCCCTAGTTCGAAAAGATAAAATATCAGAGGCTTCCAAAGAGGCATTTCTCTATCTCTATCTGTTCACGGCTGGATATATATACACCACACCCAGCACACGTTCCTCAGAAGATAGTTCCTGAGCGCCTCCAGCCCGGGTCGCCCCATACCAGTGATTTCCAAGTCGTAAAACCGCGGTGTTTGAAATTATTTTTGAATGGCCTTGTAGATAGGGTTCTTCTTGTCGTGTATTGGCTCTTGACCGGGTGGAGAACCCGGGATTGTCTTGGTCAGGCCCTGTAAGGGAGGACGTTAGGTCAACGTTGTATTAGCCTTCGTCCCGACAGGGAAAACCGCGTTCTCGACGGCGCAAGGGTCGGAGGTAGAGAGGGATGTATGGGGACAAACGTACGAGCTTCTCGAACATGCAGGCGTTGAGTGTGCGTTCAGGCTTGCGGCAGAGGTAATATTCCTGTTGACCGGATCTCAAGTCAGCTCGAGGGTCCAGTATCGTAGAGCGGTTTTCAAAACGATTGTCGAAGACCATACTAGCGCCCATATTATAAGATAAACCGATGCCTGCGCCGCAGTGACCAAAAGAACACGACAAACTGCACCACTTACATGGTTCCTCTTCTCCAAACACTCCCAGTGGGCATCGAATTGTTGGGCACAGTTCTCCCGCATCTTGGTGATCCTAGACCAGGAATCTGGAGTGTGAGCGACAACCTAGGTGGAAACCAGTAGTCCGAATACGCACAGGTCAACTGCACACCGCGTCACTTTCCTTCCTTCCTTCAAACAATGTTCGGGATTTCGGCTTTCATTCTTGCACAGCATGAAGTCCTCTGTATAAATCCAAGCGGTGTAATATCATATCATATCCCTGCATTAATCCCCAAGGGTTACGAGAAGAGACTGATTAAATTGACCATTGTATTCCTTGCAGTATGCCCCGAGGAAGAAGGCAGCACTCTTTAGAGGTGCACTGGTTGCGCCGAGTTCATCCACGTGGGGAATGTGGGAGGGCATTGGTGTCCTGTCAACGAAATCATTTTGAGGAGACGCCCCTGACTGAATTGTGCTGCTCATTGTCGGCGACGGCAATGGTTCTCTCTGCAATATACAGCGGTGACGGTCGGGAGGAGAAGCGGGTGGCAGGTGGGAAACTCCGAGCGGAAACTGAACCATCAGCCAATAGACTCCCTGACTTCTGTCACGTAGGACGCGAATATCACTACCGTCGCTACATTTCCAAAAATCATGGTACGCATTTTTCATCCTACTGTACCTAAGGATGACCGAGATTCTGCTTTTTCCAGCCTCCCAGACCAGCCAAAGTATATCATATCCTTGTGAAGTCCCATAAGCTTTCAATTATGCTCCACGGCCAATTGCCAACAACTACGGTAGCCGAGCTGAAGGACCAAGTCCTTTCCGCCCTCACATCCAATGTCGCGTCGGGCGCCCTTGATGTTGCAGCCATGGATCCTCCAGAAGTTGACGTCCAATCAGAGGACGATTTTGAACTATGTCGGCCGATCAAAGAGAAAGGAAAAGCAGCAGCGACATTTGAGGCCCTGGAACCTCAGAAAATACTTCGTGAGTGCGGTATCGGGGGTTGGGAACCATTGTTCCTTCAGTTCAGGGATCGTGGAACAGGTGAGCTTCGTTCAAAGAGATACCATCGTGTATGGCCACTTCATCGTAGTACGATTGATATTCTATCCCCTCGCCACCATGTCAATCTACATCACATTCTTCCCAACCTCATCGCCTTCCAACAGGACAACTTTTACCGGTCCAATATACTCTACCGCCCATGCTTGATGAAGAAGAGGAGCCACAAGCTCCACCAGAAGGCAAAGGAAAACGAAAGGCATCCGCTGGACTTGATGAAGATGATCTTGATATATAAATACACATCCTCTTGATTCATCTGTCTGGATTGTGCAATCCTGGTAATATTTTGAGAGAACAGTGACATCTGCGTTGGGCGAGTGGGGGGTCATGCTGACGAAGTCTTCAGAGACACCGTTTGCCACAAGAGTGCCTGGGAGTAGTAACGTCCTCACGAAGGAACGGCATCAGCCATGGTCTTCTTCGGCCAGGAATAGGGCGACATGGGTAGCAAGGCAGCAGCGACACGACGACCTTCCTCTGCCAACAAGTTGTACGTCGAGCAAGCGTTTCTCTGTACATCTCTGAGTCAACTGTTCAAGAACTAGAAAGCATAATCGACTCACTGTGTCCATGACATCGAGCTGAATGCCTAGTTTCGTAAGATGGTCCCGAACAAAAGGAGGAGGCTGGACAATTGTCTTTCCAGTGCCCAACAGCAGAATTTCTACTCGTCAGTCAATCAGCAAGCCTCTATTTTCTTCCTAAGCAAGCAAAACACTGACCTGGTCGCGGTACGACTGTGTCAAATAATTGAAACCGCTCCTCACTCCAGTCCTGCCATCTGTGTTCTTTCATTCTGGACGAAAGGTTTGAGGTCGGTACGTCCCACAAGAAGACCTTCCCCTCGAGGAAGATACAGGCTCCAGGTATAACGAGCCCGTCTATCAGCTGGATACCAGCCTCGGAGATGGAGGACACCTGGACGGCAGGTGGGTTATCGTCTGCCAGGAAATTGGTGAATGACCGGTCAGACGCGGAGCGCGTCGAGTGTATGTTTCGGCAGTTCAGATACGAAGAAATAACAAGCTTTGGTAGATGCCTTAACCAGAGGTGCGGCCGTGTATATCGTGACGTCGTGGAGATGCAGAGGGATCGCTGGCCGACGAGACGAAGCGACATGGTTGTGGTGATGAGAGCAGAGCCCCTAACCCCAAAGTTCAAACCGTGCCAGGAAAACTCTGGAAAACTACGATTGCGCTCAAATAAAATACAAGTAACTGCTTGATAAATAACGCTACACGGATGCATGAGTCTTGGATGGATAAAGCATGATACAGAGCAGACATTGACTAATAGCCGTTGTCAAAACGACTAGAGCAAGACAGGCCAGGAGTTCAAATGGAAACTAAGTTCGAGTCAATCGACTAGTACTCATCGAATTGCTCGTAAATGGTGTCGACGGTGAGGGAACGAACTTTGGATTTCGGAGCTTCGGTGAAGGCGACGGGTAGGGGTCCATCAGGACGATAAAGCGTGGCAATATCGATGGGATGTGATGAAATAACTTGTTTCTTCGCAAGCCCTTTCCCACCTGGAACAGGGTCGACCTCGAAGATACCCGACCTGAGCGGCAGCAGCTCCACGAAATACTGGAGTATATGTCAGCTAAATGCGCCACCGGCAATGCGCCACCGACGAGAGACTCCAGGCCTAACGTACCTCGATAGAGAAGATCGTGCATGCACAACTGGGCTGCAAATCCTCACTGAGGTGGATCTCTCCTTCCAAATGTCGGATATGCGTCTGCTGCGGGACGTCTTTCGGCGGTAGCCACCAATTGGCTACAGCAATCTCGTGTACGGCAGTCTTCATCTCAGCTCCTTTGCCGGTGTCGCCTATGGTAGGAGGCAGAATCCCTTGGATAGATGGAACCATACCGAAGGAGCTCGTTCCCTGAACAGGCGAGATGCCTCTGGGGTCCTGGATGAGCGACGTCCCATTTGCCCCAGGAAGTGTCATATGGCGAATGCGACGAACGAGGCGGAGGTATGGCGCTTTAGGCTTGGAGAGTGCCTTCAGGGCCTGTGAATCTTGACTGGTGAGGGTAAGATAGCATGGGATGACGGTTCCTCGGGTGTAAGAAAACTTGAAAAGCCTGTAAGTTTGGGGAGATTGTTTGTAACACTAATGACGTACTGGCTGAGCGAGGTGCAACTAGGACAACGTATTAGTAGGTGGAATCATGAAGGGAAGCTCGAATGCAGCTGCGCACCATACAGTCAATCTCGACATGTCGAGCATCTACCTCTCCGAAGAAACCCTTGACGACGACTTTAGGCAACTCAAGCCACCCATCCGGATCTGCCATTGGTCCAGGAAGGGCAGCAGCAGCCTGGTACGCTTGTTGGCGCTTGGAAGAGGCCGGAGGGGGCATCAGGGTGGGAACATAAGATATATTAGTCTTGATCCTAGAAGTCGAACTTATCAGAAGACTTCACCAGAGGGAAAGCCATTTCCTTACTTGCTATCTGGTCGAAAGCGACTATGAACGATGTGCACGGCGAGTTCATAATCCACGCTTGCCATGACGGAACCTTCTGCGAAGCTTTGGGGTATTGGGCAAACAAACGTTGCTGTTCCTTGCTCGTCGGTTGAGTTGATCATTTGCTGAGGAAGATTTGACAAGCGATTTCGTTTCTTCCTGGAGAGTGTACCTGCGTTGTTATCGCCCAAGGGACTAGAGAAGAGGTTGAAATTGATGGACCAGGGACGTGACTTCTTCTTGCCTTTATCTAGCAGGGATGACGAGCTGGAAGTCTCTGGCACACTTGCCTGTTCAGAAGCGCCTACAGCAGGATCGGGTCGGACAACGGCTGCACGAGTTGAGAGGTCGACATGGGTTGGGAAAGGAAAGGAAAATGGGTATTTGCATTCCCCGAACAATTTGCCGTCCTGCCTTTCAGATGCGTCATGATCCTTCGGCGGTTTGGTCCAGACAACATGGTCATGATTGAAGAACGTGTAAGAGCTGCCCTCCAGAGAGCCGGTAACGACCTTCCCTTTAATCTGCACAGGTCAAGAAAGTAAGCATAAGATGTCGATTCGGCCATGAAGAGAAAAGACTGGCCGAAACATTTATCTCTTGGATAGATTGCGGAACCTCCAAGTCAAGCTCGACCATGCCTGCAAGAAGTTCATTGCCCCAGAAACTAGGCGTCTTCGGTCGTCGGTCAGAAGGATGTGGGTTGCCGGGTATTGAACCCCTTGTAAATAGGTGCAATGTCGCCCAAGGTTTATGTGAACGAATGGGAAAGATATAGTCAAATTCATAGCCATTCGGACGCAGCCCGGGATTCTCAACAAGTGAAGGTGGGATTGTCGAATATCGGGGGTTTATATACGAGTGCCTGCGGGGCTTGGTGCTCGTCGATGCCGCGGTTGGGTGAGCAAGAAAAGGGCGCGCAGACGGAGTTGGCGTAAACGGAGGAGGAGAGGTGGCGTCAAGATGGTCCTCGACAAGGACGCGAGAATCGGGGAATGACGGTGGGCACCACGCCTGATCTGGATGGACAGTCGCGCTGTATTGAGGGAGTGAAGTATGGTAGGTATCAACAGTAGCCAGAGACGAAGTAGAGAAACGTCGGCTGGAATAAAACCTCTGACCAACCGACCCACTTCCTGGTGCATCCGAAGGGGACGATGAGGACGAGCTAGTGTGCATCTGGAGACTTTGTCGCGTCGCAGGTTACGCGAGTACGACGTGGGCAACAATACACCCAGTTTCGGAAGGTTGCACACAATTGGAGGACGAGGTTGGGCACCTGGCTGTCTATTGTCTTCGACCTGTGGTAGGATCCTATATAAGCCCCCTCACATGTCCCTAAATGTCAGGCGCGAGACAAAAGAGGCCTACCTGTGCGTACTCTCGCGGACCACATCTAAGGGTAGCCCTTGACATTTGCGGTGCATGATCCAGTTGGAAAATCGGTTGAGGATGCTATCTTGCAGCGTGGCAACTCAAAATAGATCGTCCGACAAAGAGGTCGCCAAAGTTGTTGATAAATCAAAGTCCGGAGCGCCCACATCAGGACATCGTTCTTCAAGTGTGAGAGACTATGATGTAGCCTGCACCAAATACGAAAGGGTCCTGCTTGGATCTGACCAAAAAGCATCAGTAACATGATCTGTTCTCGGACGATGAAGATAACTGTACCTTGCGCCATTATTGTTCGAAGCGCAGCGAGCAGCTCGTATGGGCCCACGTCAACCGGAGGGGTCGGAAAATGGGGCTAAGTAGAACAAGTCTTCGCTAGAATTCTGCAATGAAGAAAAAATATCAGCTGCTTTCAGAGGGGAGGGTTGAACAGGCCGACACGAACCAGTTCGATGTGCACGCACACGCATCTCGCTGAAGACAGGTCGTCGGAAAGGGCCGAGTCGAAAGTAAGGTATGAGTTGGAGTGCCTTCCAATAGGCTGACTAAGAGACGACATCGCAATAACATCTAGTGAGGAAGTGAACACGGAGACGGGATCAGTAATTCCCAAAACTGCGTCCCTCTCCTTCCAAGAAGCCATTATGACCTTTCGTCTGGGCTGCAGGACTTGAGGAATTAATTCGGAAGGACGAGAAAAAAATACTTACCGTCAGAGATATTTGCTAGACGGTTGGAAAGACCACGCCAGCTACATCTCCTCCGCGAAATAGAGGATGCTTAGACACCGTTGAGGTCCTAGGGCTGCCGTTTGCTGGAATAGGCGTACCAGTAGTAGAGCATCTAATGTAGCTCCTGAATATCGACAATTGAGTATCGTGGAGGCACTGAATACACGTTTTCAGGCCGCGGCATAGATATCGAAGCGAGAGATCCCGCTGGCTCCGGCGAGTATGTTGCGGGGTATCGAAGGGTTGTTGATACTCTTGCGAAAGAGGAATATCAGGACAGTAGTCGGTTGGAACTTTGTTGGAGCATAGGATGGTGATGGGGACCATCTCGATGGACACAGTTCAGGACATAGGATAGACGCAGAAACGACTGGAAGTTGCACTCACCATCTGCAATTATGAAGGAGAGAAGGGACGTGATTCAAGTGTTGACTTATTGTAAATCCAACGTAAATCAAGTCAAATAACCATACTTATTGTTTCAGGCCCCGGCGGCCCGAGAGAGCCGCCGGTCAAACAGCAATCGAAACATTGATCTGAAATTTGGGCATTGACCTACACATCGAAAGGAAAAAGGCAGAAGGAAATGTGTTGTACATAAGGAAGCAAGCAGCCAGGCCTTTTTCTAATCAAAATTCATCTATTCCCAGTACTCCTCAGCCAACAGGGCTTCATGCACATGTCCCAAGGTCTCTGTCACTGGTGGTGGCCCAGCCTCCTGCGGCGGGTAGCCAACATATGGGTCTTCGTCGTCGTAATCAACAGGGAGTTCTTCAACCGCGCGACGCTTGCCAGCTGCCTTCTCAGAGAGAAGCGGAGTCGCTGTGGGCATAGGTGGGTCAGCCAGGTACGGACTCCCCTGACACGAGCGGCATGTCGCTCTTCCACTGCTGAAAGCTATCTCTGAGGGAAGGTCGCTTGCAGCTGGACCTGGTTCATTGTAGTTATAGGCCGAATAGGTCTTGGTGACAGCGATTGGAATACTATGCGCCGCCTCGGACATGGCTGGTTGACCTGAAGAATCTGTGGCGACAGCTGGGGGCAAGGTTACACTTTGAGAGGCACCGCCTACTCCAGCAGGAGGGCCAGCCTTCTTCTGAGCAGCCTTCTTCTTGCCAGCAGCTGGCTTGGAGGGTTCGGCAGGGGGGGGTGGTTGTGATTAAGGTAAATGTTTCCCCGGGAGCACCATCTTTCTTCTTCCTTCCGCCTCTTTCCATGGGAGGCAGCGCTGCAGCCTGGAGTTCTCCTTGAGGTACAGCCATAGTCGTATGGCCAAAAAATACATGTGCGGTAGTAGCATAAAGCTGCTGGGGGCCCGCGGTTAACGATGCTTGGGCATATGCCTGCGCGGAGATCTGTCCTGCGTGCTCTTGACATGCGACAACGTCCTGTTGATCATTTGACCCGCTCTCTGGCGAAGCAGGTCGCGCGTAGGAAACAGGGAATTGCGCTCGAGCAGCAGCAGGGTTGACGGTCGCCTGTCCGGGGAGAATCCCGGGATTAAACTCTAGCCCGGGTTGCGGAGGCGCCAACAACGTTGAGGAAGGGGTTAAGAGAGGAGTCTGGATATCCATGTAGTACTGCGCCCCAGTAGGTGCCGTATATATAAGCGTTGGTAGTGGCAGTTGTTGAAGAGCCAAAAGCGGGGCGTTCGGCGGAGTAGAGCCAGGCTTCAAGGAATAGCTCATCAGGACAACGTACCACGGAAAATCTAGAGGCTTACCAGCGGCCCAGACGGCTGAAAGTTCCGCGGGAGGCTGTCGAGTGTAGATCTCTTCCTCTGAAGCTTGGTTTGCGGCTGGGTTTGTTGGAACTGAACGACAGTTAGATATGGCTGGGCAAACCGAAATTGAACACGTACCCCAGCTTCCTCTGCTCCTCTCTTCTTGCTACCACCAACGACGGGTCCTGCGGTGGGGGTGGTAGACGGTGGCGATATTCCTTGAGCGCCCAGTACGAGTAAGTGCTGATACTGGGTCGTCACCTGTGGCCAGACTGAGACCACCGGCGTATAAGCCTCTTGCTGTGGGCTAAGCCACATTCCGGACTCATATCCTGGAAGACCAGCTGTATTGGGGGAATTGAAGTCCTGATAATTGTTGGACATGCTAAAAGGAATTGTAGTGATGGTCGATGTAGTTTGAGGAAAGAAGGTCACGGTGGGCAAATGAATACAGGCGCGTCGCGTCTCGCGTCTCGAAAAACGTGATCACCGCTTCTGTCTAGGACTATGCTCGAATTGCCGTTTGCAGAAACTTGGAGCCAAGCCACAAACAATGCGCATGCTTCCAATTTGTCTCCAAAATGTGGGTTCTGTCGAGATAAAATGTAAGGCAATGAGAAGTTGGCCTGATTAAATACCAATCGAAAGGTAACCTCCTCGACCGTACATGGTTACTTCATGGCCTCTAATTTGCCTTGTAAAGTATTCCCAGCCAAGGAGTGCGAGAAACGAGCAATATCGTAGTCTTCTTCTCTGAAATTTTATTCTTATGACAACCCCCAGGCCATGTCAGAGGCTGAAGCGACTCTTTGGGCACTTCTTGGTCGCGAACCATAACTTTGGAACACCCAAGGTTAGAGAATGTGAACCCGAAAATTTATCATCACTCACTTCCATGAAAAAAAAAAAACTCGAAGATAATATCTGACGCTCTAAACACGTTAGGCACTAAAGATGGCTTCGGCGATCCTGGCCTGTTGTCTTCATCAGACAAGGCTGCAACCTTCGCGGAATATTCGCGCCATGCCGGGAACGTTACGAAAGACGTTGAGTGCCAACGGGAATAGAGTTCGAACAGATAGGCACGGGCGTAAGCCGGAGTACTCACAGTTTTTAGTTGCACCTTATCATGAAAGGAACTTTTTGGATGAAAAGACTTGATCAGCAAGGAGAATTTACGAGAAGAATGTCGCTTACTCTTCAGCTCACAACTGCCTCGAAGGATTCGCAACTGTCCTCGCAGGAATCGTTCTCCTCGTGTCTCAATAGTTTTGAGCACTAGGGAGACACCCACATGCCTCTCTGCACGTCCCGACACTCTTGCGTAGCTCTGAAACATGCTCTAAACCAGGAGGCTCGGAACCAGGACGGCGGGACGTTGCCTTCGATGTTGGCAAGAAATGACCTGTCGACATCGGAATTATGAACCTGGAGAGGAATTTGTAGTATATCTTGTGCACGCCCAAGTGTCTCAATATCCTCTGGGCTTCACGTTTCGAAGAAAATATGTCTTATGAAACGATCCACACAGGTGCATTTGCATCCGCAATAACATGATTGCCCTGTTGCTGCCGGTCAGACTATTCTCTGTAATCCACAAGGAGTGACAGAAATTCCTCAGGTTGTAGACACAACGCACCATAACTTTGCACCGATCCAATCGAAGAGGAGCATAGGTGGGACTGTCAGACTCAGTTGCACAACGAGTGAAGCTGAGGGTCCGGAGGTCGGCTCCGACGGAAATATGCCTTTTCGGGAATCCTCTCAAACCCGAACCGTCACCTCGAAGCTCGAGCCCATTCTTGAAGCTCGTAACAAACTGACTGCTCTCAGTACAGTTTCAAGAAAATATATCTGGTTGTCTGGGTGCTTCTTTATCTAGGTGAATTGTCCTTCTTCCTTACTTTTCTCGTTTTCTGAAGAGATTTTCGTTCAATGAAAGGTAGCTGGCAGAGGGTTCAGTTGTAATTCTCACTGGCCGGCAAATCAATTTTGCTTTCTAACCAATCTACTTGGATTCTGCGCTTTCTGTGCCAATTTCTCTGCCGTCGGATAGACAGTCTCCCAACAAAAGGACAACGTGGATAAGGCTGACGAGGGATGAACACCTCTCCGAACCTGGCTTCAAGGAACCGCCCCGACAAGCTTATCCAGGGTCCCACTCTGATATTCACCGCTGAAACCTACATGGACATTTGGTTTCGACCTTCCATGTTCTCTGGGCTCGGGCGGAAGGTCCATTAGGCTTACAGGAGGTGAGCATCAACCTGAGTCTCTTACCAGAGTGTCTCGATCTAATCACCGTCGTAAAGTCATGAAAAATCATGAAGAATATTCCGCACTCACGCCTGTATTGTCATCCTTCTTCCTGCCCTTATGGACGACGACCCTTCTATCACGAGGGCAGGATCGTCTCAAACTTCTACCAGGGCACAGGCTGCACGATTCTGTTCATCATGCAGACCTGGTTAAATATGAACCTGGTATGTTGAGAGACCCGTTTCAGGTTGGCACCTTCGTTAATTTCTATGAAGCTGTCCGCTGTATACACAGAGTGCACTTTGCAAGAAGTCGTACGCAAGATTGTAGGATGCTTGGACCTTCGCGGTCGCCCTTATCAACGCCTCCATTTCAGACCAGCCAATAGTGATAATGCAGAATACTCGAGAAAAGTCTGCCGTCGCGTCTTGGGCACCTGTGTCTCGTGTGCAATTCAATCTAGCACGATTTCAAGCTATCGACGATGCTCAATTAGGCGCGAAGAGCGAGAGGCAACCCGTCGTCATTTCCTGTGTCCTGTAGGACTTCCGACTTGGGGTAAAATTCGCGTTTTCGGCGCTGCTTCCAGGGGAAATATTTAAAAGTCCGTTCTTGGCCTTCCAAGGTCGTGCACATCGCGGGCCAGACGGGAACCGAAGACCGAATATACCGGCGCGATATTCCAAGTACGTGACTAGGCGCGTCTAACAAACAAGCGCCAAATAGCGCGCCCACATTTAACGCGCATTTGATGATCCTCAGAGTTTCTTCATCTGCCACAACTCATTCATCGGGGACTTAGACGGTCGACGCCTCTATACCACATTTCTACGCCATTCAACGATACTCCCAACTACACCGACTTCTATAATTCTTCCTTTTTTTCTCGTTCCTTCAACTACCATTCCTATCTCCTTAAGCCGACATGGATAACCAATCGCCTCCCCGCCTCTCTCTTTCACCATCGACCTCGAAGCTTACTCCTTCGACTGGTGCCAACGCGTCGGCGTCGCCTTCTCGGACCCTTCGACCATCAGCGTCTGCGGGAAATCTGTCGACACCTAGTGTGCCACCGTGCATTCCACCCGTAGCCGATTCTCAGCCTTCATCCCAAACTCAACCAGATGAAATCGAGAATAAGCCACCCGTTCCAACAGAGAATGCTCTACCTACATTTCTAGATACCGACTTCTGGTTGGACTTCAGCTGGGAAGGCTCAAATGAATGGCCTTCGCAGAATGACAAACAATCAACTAACCAAGGCGAAGCAGTTCAGCCACCTGAGGGGGACCTTTCTGCGATTCTCGATTCGATCTTCTCTAGTGCAGACCTCCTTGACGAACAAGCTGCTTCATGCGAGACACCTGCTGCGAATGTGGACGCTTGCCCCACGTCAGACGAGTTGTTTGGACTTCAAGAAACACCTACTGCAGAAGAAGCCTCGTGGATCCCATCGCCTGTTCCTGAAGCTCAGGAATCGGAGAAAAGGGCAGGAAAGAGAAGGATGGTCGATGATGAGGTATGCCACTGCCGCATTCTAATAAATCCTTTAAACTAATAGCGAATTCTAGAAGTCTCCAACCCATGAACCGAGCCCAGTCTTGGAATGGCCAGAAGAGACTCCGTTATTGGAGAGGGGCGATGAAGAACTGTTTTGGCTTATGAAGGCTTGTGGAGGTGATCCACTTGAAGGAATTGCCTTCAGTGAAGAACCACAGGCACTCATTGAACGGGCCCCTTTCCCTGGCCCACACACTCCAGAACCCCCGACGGCATTAGATGATACTCCAGCCATCGTCCCTCCAGTCCCTCCAGTCAAACAGTCTCGCAATCACAAGAGCTCGAACAAGAGGAAGCTCGACGCTGCTGGGGTTCGTTCCGTCTTTTTTCACGTATATGCCCGACGCTTATGACATTTTCAGCTCTCTACTGCACATCCTACGGCCTCGAGAAAGCATATGGGTGGCTTCGACGAGCGACTACGTCTTGACCCACGTATCCCACAGGATCGGCCGGAGGTCATAGATCCAAAAAATCGAACAACCATTAGGAGGCATAAGCGAGATGTGTTTATCAACTCTGTCGGGAACCAGGGTTCCTATACGGTGCCGAAGGGGAAGTGTAAGAGAAGCTCAAAAAAAGTATGTAAGGCGCCTACTCAGCTGACAGAGACGATGCCAATTTCTTTGCCAACCGTGCCTCCCATCCCTCAACTGCCATCGAGCTCGACGCCTCCTGCGCCTGTGAACCTTTCCCAGCCTGCGGTTTCTTTGCAACAGACGCTCCGGGAAGGATCTTTTTCTACTCGGGATTCCGCTCAGAACGGCACACCACCAGCGGACGGCGCGGAAGAAGAGGATGACGACGACATGTATGTCTAGACCCCAGACTTCTATCCCTTCTCCCTATTAGTATTCTTCTTCTGTAGCTATACGAACTATCCACTGTAAAGTACCGACTTTCTGTAGCCTATCCGTTATGATACCCTTTCTTGATATTATCACTCATGTAGTAGCTATAAGCCCCTCCGACGATGCCAGTTATGCCCAAATCTTTTTGTGACGAGAAGTTGGGTCTGCAGCTGAAGCCTGAAGGACACTCCGCGGACTCCGTGGGTCGCAAAAATCCTGGCGTTTCTGCCGAGCCAATCAAAGCAAGGCGGTCATTCCAACTTCCTTGAGGTTGAGACTCACCCTCACAGATCCTTGACGTCGACCCAGCTCAACCGTCTTTCTCACTCACTTCAAAAGTGCGCTGCTTTACATAAATAATTCCTATGTCCCTACGATCAATTCGCCAATGACCTTTTTTACGCTCAGTCTGTCAACGATTCGACCCTCTCATTGCTGTCGTTCGTCGTCTTGAAGTGCCGTCGTTAATCTCAAACGCAGACCTAGAAATTTTATTGACGAACTTTCTTTTCCACGAACGAACGAACGAAGATATTTTCAACCAACCTCGTCGATAGATATAAAGCCCTTTCTTCTTTCTCGTCAGAAGATGATAGCGTGGAGTGGGCGAACGGGGTGGCAGTCATTTCTGACAAAAAAACGAGATTGAGGTAGGAAATTGATTGCCTTTGAATGTGCACAATATGCTGAGGATTTTCTTATTCATCTAGGCATCTTGTCACCTTACAATGTACTCATTCTGGTAGTCTGGCGAATTATGAAAACCTGATAGAATGAAGGATCTGATGAGTTGGTGATGCACATTTAATTGCGAAATTTTTGGAACCAACCAGATCTATGCCGACCAAGTCGACTGCCAGATTTTTTTCCACCTGGTTTCGCAACAGTGTGGACTGGACGCTGGCTATTGTCGAAGGGTCTGTTGTCCCAAAGGTGTGTAAGTCAAATGTATACTCGTAGAGATAATTGTTTCTCACTTTTATCGGTTCAGTGTACAAATTCGCTGAATATTAATGAAATTTCTTTCACACAATATCCAGTTCTCACACTTCAAATTCGATGCGTAAAGCTTCTGACTTTGGCCATGATGAAGATGCACCAGGCTCGGAGATGATGTCGTACCACGGCGGCAAAGGGTTGAAATCATGCCCAGAGGCGTCGAGGTGTTCTGTTGGGTGCATACCCAAATCTGACTTCATCCCTCGATGATACAGTGCTATGAGCCTGGCAAGCTGCGTAGTAAGTCTGGCAATTGTGATTCAATGCGCTTGCGACTGACTCTCCCGGTGTTTCCAGGAGTACCGTCTCCTGCAGTAGATCCTAGCATCAGGCAAACAGGAGCAGATTAAACGATATTTTCCCAGCTTGAGGGTGTCAAGACGTGTCTGGCAAACGAACACCAAATAGCGCGATATCAAAGTTGGCTGAACAGACACCTGACGTCACGCGCCGGTATTTAAGCAACGCGTCAGTCCCACTTTTCCTTACTCACCACCACCATCATTTCATCGCGCACCTAGACGGTTGACGCCCACACATCCGTTATACCCTTCAACGACTCCTGCGACCATTCATTCCGCTGACGTCAGTCATCTTCCCTTTTTTCAATACTTTTCGATTCAGCATACCCATGGCAGGCCACATTTCTCCACCACTCATTCGAGACGCGTCCTACAAGGTCGATGGGGCACACAGTTCTGTCATACTTATACCTCGTCCTCTACGCCCATCCATGTCTGCGGGCAACCTGGCGGCAACTGGTGTGCCACCACCATCATCTTCAACTGTTCCACAAGTTTCGCGATTACACGGCTTCGAAAACAGACCCCCTAGTCGCCGGGGTCTTCCACCTGCTCGTTCTTTTCAAGTCGAGCACCACCAACCGTGCGACGTCGAGCGGTCGAGGAGCCCCGTTTCGCCCTTCTTGGTTCTTCCTGGTTCTGAAGGAATAGCCGACATCCCTGTTCCCCCACTTGGCCAAGCAGTGGAGAGCTCGCCAACAGGCGGTGGTATCAAGAGGAATGGTGTCGACCCCAATTATCAATTTTCATTCACGAATCGTGCCTCGGCCATATCAATGACGAACAGCACTGATGCCCCTTCCAATATTGCTCTCAGCTTCGAGGACGAGCTCTCTAGCGAAGATATTCGCACACCTGAGCAGGATATTCTTGCTGCATCCTCGAACACTCCTTTTGCTGCTCATGATGGCTTTCCTGGAAGTGTCGGTGAGCAGATGTCGACACCCGTCGTTGAGAGCCAGCCGCGGAAGCAGAAAACCAATGGACGTATTGTAATTAATAAGGCTTGTCTTTTCTGTCATTTCACCAAGCCCATCGCTGAGGAACCCTCTGGCCTGTAGAACAAGCTGCCCGCCGCCGCTACACGCGATGTGAATGCTGAGATGAATGCTGCGAGCCCTTCTGCCGCAATTGCAGTGAACGAGAAAGTTAAGAAGGTACGTACTCCCGCGCTTGGATTGTATTTTGAGCTGTTCGCTCATGATGGCCCTTCATATTTTATACACAGGATCGAAAGAAGCGCAAAGCTGTTGACATCGAGGGGCCTAACGTTGGCGAAGGCACAAAGCGCAAGAGAGTAAGTCTGTTTCCTGATTTGCTTCGTGTTTCAATTTACTGACCAGTACTTGTAGGCCAAGGTCGCAGCTGGCAAAGGCACAGAAAAGGTATGTTTTTCTTCTGCCGATTCATGGGCGATGTATTGACACAGAAGTGTAGCCTCAATTGATAATAAAGCCTTGTAAAACACATGTCGCCGTAGAGGCACCTGAGGAGATAGAGCAAAAGATGAAGCAGTGGCAGGCATGTTTACCTGACGTTCCCCTGAGTATATCTTCGCTCATGCAACCCCTCAGCCGCGTCGTTATTTTCAGCCGTTCAAGGTTTATACCGGCCCTGGATCTACTTCGCAAGAGAGCTCTGCAGCTTCTTCAGAATCGGCCCAGCACGGCGTCAAGAAACGACAATGATCGTCTTTTCTCGCCAGAAGTCGACCGCTATTTATGCAAGCTTCGTTCTTAACCTTCTCGCGTCTGTTGTATTCTTAATTTCTATGACTGTATGACAACACGAACACTATCGATATTCTATACCTACTTTGTCTATGAGATGTCTTGTATATATTTCTTCAGATTTCATATAACTGGATTTCCTTGCAGTTACCTGCGAGCGTGTGGGTTCAAAATCCGAGCCTCCCTTCAACAAAATGAATTATTGAAGTATGACAGTACGAATTTCGCCTTTGAGTTCATTCTTTAAAGCATGGATCGCATTGGTGAACCAGAGGGATGGCTCGTTGACTTTGGCTGGTTGCTCTTGTTGTCTTGAACGGGGTACCTTGCATGTGTTGCCCATTTGTGGGAGTTCAATGGGCATTGTTGGTGGCAGAGAGAGATCAAGTGTAACGAACGTATATCGCGATCGAAGGCTAAACGTGGAGCATTGGCGACGCTCTATGATATGTCACTCACTACCATGGCGCCTGTTCGTCACTCCTCCTCCTCTCCGCCCATGCCCCGAGCCGACTCACCTGAAGAGATTGCAAAGAGAATGGTGCGATATACCGAGATTTTCATCCTTTCTGGCACTAGAGTCCGCGCCGAACCAGATCGCATGGCCGCAACGTCTGCCACCTTGCAGGCTGAGGGTGGTGAAGTGCCTCTGAAAGCAGGTGCCATCCCCGATCCAATGGCTGCGCTGAAGTTCTACGACGAAACCCTCGCCACTGCTCCCAAGTCTTTCATGGAGTGAGTCATCTGCAGTCCTCCCGTTCATGTACTGTGAAACTCATACACATGTAGCCACTACTACCATTTCCATTATGCGTCGTCCGCCGCCATTCTTGTCACTGTGCACATCATTACACCCCGAGCAGCTCGAGATCCCCTCTTCTTTCAAGCCTATACGAATGCCTTCGCTAAGATGTAAGTCTTGTGCTTTTGCCGTTTGCTCGAGCTCCTTGTACTCATGACATGTTTAGGAATGAGCTGTCTCGGGTGCGACTGGGGCAGACCGACAGCGCGGAATCGTCTCAATGCCAAGCAATGATTGGTCGTTCCGAAGCTAACGCCCTGGTTCAGGACGTCAGGCGCCTCAGAACAATGAAGTTTCACGCTTTCGAGGGAGAAGACGTTGAGGAGTCTGGAAACTGGCAGGTCGTGGGTATCTTCTTAGCCGAGGATGGCGATGAGGAGTACAGTGTAAGATTCAACCACCTCTCTATGTCGCTTCCCTTCGACAAAGCCGAGCTGGTTGAGCTATTGACAAAGAGTGCTCAGCAATGATGTGTAGTGTACTTATGAGCAAAGGAAACAGCAATGAATGAACGATTGTGGTACGGCAATCATCGTTATTTAAAATGCTTAGACCAAAGCAATGGGTGCAAAAGGAACCAAATTGAAGAACGGGGTGGATGTGGTGGACCGCGGGCCGATCTGACCACGGGTATAGAGCTGTTGAACTCAGGGTGCACGTAAACGAGGTTTGAGAAGGTTAAAGAGGATGGATGAGGGTCCAAGAAAGTCTGACGCGCAGGCAACATTATCGTCTCGCCGATTACCGCCAGGCTCGAGCTGAGTGTCGTAGGCAACCGTTTCAGTTGGGCCAATAGAGGGTTGAGGTCTGACGAACTTTGGGCGGAAACGGCGCGGATGATGCAGTGGTTGGAGAGGATATAGTGTTGATATCAGGGTATCTTGGGCGGAGCGGGGGAGAAAAAGTCGAAGGAATTTCAAGGTCAAGGGATGGGAGGGTTTCCATGCCGATAGCGCGGCACGGACGCGTCGTATCCTCTCCCTCCCCTTCCTACTCCTCTCGTCTGTAAGTCGGTGAGCAAAGATAATTTCACCAGCATGCGTCTTTCCGGCCTTGAGGATAGTGTAGTCTGTAAATCCTTTCAAGACCGCCTGGCCAACAGTAGCGGAGACAGATAGCTCGAGACCAAGGACCAGCTGCTTTCCTTGCTCCTGCTCCGCGAACGATGATGAGAGCAGCATCGCCACGGCTCGGAAGAAAATTGCTTCGATACAAGTACGCGCACTGGCTTCAGTCTATGAAATTCGTCATATCCGATACATGATGATCTCTTTGAGCTCACCTGTGTAACTAGAGTATATCGTTCGACCACAGTTCGTTCGCCTCGCATTCTTGCTCCAAGCTCAATCGAGCAGGATCGTCACGCAGCTCAAGGGTTTAGCCTTCTTAAACGTTGAGAGTGTCGATTTCGTCTTGTTTGATGGAAGACAGTGGAAACGCCTTGATACGTCGTCCAGTGAGAGGATACGAAATGATCTGCGCCATTTCGGTGATTCGCTGCCTCGGATGTTGAAGAGGTTCGTAAAGTGCAATTAATTCTCCTCCGGTAATAGCTGATCGTTTTCCGCGTTTTTTTTAGAGTCGGGCTCTCCTGAAATTGCTTTGTGTGACATGGTGGACGGAGCAAAGACTTGAGGCGAGACGTCGAGCAACGCGTGGCGCGTAGATGTCAGACGATAGTTCACAGTAGCTGGCTGGGAAAGAGAGGTGCTCTTTGGAAGAGGAGGCGGTCAATATGAGATTGTGGTGGTGGTAGCGGTTGAAGAGAAGACTGACGAGGCCCCAGCCAGATCGGATTCGCTCATCTCGCTATGGAATTATCAGGAGGCAGCCCGCTTTGCACTCAACCAGTTGAACCACAGCACAGCGAGTCCGGGTCGGTATCTGTGATCTCTTCACTCGTGTTCGGCTCCTCGTGGTCTTGCTGCGTACCGGCGCCTTCCCGCGAGTCCCTGCTGGCAGTCGTGCGGATGCTTGACGAAGGAGTGAGTGGAGGCGTGAGTAGCGAATGAGGCTGATCGCGTTCGGTACGACGGCGTGCATGAGTTTTCGCTGAGGTTGTCTTTTTGCGATAGACCGGGTCGATGGAGGCGTATTTAACGTGTCGGGAGCGTGCATCGGGCTTTTCGGACGGGGAGCTAAGTAGATGGATTTTTGGGAGGGGGCGGAAGGTCGCATGAATACCAGCAGAATGTTTGAAAGTCAGGTTCAATTACATAATGAATGTATGAACTATACATATTTAGCTATTAGCCATCACCACCAGTGACCAGACCGCCACCGCCCCCACTCCAGTTCCAGGTTCAATATGGTTTCAACTAGAGTCGCTATCCTAACTGGTGACACACCAACAAATTTGCATGCCTGTCTAGATCTGAGTAATCTGATGCTACAGTCAGCGATACCGCGTCGACCGACGCGACTGCAGACAAATCAGGACCAACTATCAGAGACATCGTCTCGGGACATGCCTGCGTAGTGCAGAGCAGCACTATCGTCCCAGATGACAAGGACAAAATAGCAGAGGTCGTGAAGGGGTGGTGCGCATCGGGCAAGGTGGATTGGATTATTACGACAGGCGGAACGGGGTTTGGAGTGAGAGATGTTACTCCGGAGGTGCGTTTTGTTCAAAGCTCGGAAATATGCTGGGGTTTATTTTCGTTATTCCTGAAAGGCCGTAGGACCTCTAATTGAACGTCCTGCACCAGGACTCGTCCACTTGATGCTTGCGACTTCTCTGAAACATACGGCTATGGCAGCCCTCTCGCGTCCAGTTGCAGGAACGATCGGCAATACACTTATCACAACGCTTCCCGGGAGTGTCAGGGCCGTCAAGGAAAATCTTGATGCGCTTTTCCAATCGGGAGTCGTCTTCCATGCAATTGAACTGGTCCAAGGAGACTCTGGGAAGCGTGTTCACACAGAGCTCCAGGCTGCTGGCCTTAGCTCGGCTCCATCTCATTCCAGCCACCAACATACGCATCACCACCTCGGCCACCATCATGACCATGGAAACCATGCAGGACATTATGCACCGAACCCAAGGTCTGAAGCCGCCTTGTCTCATGACCCATCTGCTCCTGGTAGGCCTTTCGATTTTTCGTCCGATTAGATATCGTCTAAGTCTTGCAATAGTGTCAGCTCGTCATAGAAAATCACCTTTCCCTCAAATCTCGTTGGAGAATGCTCTCGCGATCATCAAGGATAAAGTGGAGCGTTTGCCTACCGAGACGTTGCCTGCAAGTACCTTATTTTTCATCGCGACGTCATGAAACGAAAGCTCTTCTTTTCTAGGTCGGCTACAAGCTTGGAGGTTACATTCTCGCAGAAGACGTGTATGCACCACAGGACGTGCCTTCGACTGCCACCACGAGCGTTGATGGGTACGCACTTCGATGTGCGTCTTAATCTTGCCACACCTTAGGATGCATCGTTAAATTATTCTTAGCGACCGATCCTCCTGGAATCTACAATGTCCTGACCTCACAAACTCACCCCTTGAACGATCCTGTTCCGACTGGTTCGATCTACCGCATCAACACTGGTGGCCCACTTCCAAAAGGCACCGATACCGTCATTATGGTAGAAGATACACAACTCGTATCCACCTTTAAGGATGGAACGGGTATTGAAGACGAAGAAAAGGAAGTGAAGACCCTTGTTCAAGTACCTCCTTCGGACAACGTCCGCGCACCAGGATCAGATGTTCGCACAGGCGACCTAGTGATGCGTACTGGAGATCGGGTGACGAGAGGTGGAGGAGAAGTTGGCACATTGACCTTCGTGGGTCGGAAAGAGGTAGTCGACTTTGATCGCCTTTTGAAGGTTGGGAAGTCCTTGATATCCTCTGCATTAGGTCAAGGTTTTCAAAAAGCCCGTGGTCGCAATGCTGAGCACTGGAAACGAGATTGTTGATTTGCACAATGCTGGAAGCAGTCAAACGTCTGGACACGACGGATGGGGCGGTATATATGACACTAACCGACCATCGCTGCGAGCTGTTCTGGAAAGCCTGGGATACGAGGTTCTTGATCTGGGAATTGTGCCCGACGAGTAGGTCAAACAGCTCGAGATTCATTGAACCATCTCATTTCTCTGTAACAGTATTTCTGCTCATCTGACAGCGATCAATAGAGGACTTGCGAATGCCGACCTCCTTCTAACAACTGGAGGCACATCGATGGGCCCCACGGATCTTCTCAAGCCTCTCATCGAACGATATCTCAATGGCACTATCCACTTCGGCAGGGTCAGCGTCAAACCAGGGAAGCCGACTACCTTCGCCAGCGTGCCTGTTTCGGAAGGTGGTCGAACGATCCACAAACCGGTCTTTGCCCTTCCCGGGAACCCTGCCTCTGCCCTAGTCACCTTCTATGTCTTCGTTGTTCCAGCTTTGAGGCAGATGGGTGGATGGCCCGAGAAGATGTGTCATTTACCAAAGGTTGTTGTGCAGGTAAGTTTTTTAAAAATGTCACCATTCTATCAAGATGCTGGTTGACAATGGCTATCAGGTCCAAAATCCCTTACCTCTGGACCCTCGCGTTGAATTTCATCGAGTCGTCATTCAGAGCAATATCAGTATTGGTGACGCACCTGCAGCACCCCAAATCTTGTTGAAAGCCTACAGTACGGGTGGGCAGAGATCAAGTCGCGCCGCGAGCCTATGTGAAGCCAACGGTCTGGTGGTTTTGCCTCCGCTCATTCCCTCTGACGGACAGCCGCACAATGAGAAGAGAAAGACAAGGCTGGAGGTTGGCGAATTTGCCGAAGCAATCCTCATTGGAGAAATCGTGACGGCATGACGATTAGTGCATGGAATGGCTGAAAGAGCCATTGTAGGACATAGTCTGTAAAAAGAAATCTTTCTGGACCATTGTACGGTAGAAGAAAGGTGATTGCTATTGTTGGTCATGTGGTCAACGCGCCGAAGTCAATCAACACGCGCAGCCGGGTGATGCCGATCATGTATAAAAGACAGAGAGGCCTTCCCTCGCTTCTTCATCTTGGACCATCATCTACAGCTGCGCACCGTTGCGGCTGTATCTTTTGCTTCACGACTTCTTGAAACCTTTGGCTCCCCTATGCCCCCCCGTTCCGCTCCTGGCCGCGGTGCAGGCCCACCTAGAGGTGGTGGTGGACCTGGTCGCGGACGCGGTGCGGGCCGTGGAGGCACACCCGGTGCCATTGCGGGTGAGTGTCTTGCTCTATACATGCTGTGTATATGGTAGTTAAATCGTATGATTCTCTTCTTTCCTCCTTGTCATGGGTGTCAAGCGTCAGTCCGTGGCCAATCGGGCCATGTACCCGCCCATATCACTACCGTCGGTGTTAGGCGCCCAGGCTTTGGGACAGGTGGCAGAGCCATCTCTGTCATCGTCAACGCATTTGCAACATCGGTCCCGGACGGAATGATATACCACTACGATGGTCAGTTCCGCCACTTCCTGAGGTTGTTCGCTTTCCAGATCTTGATAATTTCTGGCTTCACGTTGGTTCGTAGTGGGTGAGTGTCTTCAGACCTTGAAGGAGACCTTGCGTATTGATCTTCTTTTAGATGTCACGCCCGAGAAGCTCCCAGCCAGGGTCAACATGCAGCTCTTCAACAGGCTCCGACAGAGCGCCCCATTTCCACAACCCTTGGTCTACGATGGTCGCAAGAATGCATTCTCAATGAGCCAACTTGCTCTGGGTCCGAACAACTCTGGACAGGTAACGTCCAAGCACGTCCATGAATTATTCAAAGTTACTGATTCGTCTACTTGCACAGTTTGATGTGACACTGCCCCAGGAAGGCCCGGCAACAGGTCGACCACCGAAGGTTTACAAAATGAAGGTGACCCTCGTTGCAGAGATCAATGCGGAGTAAGCTCTTTTTGGCGTTCACATTCGATGACAAGGCTGAATTGACGCATTGGATAGAATCCTCCATCGCTTCATTGCTGGTCAACAATCGCAGGATAACACTGTCCTCACGTCTATAATGGTCTGTTGGTTTTCTTCTGACAACCTGCCATACCACTGATACCTCGAATTCGACTGCAGGCTCTGAACGTCGCGATACGGATGGGTCCCAACAACAAATATCCATTCAATACACGTTCCTTCTTTACCGACAAAGGCAAGCAAAGAATCGGCGCAGGCATCGAGCTCTGGCGCGGATATTTCCAATCCCTCCGGCCATCGCAAAACCAAATGTATGTCAATATCGACATCGCCACTGGCCTCATGTATCGAGAAGGTCCACTGCTGGACCTTTGCCTCGAATTCTTGAACCAGAGAGACCCCTCGAATTTGTCGCCCGCAAGGAGGTTCCCTGACCGCGAACGTCTCCGCCTTCAACGGTTCATCAGCAACATGCGAGTCATGACCACTTATGGCGGCAAGAAAAAGGCATACGTCGTCAAGAAAGTCAGTGTCCAGGCCGCATCGCAGATTAGGTTCACCACGAGGGATGGCAGATCGGTTACGGTTGCCGACTATTTCAGAAGTGCCCTGAACGTACCTTTGAAATTCCCAGATGTTGTCTGTGTCGAGGTGAGCCGCTTTTCAGTAACAACGAGCATATTAGATTGATAAACCGATACAGGTTGGAAGTGGGGCCATGCTCCCTCTGGAGGTGTGCATGGTGCCGCCTGGCCAGATCATGCGCAAACAAATCCCGGCAGACAAGACAAACGACGTGCTCAACTTCTCGAAGCAGAGCCCAAGCGAGCGCCTCAACAGTATTAGGGAGGGTCTGAAGGTACCTTCACTTATTCTCTAAGCCATCGTAGTCATTGAACATCCCCTTTGAAATAGGTTTTGGAGTATGGCCAAAGTGAATACGTGCGCGAATTCGGCATGAACATATCCTCGACGCCGATGTCGGTTACGGCTCGCATCCTTCGTCCGCCCACCCTGAAATACGGTCCAGGAAGCAAGGAGGCTACTATTGTGAGTTTTTCCTCGCTTCGTGGAAGAGATCGTATTTACGCAAACATTACCCTAGGAACCGAGGTTTGGAGCGTGGAACATGTAGGTCAGTTACCATGCGTTCGAGCTGGGTTAACACCTGCACGTGTAGGATCCAGAAGAAGTGTTACAAGCCGAGCACCATTCATAGCTGGGTTGTAGTCGTATTCGAGGGTCAAGGCCGTTTCAACCAGAATGTAGCGAGAGAGATGGTAACAGGCTTCATCGAAGGCGCACGCAGCGTAGGTCAGTAGCTCTTTTTCTTTCTTGCGCTTTGCATTAAAGTCATGCTGCCCTGACTTAGGTATGACTGTCAATCATACGGACCCTCCGATCGTTTGGGAAAACGGAAGCGGCAATATAAGCAGTGTACGTCGCCTTTTTACTTCTCCTTCAAGCAGTGTGCTCACAACTCGTCAGATTTTGCGCAGAGCTGGAGGTGCTTGCAAGGAAAAGACAGGGAAACCCCCAACACTCATCGTCGTGGTCCTTCCAGAAGGTGGCAACCAAATATACACAGCAGTGAAGTAGTGAGTTTCCTTCGTCTCGTGTTCATTTTTCAGAATCTCATTTATAAAACAGTTTCGGCGACGTTGAGGTAATAAATCGGCAAGATTGTCCTTGTCTTTGATTGACGTGGGTCTCGCAGATGGGCGTTGCGACCCAGTGTCTGAAGTCGGTGAAGTGCAATCGAGCCAAGCTGCAATACTGGGCGAATGTCATGCTCAAGTAGATGCCGACGTACCTCTCTTTTTTTTCAAGGTTTTGATGATGTTCTCGTCAGGGTCAATGTAAAGCTTGGAGGAATCAACGCAGTGTTGAAAGATTCGCCGCTCAACAATCCAAACGAGCCTGTCGTTGTGATGGGTACGTGCCATTCGTTGCCTTCAAGAGAGATGTTCGTCACATAAAATACAATGTCCTAATACACTATGCCACAGGTGCCGACGTTATTCATCCAGCTCCTGGAGCAGAAGGCCGCCCATCCTTCGCTAGTCTGGTATCCAGTGTCGACACGGATTGTGCGAAATATGTGGCCTATTCCGGCGCCCAAACTGGCCGCCAGGAGCTTATCACTGATCTAGAGGATATGGTAAAGGTGAGCATCTGTTCTCGCCTTCTCGGCCTGTGGGGTCTAATGGACCATATGGCATAGAATGCTCTCGTTACGAACGAAAGCTATCGAAGAGGAGTGGAAAAGAACAACAAGCCTTTACACCGTCTTATCTTCTACCGCGGTATGTCCTCTTCCTTTCCATTTACTTTGAATTAATTCTTGCCCATTTCAGACGGTGTTTCTGAAGGGCAGTTCGAACAAGTCCTTCAGCAAGGTGAGAAATAGCTCTCTAGTACGCTGCTTCGAGCCCATGTGCTCACTTGTTCCGCCTACTTAGAATTACCCTTGATCAAGAGTTTGTTGCCTTTTTTTTTGTTCGCATGCAGACACTGAATTACTTATGGGTAGGCGCTTGCCTCTCTGTCAAGATGAACCCGAAAATTACCTTGATCATCGTTGGAAAACGTCATCATATTCGGTCCGTGTTCGTTTGCCTTTCCTCGCTAGTAATACTAACTTGTTATATTTCCAGAATGTTTCCGCAGACCCCGAACGACGGCGACAAGTCTGGCAATTGCCAGGCAGGGACGACGATTGACAATGGTCTCGGGCATCCGACCGAATTCGACTACTATCAACTCAGTCATGGTGGTCTTTTGGGCACTAGCCGACCCGCCCATTACTCTGTGATTTACGATGTACGTCGCAAACTCTTGTATTTAAGTTTACACCACTTTCTTAAACACCACTTCAGGACAGCAAATTCCCGTAAGCACGTCAATTGTTTATGATGTAGGCCCAGTTAACATCACCTTTCCAGCGCGGACGCCATGCAGAGTCTGTCCTTTGCCCTGGCCCATGTGTACGCACGCGCGACACGCTCTGTCTCGATTCCAGCTCCTGTTTATTGTGAGAAATAGCTCCTTGACTTCTTCAGGTAACTCAGTACTCTTTGTAGACGCCGATATTGTCTGCGCTCGCGCAAAGAATCACTACGCCCCAGGAACCGACTTGGACCTGTCGGACACAGCGACTGTTGCATCCTCCCGAGCTGAAGACCAGCTCCAACGCTACAAGGAGGGGTTCAGGCCGCTCCACGGGAACATGTCCAAATTGATGTACTTCATGGTGCGATACTTCAATGATGGTTTTATTTTCTTGACTAATTTCTGTTCTGCAGTGAACAACATTTTTTTTCGCTCTACCCTGAATTCGAATCGCCGATCGTTGTATATACTCTCCCTTTTGCTTTCAAACTGCTTTCGCTATACTGCTATATCTCCATCAAGTTTGCTATCCGTCATGTATTCTATCGGCAGGAGTGTACTTGCAAATTGCAATGATATTTTCTCTTACATATTTCTCGGCAACCTTGTCCATTGCCAAGCATTGTAACATCTCAACGGCCGCCCTTGCCCGGTCTGAACCTTTGCCGGTGAGCATCTCTCAGCGTGATATTCGTCCCCCGGCCCCGCCTCTAATAAGTTTTGATCCATTTCCCCTCACCCATCTTGTCGGCTTGAGGCTCAGGGGCATTCCCCTCCCAACTGTATAAAGAACGCTGATAATTTGTTGTATAACACTAGCCAGTCAATTTCCACCTGTCTCTACCCCGATCCGACGTTTCTTCGATCCTCATCGGTTTCTCTCTCATTGGCTTCAGCCCATCCCCGATGAAGAGCCCCCGTGTCAACCCACTCACATACTCCGGCGAGGTCTTCGATGTGAACAGTGTGGCAGGGAATGCACCGGAGAACGTCAAGCGGCTGTTGGGCAACCCACGCGCGTTCTATGAAAGCTTTCAAGATCCTAGTAAACCTCCCGTCGAGTACTTTGGGAAGGCGATCGAGAAGAGGATGGTCATTACTGAGATTTCGATCCTGGAGAAGGCGGACGAGCCCAATAAGTTAGAAGGCAGAGCAGTGATGGAGCTTGTAGTAGAGCAAGGTGCGCCGCGATATATATATCTATTTCTTCGTTTGCAGGGGAAGTCTAATAACTGTTTTGGCGGCTAGATATGGTCAATGGTGGTGGAAATATACATGGAGGCTGCTCTGCGTTCTTGATTGACATGTAGGTAATCTATTCGTATACGAGACGACCAGCTCAAGGTCAGTTCGTCTTGGTCCAGGGCATCATCCTTCGCGCTATCAGCGCTGAACATGCACCGCACTGGCAACGTGGTGCCCAGTGTATCGCAAGCATTAAATGTGGTGTACCACTCCCCCGCCGCCATGTGAGAATCCTTCGCGTCGCAAATCTTGCGCTTCGGCTTGTCACTGACGGCATGTTGTGCTTTCAGTGGAGAAAAACTGCGACTGGTCAACACCACTTTGACAATTGGAGCTCGAACGGAGTCGGTGCGAACTGAGGTACGCGTTCTTCATCTTGTAGAGGGTCGTTTGGTGTTTCTGACGAGTCGATCTTGCAGATATGGAACGTCACACACCACCGCCTTGTAGCGTCAGGCGTACATATCAAGATGATGCCTTCTCAACCCAAACCTGCTGCTCTATAGCGGGAATCGACGAGACCAGGCGACAGAGCAGCGTAGGTCGTTAAGGCTCAGGATACGGTGACGGTTCGGAGGATATTGTTGTGCTGAAGTCGTGTTTCCCATTTCCGAGGATTTCCATTCCAGACGAGTGGCAGCACCTCAAATTGCTGAGGATGGACAGTGGTCGAAGACTGGAGGGAGTATGTTGGTGTTTGGAGGCCTTGCAGCTGAGAATACCATTCTAGACCAGATAAGCTGGGGTGTGCTTCATGTACGATTTTTTGCGTCCTAGATTTATGTCATTTAAATATAATCATCAGAAAAGGCTTTACCACGTACAGAGTCCAAAATTTGCTTCTCCAATGCTCGTACTTCCGCCTCCAGCTTTTCGCGTTGTTTGGTCAACGTTTGCAGTCGTCTTGTCTCCAGCTTCTGAACAGCACTCGTTCCGATGGGAGGGCGCGCCTTGATTTTCGCGTTTTCGACCTGTGTACGCGTCGAGAATCAAGTATACATCTCCTCGAAGATCATCGACGCTTTCGTACCTTGGCTTCTAGCGTCTGTTGCTTCTTTTCCAGCAATGCAAGACCTTGTTCAGCGCGTTCAATGAGTTCCGCAATAGCAGGTTCTATCTCATCGGCCAAGTTTGATTTGTATCGTTTGATAGTGTCTTCGTTGACAAGAAGAAACACCTACAGAAATTGTTGACCATTAGAGACGAGGACATCCCTAGTTGAAGGTACGCGTACCCTTTCATTCTGCAGAATTTTAGTCATTCGTGGCAAATCCTGAGTTCCGTTTCGTAGTAACATCTGTGCCTCATACAACTACGGGATGTTAGGTCAAATTGTTTATCAAGACTGAGAAAATGACAACTAACCTCTTCGCAGCAATCTTCCATCGCCATGACACATTCCTCCAGTTCGGGCGGGCATCTCGCTTGAGTGTCGCCGATGTATTGCTCCGGTCCACTTGCAAAAATGGATTCTCTGGCTTTGAGATTTGCTCGCGATAGACGGGACATGACAGTAAAAATCAAGATTCAAGTTGAAGTTCAAGCATAGGCTCGTGACCAGCCTGAATATGAGAATCGATATTCAGGCTGGTCGATCTGAGTTTGAATTGCCGTAGCGTTCAGGTTGCACAGCTTTCTCCCTATTAAGCCGAGTGGTTCCGACCGACCCTAAACTCCCAGGTCACGTTGCACTCCCAATTTGGCGCAGAGGGTTTCCTGGCACCAGCCCTCCCTCCCTTTCGCCGCTCAATGCAACCACGGTCCTCTGCTGATATCCTCGCAAAGGCTCCGACAAAGCCAACGACAAAGCCAACGACAAAGTCAACGACGACGAAGTCAAGGCACAAGAGGCCAGCTGCTTCTACCAACATAGAGCAGAGGCTATCATTCTCATCTCTCAGCGGCACCGGTCCTTCCAACACGACCAATACGAGCGAGCACCTGACGTTCGGAAACCCTGAACCAGCGCAGCACCAGTTCAACTTCCGTTTCAAGGCTTCAAAACTCTCTGCCTCCGCTCCTGAAGCATCTGGCACACACGACGATGGAGTTCTGAGGGACTTGGGTACAGTAGAGCAAGCCGTGGATTTCGTTGGTGGGGAGTTCAGTGGTGCCAAAGAACCAAAGTTGGCTCTCTTGTATTCAGCGAGATTTACACCAATATAATCTATTGCAGCCCCACCACATTCCCTCTCTCTGCCGCGAGAGCAGAAGAGCCCCCGCGAACCAGAATACTGCGTACCGAGCGTATCGAGAAGGTGCTAGCACTGTTGAAGGAAAACAGAATGAGTCCATTTGACTTGTTCGTTGAGATACTGGATGAATTCAAGCCAGAATATTTCGCTTATCGTTCCGAGCTCTATAAAGGGAGCAACAAAAAGCTCGACACGATCCTCAACCACATTGCTGGGGCTGAGGCGGGAAAGCGCAAGCTGTGGGCATGGATGCGACCTCATGCCCTATAGCTCGTCCGTGAAGTTGTGGGCGAAGAGATGGACACTGTCAATAAAGCTAGCGTACTTCCAGGAATCGCGTCAATCACGCCCGAATTTATTCGAAGACAGCTGCAGATAAAGACAGAAAACAGACGTCGAACATGGAACGACGCATCGTTAGGGGCTTGCGACGCGGTTCGTTGACTGGAACGTGACTTGGAAGTTTAGGGTCGGTCGGAACCACTCAGCTTAATAGGGAAAAAGCTGTGCAACCTGAACGCTACGGGAATTCAAACTCAGATCTACCGGTCTGTATATCGACAGATTACACCTCACTCACACTCTGTCATATACAGACGGTCACCGGTCTAGTTCAAGCATTGGACTTTCGGGTCCCTGAATGGTTCATCCACGTGGCCCCCCCTGGCTTTGGCGAAAAATTGGTCATTTCAAGGGTGTTCCGGAAGCAATTCTGTGCACTTTTTTGGCCAGGGTTTTTGTCCGAAACCTCGCCAAAACTCCTCGGCACCCGTCTCACCTCGTCATCATTTCCGCAGTGCACTTCGGCAAGCGTACTTCTTACTCAGGAATCTCTCTCAATTCGGCTCTTGATATCACGTGACATGCGTTCGGTCATTTCGGTCATCGTTTGGTCCTCCTCCGCAAAAGGAAAACCCTTGGGATGGTGAAGCTGCCTCAAGGGTGTTCTGGAAGCAATTCTGTGCACTTTTTTGGCCAGGGTTTTCGTCTGAAACCGTGCTCAAACTCCTGGGCAGGTGTCTCATTTTGTCATCATTTTCGTATCACCCGGTTCTTGGCTCGTAAACCGTCCTCAATTCGGCTCTTTGTATTACGTGACACACATTCGGTCATTTCGGTTATCATTTGGTCCTCGTCCGCAAAAGGAAACCCCTTGGGATGGCGAAGCTGTCACTTTGGCGACGACCTAAACTTAAAACCAAACCCCTTTTATCCCTCAGCCACCACCACGGTCCCCCGATGATCACAAAGGTCCTTTAATAGCGACACATATAATTTCTATCATGAACGATCAGGATTCGAGCCGGCCTACGACTCCTGAGTCGCCGTTGGACAGCAGCCTTTATCATGCGAGACGAGGTCTCTGATAGTTGGTCCTGGTTCGTCTGCAGTCGCGTCGGTCGACGCAGTATCGCTGACTGTAGCATCAGATTACTCGAATCTAGGCGGGCGCATGCAAATTTGTTGGTGTGTCACCAGTTAAAATAGCGACTTTGGTTGAAACCATATTGAACCGGGAACTGGAGTGGGGGTAGTTATGTAAGGTCGATGTTGGTGCATACAATTGGTTAACGACCATGATGTAGTCAGAGTCCGGCACGGGGGGGCGCTGAGTGGATATTCTACGGAGATTTTTCCCTTGCACATTCGGGTTTTCGTATGCGTTCATGATAACCGTAGAACTCTTTCAATATACTCTATGTATGTTACTCTCCGTGCTCATTTATGAATTGCCTTGATGTCGACCTTAGTTTCGCGCCCCCGTTCTTCGATTCGGTTTCTTTTGCTCCCACTGCTTTGGTCTGGGCATTACGATCATAATTGCCGTATCACAATCGTTTATTCATTGCTGTTTCCTTTGGTCATAAGTACACTACAATTGTTGAGCACTCTTTGTCAATAGCTCAACCAGCTCGGCTTTGTCGAATGGAAGCGACGCAGAGAGGTGATCGAATCTTACACTGTACTCCTCATCGCCATCCTCAGCTAGAAAGATACCCACGACCTGCCAATTTCCCGACTCCTCAACGTCTTCTCCCTCGAAAGCGTGAAACTTCATTGTTCTGAGGCGCCTGACGTCCTGAACCAGGGCGTTAGCTTCGGAACGACCAATCATTGCTTGGCATTGAGACGATTCCGCGCTGTCGGTCTGCCCCAGTCGCACTCGAGACAGCTCTTCCCTGAACATGCCATGAGTACAAGGAGGTCGAGCCAACGGCAAAAGCACAAGACTTACAGCTTAACGAAGGCTTTCGTATAGGCTTGAAAGAAGAGGGGATCTCGAACTGCTCGGGGTGTAATGATGTGCACGGTCACAAGAATGGCCGCGGACGACGCGTAATGGAAATGGTAGTAGTGACTACATGTGTATGAGTTTCACAGTACATGAACGGGAGGACTGCAGATGACTCACTCCATGAAAGACTTGGGAGCAGTGGCGAGGGTTTCGTCGTAGAACTTCAGCGCAGCCATTGGATCGGGGATGGCACCTGCTTTCAGAGGCACTTCACCACCCTCAGCCTGCAAGGTGGCAGACGTTGCGGCCATGCGATCTGGTTCGGCGCGGACTCTAGTGCCAGAAAGGACGAAAATCTCGGTATATCGCACCATCCTCCTTGCAATTTCTTCAGGTGAGTCGGCTCGGGGCATGGGCGGAGAGGAGGGGGAGTGATGAACAGGCGCCATGGTGGTGAGTGACAGATCATACGTAGAGCGTTGACATTCGTCAAGCACGTGACACTAACAGTGCCGAGACAGGGTGGTGTGACTTGCGCAAAGCGCATTATCTCATTTCGATGGCTGCCCTCCCTCACTATGTCCATCCTCATATTCTCAATCAAGTGCAAGGATCCTTTGGGATCTCTTACAATATATTCACAGCTCCCACTGAGCGCGATCTGCCTCAAGGATGGTATTCCTATCAAAGTCAGTAGGGGCCAGTCCTAGTTCTTAGTGTAGAATGCTCACAGAAGCTTATAGGGCAAACTTATCGTCGCCTCATCAGACATCTGGACATGCACGGTTTCCACCACCACCAATATTCGGATAGGAGGTGGGACAACACCAATGCTCTTGCAGTGTACCTTGTAATGGTACAGCTGCACCTCTGCTTACCCCCCAGCAAATTTGCTACCACAGTGAAGTCAATCAAGATGCACCACTTCACAGACCTCAATGTCTTTGACCAGACTCATGAGCTGATTTTGGGTGGCTTCTATAGCCCACAGTTAGTGGGATATGTCCCTCAAGGTTTGGTTCCTGCAGGGGTTGTTTTGAATCCTCCAGCTGTTCCTGCAAATCCAGGTGGCTTCCAACGCCCTGTTGACACCTGAGACTCCCCCAATGCCAACAATCCTGCCAACTGGTTGATGTAGCTGTATGTAGGAGCTGCATTACTTGTTTGTCACTCTGATCTGATTACCAATCCCCACTCTGTTCCCCCCTCTCCATTCCATTCTCTACCTATGACTTGTTTTAATGCCTGTTCATTACCTTCTGTAGTCTTCTTAGTAATTCTGTAGTTAACTTGCTTTGCATTCCTGTGTACCTCTAGCTAATAACTTGGTCTCTCATGTAGTACTATAAATATGGCCTGTACAGTAGTCAATCCCTGAGTAATCCAGACACCCCTTAGCATTGGACTTATGGTTCATCCACGTGACCCTCCAGGCTTTGGCGACGCCTAAACTTAAAACCAAACCCCTTTTATCCCTCAGCCACCACCACGGTCCCCCGATGATCACAAAGGTCCTTTAATAGCGACACATATAATTTCTATCATGAACGATCAGGATTCGAGCCGGCCTACGACTCCTGAGTCGCCGTTGGACAGCAGCCTTTATCATGCGACGAGCACTATCGACGACCTGACGGCAGCGCTGGCCGACTTCTCTCGTGTCCCTTCTCCGGAGCCAGTTTCAGCGCTTTCGTGTTGTTGCGGAAGAGAAGATTGCGAAAACTTCAAGGCGTGGCTTGAGTTGAAGTCTCGTCTCGGTAGCAGGCTGGTTCTCAGCGCAGGTGCGTCACTGGATCGGTATTCAAGACTTCACGCCAAATGCTGACAGTGGCCATGCAGAGGTTGGACAGGCTCTCTTGCAGCGGCATGAGGCTTATGTGCGCCAGACCGAGGTGTGTCGTGTAGACTCCGTCGCTCTCGCTATCTAATCTCTTGTACGCAGCGCAAACTGCGGAACAACATGGCGCGTTATCCAAACACCAGTAGGAGCGAATCGTCGACCGACACACTCAACCGCGAGCTTGATGAGCTCATGAAAGAGAAACAGCAGCTCGAGAAGGTCCGTTTTCGCTGTTGCACAGAGGCGGACGCTGACTCGCCCACAGCAATTGAACCAAGCCCTGGTCAACAATGAAGTGACGGAAGTCTCGAGCAAAACCATCCTTCAGGAACTGCAAGAAGCCCGAGAAACGATATCTCGCTTGACGGCCCACCATGCGCGTTCCATTGGTTGGGATACTCGATTGTCAGCAGCCATGAAAGAAAGGGACGACATGCAGCAGGAACGAGACGGGGAAACCCACAGGGCCCGGCTTGCGGAGTCACGATTTGCTGCCTTGAAGGAGAAGACAGGTTCGTTGTGCTTGTCGCCGCCCGCAGCTATCCCTCATCTTTCCATGTTAGCCAAGCTGCAAGCAGAGGTTCGGCGGCTGCAAGAAAACTTGGAGCAGAAGCGGCAGCATCGCCTCGAGTCCTCTGAAACCCTAATACAGGATGCGAGGAGTCGCCTTGAGTCATTCCGTAACTCGGTAAGCCACCCAAAAGCACCCAGACAAAGTATTCTCAACTCATAGTAGCACTTGGGGGTGAATGCGAAGCTTGCAGAAGAAGAATTGACCAGCGTGTTGGAGTCTCTCGTGCAAGACAACGAAACCCTTCAGCACGACAACGCGGAACTCCAACATCTGCTGTCGGAGGCGAGGGAGGACTTACATGCCTTGCAGGAGGAAGTGGAGGAATCCCGAGCAAATCCTCCTCCCCCTTCACGTTCAGGAGGTAAGCAGCTCTCTGACTCTTTTGTGCATGCTTTCATTCTTGGACAGCCAATACGCCGCATTCAAGACACTTCCATTCCGGCAGTGTCACTTCTATATCTTTAAAGGACTATTCAGCACGTACATTCCCCCTCTTCTCTGGCCATTAATAATATATCCACAGATGTTCAGCCCTCGCATTCGTCGCAACACTAGCTCGGATGGCACATCCAAACGACGCCAAGCACCAGCTCAGATCGACGTTCGCCTCAGTCCGGCGCCACCGGAGCTGCCTACACCCAACGCTCTGCGCTCTCCAATGTCGACAGTCGATTCATTAGCCCCCGTCGAGAACAAGTGGCAAGGTCAGAGCTCGCCACGCTCATCGCACATTAGTTACGAGCTTGATGACGAGGCAGAGAAGGACGGGAGCCCACCTCTGTATGAAAGACCGCGAGGACACAGACCGCTCCTACTACTCACTCGGTCGCGCGCCGTGCAGACAGACAGCACGTTGTCAGGTACATTGTCTCCGTCTCCATTCCCTTCCCATGTCTCTTCGGTATCGCCGCATGACCCCCGGTCAGAGTCCTCTTCCTTCTCAGAAACACCCTCGTCGCATGTCTCGTTGATCTTGGAACGGCTGACGAGCCTCTTCAATCGGTTTACGCAAGCAGACGCTCTCACGCTGACAAACCGGTTGAAGCGACAAAATCTCAAGGGTGCGGACGTTGGCCATCTGTCGAGGAGCACAATCAACAACATAGTCTCTGAGGCGACCGGTCTGCGCGCACAATACCGGTCCTTACTGGAGGATGAGAAGGTCGTGACATCGTGCACGAGAAAGGATTTACGAATGCTGTTCAAGCTCGTCAAGGATATGTTTTCGGAGATGGCGAATCTGCGGATCACATTGAATGACGTCATCCTTGATCCGACATCGGCACCGCGTATCAGTGAACTTGCCCTAAATCCGGGCAAAGCGGAGGCAGAGACAAGGGAGAAGGAGCGGGAAGGGGCGACAGAGGGCGGTGTCAGTGGATGGATGGCGCCTATATCAAAGCTCTTTTCACCTGTCGGACGGACAGACCCCGTAGGTGATAGACCGGGCTTGACACGGTCGTCGAGTGCGAGAGCGCCATCAACGCGTCCTCAACGGTTTGTACCGAAGTTAGGGCCGGCGTTGGCGGCGTCTGCGACAACAGTTAACGTCGAATTCTCCGGGTCGGGGGTTGGACGTGCTGTTACAAGTAGCTTCTCGGCCCAACCTATCCCTGTCGCCGACTCGTCAATGGGCATAGCGTCCACTTCACAGAGCGTCTCATCTGGCCTGATGGACATCTTCGCAGGTGCACCCAAACCTATCGAGAACGCCGACCCATGGGTAATTCTTCCAACCGCCCACTCAACGGCGCCTCCGCCAACCCAGGTTTCGACGTTACGCATGTCGCAGCCGTTCGTGAAAATCAGCGAATCGACTGCGACAATCGGTAGAACTACTGGCCGGAAGAATGTCAACAGACTTTCACGGAATGTTGACGCGGTTATTGACTTGGAGCGCCCTCCAGATATCGACGAAGAGCCGGACTACTTGCCACCACTGTTGGAGAGAACCTTGCGCCGGCGCGGGCTGTCTGACTCTTCTATTCATTCGACATTCACCAACCAAGCACAGGCCGACGAACCTCGGTCGCCCACCTCGCCTGAGAGACCGTCCAGGCAGCACACCATCATGGCGCCGACCCCATTGGCGAGAGCACCTGCCTGGCCAGAGAGGACGTCAGTGTTCCAGGCGCTGAGCAGGACGATGATGGGCTTGAAAGCAGGTGTAAATGTGATGACTGCACCGTCGAGTGCATTGGCCAGGGAGATCAAGAGGGTCGCGACGCCTGAAAGATCTCGGTCACCCGCAAGCTTCCGGCAAGCAAGAACGGAGGCCAGCACAGAAGGCAGCGGTGGTCGTTCGACTCCATCAAGCTTGATGGGCCCGCCACCACCACCCCTTGCTGTCGATAACAGTTCAGGGTCCAGCGCTGTAGTCTCGATTTCGACTGAAGCCGTCACCTCCGAGCCTCCTTCTTTGCCCCAAACGCCGGTGCGGAAGGCTACAGAAGCTCCGCCCAGCCGCGTCGCCAGCCCTACGAGAGGCGTCTTGCCAAACTTTACATCGTGGGCAACAGCCAACGTGCTCATCGATCCTGTCTCTGGGTCCGATCCATTCATAGCCAGTAGTCTGCGGGATGAAACATATATGCAGCGCGTTGCGCGTGGACGATCTGGTCCTAAGGACGAGACACATCTTAGGGATTTCTACTAGGCCTTTCTTTGGATGGGAACAGTTTATTCATTTCATTCTCTCATTTCCTTCGCATATGTCTGTGTTTAACCTGTTATTATATCCACTACCCATCCTTTCTATCTATGGCATTTGTACATACACGCATAAGTATGGTTATTTCACTGGATTTAAGTACCCAGTCTCAAGACAGAAGATGCAATGGTTCGTTTCCAGGGGGTGGCATGAGCCTCGGCCGATTGATTTTGCAATTGGCCACGTTGCCGAGTTAGCCTCTGGGCGAGAGGAATGAATGCAGTCGGATACAGGTAGTAAGTCTATAGGTAGAGTATACATTTAGATCTGAAGGATGAGGTGATTAAGAGTATGATACATCTTGCGGACTTGATAGTGTAGAGTAGACTAGACGAGTGGACTAGATGTATCGACGTAAGTAGTATGAAGGAATGCACAAAGGGACATTGCAGATCCAACCCTAAAGTCTACCAAAAAAAACAACAACAATACATGCGGAAAGAGACACAATATTAGTGGGAATGCCTGCTAAGATATCATATGCGAAACCAATCTGGGTATCCAGTTGATCATTTTCGTTGCGTGGCCGCGGGGGAGAAATTGGAAGTTGTTTGCCAACCCTTGCATTCCTAGCTCTTCTAGGGCAAGCAGGTGGGAGCGACCGGGACTATTCGAGTTCTCGTCCAGGGTGCCGAGAGTAGAAGTGGATCCGACATTGGTGCTCGTATTGCTCGACCGCGTTGGATCCTGCAATGCAACGCGGAATATATTCGAAACGGAGCGGATGATGGAAGCGTTTGATGAGTTGGCGAAGGTCTCTTTGATTCGGTCTTGCATGCTCTCGTATCTATCGGTATAAGATTAGAAGGGTCATGAAGGGAGTATAGAACGTACGTTATTGCTATAATCTCGGGGTAGGAGTTGGCCAGGCTTGAGAGCAAGCCGTAGAGAATTTCCGTTTCCGCATCATCTCCTTGAGCTGTCGTAAGTATCGTCCCAACGAAAGATGCTACCAAAAGTGCGGTATTCGAGTCATGGATGCCAAGAATAGTAGGAGTCAAACAAGGTGTTCCCGTATCATCGTCGTCACCTTCCGGCAAGCCTGCATCCGAGACCCATGCATCGTCAACATGACAGTCCTTCAAGAGTCGACGGTACGACTTTGCGGTCGTTGAAACCGGGAGAAGAGCGATAAAGTAACCCAATGCTTCTGGACAAGGGCTATCCTTAAAGCCGTTGGGAATTTCGGAGTTGGCGTCGTGCGCTCCCGACGTGACTCTCAGCAGCACCCGTAGTGCGGCCTCTGCAGACTCCTTCAACCCTGAGTGTCGCATTCCTCGGAAGATGACTGAGGCCAACGAGAAGGAGAAGCTCGTTTCGAAGGATATTCTGAGCATTTCGTCCAACTGTGACGTTACTTCCTCGAGAATTTCCCGCTGTTCCAACAAGAAGGCTTGCACAGAGGTCTCTTTGAAGGCGCCTGACTGTTCGATGCTTTCCAGGGTGACTCGTAGAAGGCAAGTTGCTTCGATGTAGAAGCCGAGATGGCTGGCTTGAAGTAGCGCGACACCTAGCCAGAATAGAACTCCAACGTAACGCGAAGTCTCCACAATGGCAGGAACAATCTTGCACATGCATCTCAACATGCTGACGATGGCCATCGTGTTAGATTCGTTGGCTTTCAATAACGCGCTTCTGAAGGCCACAAGGATTTGATATAGGAAGTCGTCATCCACTGCATCCACTGCAAGAGCTCCAAGGACCACGAATGATCGTGTCTGCACTGCTGCAGATTGTTGGAAGGCAGTTGATGTTACAAGACTCATCCATCGTGCCCTCCAAACATTCAATAAGCCTGCAAGATGAACATAAGTCGTCGAAGAGAAGATAAAGGGCTGGGAGCTCACCTATGGTCCCTGCAGAGACGTTGAGAATACGGATTAGGAGTTGGGCTAATTGTTCTTGAGCGTCGAGGCAGTCTTTCTCGTTGACCGGGTCAATGTTGGTGTATTCGCTTGTAGGAGTTTCTCGTCGAAGGCCAAATAGCCGGAGAGTTTCTGCTGAGGTGCAATCGTTGGTCAATTGTATTAATCCGGGTTCCGTGCTGTCGTCTGGGCGGGCAATATACAGAGACTGGAGTAGATTCATGATGATGCCATACACCGACTTTCGTACAAGGGAAGGACCCTCGGCAGCGGTCAAGGATACCAGATGAACGATTTCTGGAACATAAAGGTAATTGTGCCCCGACTGAGTGGACTGAGAGCTAATGACAAGAGAGAGTCGGATAAGAGTCGAGACTTCGTTCCAATTCGGATGTTCGAGGAGGGTATTGGAGATTTTTGGTGGCATCTTACTCAAGGCCTGAAACTTTGACTGAGATAAGAGCAGATACAACAGAAAGCCAATAACGAACCTTCCGCAACTTTGAATAGATCCGACCGCGAACATTAATAGATGAGAGGGTAGCAACAATATGCGATATGGTTTCGCATCGTCGAGTACCAATGCCGCTATCAATCGCTGTTCGCACCAATTCATCGAGAATGGCATCAACGATGATTGAATCTAGTTTGGCAACCTCTGCCCAAATATACTTCTGGATGCTGGAAGTAATCTAAGGGATTAGGGTCAATATCATTTCTAACGCAGTAGTACGCCTTTCTTACCTCAGGGAAGGCAAGAGAGAGATCGGCGAGAGTGCGAATACAATCCCTAAGACGAGCACCAGATCGTTCGAACAAAGGATGGGTCGCGTTTGCAAATAGCGAAAGATTTTGTATCCAAGGACTCATGTACTGAAGGCAGCCAATGCGACGAGAACCTGTTGATTTGTCCATACTTGTCATCGCAGCAGACACCTCGTGGATGAAATCTAGAGTCAACTGGGGTGCAAACTCGGCTAGCTTTTCGCTTAGTTGTAACACGAAGGCGATAGGATCGCCTGATATAAAACCAACTAGGAGGACTATAAGCAAGCCTTCCATGGGTCAGTGTTACGAAAAACACACCTTTGCTGGCCACGATCGGGCTCTTGTCATACTTGAGATAGCTACAGACGGCCCCCAATAAATCATAGGCAGCACCGCGCAGTTCCTCGTCGTCTAGGTCGACGCTGAGAAAACCGATGTGAAGGAGAGTAGCAGGCACGTTCGAGAACCGGGAAAATCGTTCTGTCATAGGAGCCTGAACTTCTTTGAGACGTCCTTTGGCAGATCTTATGGTCTAAACACATTGTAAGCATATACATAGGGTGATCAAATAAAAACTCTACCTTCACAATTTGCTCTCTTGCAGGGGACGACAGGTATAGAGTTAAACCTTGCCTCCGACGGATAATAAATTCGTAGGGTTCCGCACCCGTCGACACGTTGTAGATGTCGCTCACGTCGGTCAGGGGAATTAATTCCGTCGATTTGCACGATAGACCAGGAGAAATAGGTAACGATTTCACCTTCGAGAATGTTAACTCCAGCATTATTGATCAAAGAGAAAAAGCTCACAGAGGTGACACGTATGTGGCTGGATCCGACACGTACAACGACAGGAATTCGTACAGAGGATTTCAGTGTAACATCTGAGAAGCTTTCGTGTGCCTCTTGTTCAAGAGATACTGATCAATGCGACGTAAACATTAGTCAAGGGACCAGACGAGGAGAATTCGTCCCTCACCTGGATAAGCTAATGTTGGAAGGGCGAGTGTTCTCACGTCTTCCATGAGCTGAAGAACTGAAGTGTAGGCTTTGACCTCATTGCAGAGGGGCGTCCCTAGGAAAAGTAAGGATAGCGTCACAAATGTGGAGAGTAGGCACAAACCAGCTGAGATGTTATACAATCGACGCAAATATTTCTGCGTAAGAGTATTGGGATTTAAAATGCGGGTGGCAGCAAAGCGCGACCGGATATCCAAAGGAATGAGCTCGGCGCAGTATTTAAGATTTTGGAGAGGCACTTCTGAGTTGGCAGTGAAGGAAGTGCAGTCCAGAATGATGTCGAACGAGCGTGAACGGTACGACTCTGAGTTTAAGGTCTATGAGAAGAATGTTGATAAGCTGCAAGCCAACGATCACGAGAAATTAATTCGACCTTGAGGATGTGATACATCAGGAGTTCGATATCGAGACCCTCCACGTTGATTCTAGAAAAAGAAAGAACAAACACAGCTGTGTTTTCCTATATAGCACAATAGTAAGAAGGGAGGTCAGTTCTCAAAATAAAGCAAGGAGACGGTGCTTACCTGGACATCTGTCTCCAGAAAGAGATGCTCGACAGAAGAGGTGTTTCGATTTGCAAATCGGGTCATAAGATTGATGAAGTCCGTATGCTGGAAAGAGGTAGCAGTGGAAAGGCGGGGGACTTCTAATGGAGGGCCGAGATCTACGAGAAGTGCACACAGGCCATCCCATGCACGTTTGCCTGTGATAGCTGACGAATCTCCGTCAACTGTCGGCTTCGACAGACTGAGCAGTTCTTTCCCAATTTTGTCTGCATGCTTATGGAAAAATCGGTGGAGAACAATGACATCGGATTCATCGGTTGTTGTTCCAGACCAGTTGTCAGTCTCGTCGCTGACCCCTGAATATTTCTTCGCGGAGTCAAAAATTCTTCAGTCGCACGAGAAACAAGTATAAACGTACATGCAATTCAGAAAGGAACCTCGTGACATTGGTTATGTTGCTTTCAAGGAACTTGTTCAGAATGGTCATATGCGCCTCTTTTCCAAAAAAGATGTTGTTCGCCAGGTTTTGAATGATTTTCGCGATGACCATGAGACCGCGGCGCAAAACATAACTGTTTTCATCTTTCGGAACTTCGATATCTATCGTCTCAGGCGTTACAACTGCAGGGGAAATGAAGCTTTGGTACCATCAATTTGATGTTCGCATCAGGCTTGATTTTCACTTACCGCAGGAAGATGAAGGCTCCCATAGCAGCAAACTTTGCTTCTGGCCAGACCTCCGCTCTGCAACAGTGATGAATGTTGGGATTGCCAACAAAAGCGAGTGCCACTCACACAACCTTGGCGATATGGGCGCATATCTCACGGAACATGCTAGAAATAATGAGCAGCAGGTATTTGAAGGGGTAAGTCGCGCACCTAGGTAATGTCGGAAGTGAGGAGGACATCAAAGTCAGGAATGTTGATGCGACATATTCTACATTTTCTTGATTTTGAACTATGTCCTGACCAGCTGCTTTGGTTGGATCAATTTCGTAGCCTGATCCAGGAGGCATTGCTAGCATCGTATCAAGGAGAGGTTGGACCAAACTCCTAAGATAATTGTAGCCGTGCAGCCTGGCAAATGCCGATAGGAACCGAGAACACGTCGAATTGCTTCTGAAGAGACTCGCTTCGTTGTCTGCAAAAGCGACATGAGCACTATGGCCTGAATGGGCCCGGCCGGAAAAGGTACCTGTCTGGTTGACTTCACGTTCAATTATAAGCTTGATGAGACCCATGAGAGATGCTCGAGAATCAAATATATTCAGGAGGACAGAAATCATCATCTCCACTTCGCCTGGTGGGCAAATTTCGCAAATAGTCATGGCAAGGACCATCTGTAAGGGGGAATCAGAAAAATCTTACGAGAGTATCCACTGTTAGTCTTACATCCGAACCCCGGACCAACTAAGAGCAGAAATGTCAGAGGCATAAACCCAAACTCGTGGAAGCGACTCACATCACATAACGCCGTATGCCTCGTTTTGGTCAATGATCTGTCCTCCGGGTCGAAAACAGTGCCTTGCCCAATAACCCTGGCAAAAACATGGGCAAAAATGGTGCGCTTGCGATTGTCTTGATCATATGCAAGGGGCAAACATTGTTTAAAACCGCTTTCGCTGCTGGCGCTAACTAGATGGGTCAAGCCAGTGATCACAAGCTCGCGAAGTTCGGCCTCCTTTTGGGAAGCTCGCATCCTCTAAGGAAGATCCGTGTTAAAGGCTGCCCCAATGATAATGCAAATACACTGACCTGGTGGATTGAGCCAAGGTCTGACATGCTATCGGAGGCCTAAGGGATAATCATTAATTTTGTAACTACCTGAGGCGCAATGAACAAACCATGACATCGGGTTGACATGTTTCAATGCTGGTTAGCAGCGCAGTCGAATATTTGTTGAAATGGCGGAAGACAGCATGACCGCCATCATCAGCACTGGAGGAAGCATCGACAGCTTTAAGATCCAAGCGATCTAGTAGCTTGACAGCCGCACGCAGGCATGCCATATTGAGGTCGTTGTGTGTAGGATTAGAGTGGTCTGTCGCAGACTTGAGAGAACGCTGAACTTCATTGAAGTAACTCAAGAAAAAAATGGACAAACTTTGGCCGGTTGCATCCATTGTAGAACGATGTCCAGTATATCATGACGGACACTAGTATCTCTTCGCAAAGTTAACGTATCTGATCGGTTGCACACACTTTCGCACAGAGAACAGTACTTGATCTTGATGCGCAGTATAGAGGGTGAGCCTGCGCAACGATGGGTGATTCTGCCCAAAGAAAGCATAATCGGGCTCATGTCGACAGCCATGACATCCTCTAGAGCGACTTGATTGTTGTCCGCAATCAGCTTGAGAATTGCTATCATCTAAATAACTGTAGGTTTCTTGCATTTGTGTCATGCTCGTGCGACATACCTGCTCCACAACCACCAAGTACGTTTCAACGTCACCCGCCGTCTCTTCTGAGGCCGTGAGATAATGCAAAGTGCTACTCTCAAAGTTTGTTAGGTTGTACGAACGTGAGTATCGGCACGACTTACTCCTCTAGGTTCCTGATGACTTTGCCGTATAAACGAGGACTGAGTTCAGTGCCAAGTGCATCCCGAACGATGTCTCGTATTTGCATATCCCCTTTGACCAGCAACGATATCAAATCGGCGACGAAGTCTTCCACGAGTGGAATCGGATTCTGCACGACACGTATCTTATCTGGCAAGAACTTAGGCGGAATGACCTTCCCCAAGGCGCCCAGATCCTGGTTTTCTCGGAGGCAGGAGCCTCCTAATGCAGCAAGATATAGTGTTAAGTTCTGCCATTGAAACCGAATTTCCTAGCGAAAGCAGGAATTAATTGAGAGGAGGATACATTTTTATGATAGGAAGGCTTACCTGTTGCGCTGGCGTCATATGGCTGCGGGCACTCTCCTGCCCATCGTGCATTCCCAACTCACTCAAAGCGGTGATGATCGACTCGTTCAATGCACGCCAGCGCCAGTAACATTCCTCCCAAACAACTATATGCATGCCCGTGGAGAAGGAAAGCATACGAACTAGTTTGCGAATCCTTTTCTGATGGCCCAGACGACCTGACGAGGAAAAGAAATTCAGAAGAAATGAAATGTATGATATGCAAGGACATACCAACTACAGTGATCCTAGGATCACCAAGTTGTTCATAGACCGGATTTCGTTTCGAACGTTCTTCATCCGTGATCGTCATATTAATAGGGGCGCTTTGTTGACGTTCTGCATAAGCAAGTAGCCGAAGTCCTTTGGCCGCCAGCTGGGAGATTCCGTTATCCGCAGACGTCAGGGCTACTAAGAACGCAATTTCTGCCAACCCAAACGCTGGAATACGACGGGGGTCAACTTGTACTTCCTTGACGTGTTGCATCTAGACGTGAGAAAATAAATGAGATCGAATATCCAGGCAAAGAAAAGTTTAGTCCCTACATCGCTCTTCGTGACGTAAACCTCGATGACTTGATGTGCGATAGAAATCCATAGTCGTTGAGCCTCCAAATCAGTCCGTGTTGTTAGCAGGTTTCCAACAACGCTAAGCAACGTCAATGGCCTAAGAGAACGACCGAGTAAGACGAGACTAGTAAGGCGACTAGAAAAAGACGTACAAAGAAGACTTGACGATTCCAATCAACAACGAATAATTTGGGTCCGTAGCCGGCGTCAAGAAAGTCTGTTCTGAGACTCTACGCATGCAACTCGCCGTCGATATCTTCACAGAAATGTCGATCGGTGCTTCCCACAACCGGACGGCGACTGTGTTCCAGTTGTCAACATCCTCCACGCTAATTATCCCTGTCATGAAGAAGACGGGAATAGCACGCCAGAGCGAGAGAATTCCTAGGATAAGGACTTCTCTGTCAGACAATGGTTCTGGATATATCCGCTTTGCCTTGGGTCGCGTGGCAACGCGTTTCGTATTGTTGTGTTGGTCGACGTCGACGCGTCGTACTCCGGCGCTCTGCAACACATGTCAAATATTGTTTTTCGTCACCAGAAGAATGACAAACCTTCAGGATATCTCGACAACGAGCAGCGACTGAGGCTGGCAGGTCATCGAGAGTCTTCTGCCAAAGAAACCTAGACTTATCCTGGACTATCGTCAGACAGGCCCGAATAACACAGGTCTTGACAGGCTCAGAACGTTCGGGCTCGACACAGGCTTCAAAGAGCGGACCTGAATCCTCGATAGGCAGAAACCGGAAAACGGCCACTAGAGCGTCCGAATAGAGAGCCACGTCGATGTCATCGTACGACTCCCAAAATGCCTTGCGACTTGTTCCAGAGCTGTAAAGAACGCCCTTGAAAATTGGGTTAGGAGACAATGCCTACGACTTGTTCTACCGTACAAACCTTGATTTCGTGCGCGATGTCGGCAGCTATGAGTCGCAGGGGCACCTCCGAGGTCGTGTCAATGTATGCAGCAGCGCGGCACATGTCGACTGAACAAGCCAGCGCAACCTCCGAAAGCTTTGAATTGTTGTTGATGTGCCTCACAACCATTTCGCCGAATTTGCCCTCCTGTTGAGACATGTAAGCGAATGTTATCCATGTGAAAGCGCTTGTGCGCACCTTTCGATTCTTGTGTATATTCGCGCCGCCGAACTGAAAATCGGCGGATATCCTATCGGAGGTGATACAGTTAAGAATAGTCAAGGTTGGCCAGAATATCTTCTCGCTTCCAGGAGGGACCAATGAGTAAAGGAGGTCAAAGACACGCTCCGGAGCTCCTTCAGTCTTCCCTCGAGTCCTGATGGCCTCGTTGAACTCGCTTGGGAAAATATCTATCCAATTCCAGACAGCAGATCTCAAATGGACTGCGATCGCAAGTTGAGCTTCTTTCCTCATGTTGACCAGTAACGATGAGAGTTCTGATGGAGTTGTGATGAGCTGTAAGAAAGCACGAAGACGGAAAAGGGACGTACGATTGAGCAGCAACACCAGCCGATGTCTATCTAACAAGCTGTGTGACATAAGTTGAAGGTCCACAATGTCAGGGTTTGCTTCGGGATGTGCGGCCAGAAACGAGATCTTTGTCGAGAGCCGGTCAAACACCACATTCCAGTTCGATGCCGAGATATGGAAGATGATGCGACCAACATACTTCGCAATCAAGTTGTTGACCGACAGCGATGATTTGACAAGTGACATGTGAGTCTTCTCGTAGGCCGTATTCGTGGCAGAGATGTGCATGGTCGACTTGATGCTCACTTTGGCCGACTTGACAGAGTTGGAAGAAGGCTGCGTTCGAAGCGGAGGGTCTTGCACAGGCGTTTGCTGAGATGGTTCAGCTGAGGCCATGCTGATGTTGTCCTCGAAATCTCTAAACGAAATATCTGTGGATCGCGTTTGAAGCATGAGGGGGACGTCAGCGGAGGATGTCTGCCGCATGAACAAGACCATCACGCTGAGGATGTACTTGACGCATGAGTCATCGAGAGGCGGAGGTTCTTGCCACGATGAGGTTGATGAGTATTCTGAAGGAGCCTGGCGTCGACCGTTTCCTGCTGAACCAGGTGGGAGCGGAGAGTCGGGCGAAGATAACATTTGGTCGTCCGCCTGACGAGATGCTGATCCCATATTCTGGGACCATCGCGATGCCATGGTCATGGAGAGCACCTTCAAGATAAAAAGCTGAGACTGCAGGACCTCGATTGTCAAATGACCGGTATGAGAATCGGTTTGCTGGACAAAAATAACAGCCATGCTTCAGTTACGCTTCCAGACTTTCCCCCTAGAGTCGTAGGACGCACCTTTGCCAGCCGGTCCAGTAATTCACTAAGAGCCCAAGCAATCATATCCAACGAATCCTTCGACAATTCCACCAGTGTTTCGATCGCCTGTTGGGTGGGCTGATCGGATTCGACCCGGTCCAACGACAGACCTGAGTTGCATGGAAGCTGGGAGGACGAGACTTAGTGATTACGAGGCACAGTGGACGCGACGAGGGTGTACCTTGTGCTTCAGTCTGTTAACAAGGACCTGCACAATCTTCTGCTGGGGAGTTGCAGAAGCGCCGAGGGTCTGCAGAGCATGGTGGTGATGGTGGTGGTGGTGCGTTGATGAAGGCACCTGCGGGAACACATGCTGCGATTCTATCGTCCTATGCACGAGGATAGCGCTGGCGTTCGGCGTGTTCGCGCTGGGTACAACAGACGCTGAAGGTCTGCGAGGCATTTCGCCAGAAGGGTCTTACGCAAGTCGTTTGGGTGTCCGTTGCTGTCGTCGTTGTGGTTGTGGGATTTAAGAGGGTTATGGGGGGGTTCGCCTGTGGGTCTGGCTTCTTGTAGAGGCCTCAAAGACAACGAAATCTTGGGACGGCCCTCGAATTATCAGGGGAAGGTCTCAAGACGACGAGGTCGAAGGAAGGTTCGAACACGACTTCTTTCATTTGAGCATTTCCTACCAAGCTGACTAAGCCACACTAATCCCTCCGTCCCTGCACACCTTGACACACGGTCCAAAGTAATTTATCACGCGGGATCACCATGTTTCTGTACGTCAAGGCAAACGTCGTTGAGGGGGGTTAAGGGGAGCCTCAAGAGGGCGGAAAGTAACGGAGAGTGTTGGGGGCAGATTTCGAAACTCTATCACAAGTACAATTTAGTAAGTCGGGTTAGTGGTGCGCCACACATTACAACTTGAACTGAGTACCTCATGTCGACCCCGAGCAAATCCTGACGTGGACACCGGACAGAGTGCAAAAACCCTTCAAGTTGCTCTGTCGTGGGTGAGCCATCTTGACGGATTAGAAAAGAAAGAGCTAGTCCTATGGGCAGACAGGTCATGATCAAGAGGTGGTCATGTCCGAAGGAATTGCACGCTCGGGGAACAATGAAAGAAATTGAAACCCAGGGGACAATGGTAAGTGGCACTTGATCCGCTATGAGACCCCACATCCGCGCCGAGAGTTGAATACATCGCTGGTGACGACAGGATCTCATGGGATAATGAGATTGAAGGGCCCGGGGCCCATTGTTGAACGCGTCCCACGGAAAATGGGACGCGTTTTTGGGAATTCTGGATGATAGGCCCCACTGACAAAACGGTTTGTTTAATGACTCGACGCGTAGCACAAATGGGGTAAGTACACCCAGAATCTTATCATGGTGTCGCGTTTGGCTGATCGTTTCGTGTCGATGGATGGTCGCTCGTAGCCATATTGAAGACGTCGACATGACTGCTCGACTTCTCATGAAAATGCCATGGCAAAACGAGCATGAGAGTTGTTGCTAGAGGACAATTCTTCCAGGAGGGGCATCCTAGTTGTGAGAAGTGGCATTGTTCGCTATATTGGATGGAGGACAGGCGGTGTGCCGCAAGGAGAGGAGGCGTAGTCGGAGAGAGTGAGAGGCAGGGTATGACCTTGATATGCCAGCTCGCGAAAGGCAGTTGACTCGTTTTAGCAGTGGTAGTTCAGTTTCTCGGCGCCGCCCTGCCTTTGAATCGGGGGATACATGACGGAGAAACGTCAATAAGCATGTCCATTACTCCCTAACACGGCCCGCGGTAGAACAATGTGAGGCGACTCGCGGAGCTATGAATCTGGTACTTACAAGGAGGCTACTGCAACTAGCCATCGCACGCTGCACATCTCCATCCTGCTCTTCTATGAGCGTGTCCAGCAATCCCGATATCCACCATTGTTGACCAAGCTAGGTGCGAAACCGGAGTGCTGTGCCGGAGTACAGTCCTGTTACAGGTGAGAAGCATGCATCACAGTCAGTGCTTGCTGAGGCCGATTCACCAGTACGTCGACGCTCTCCCAGCACATCCAACGCGAATGTAGTCGTCGGCACGATGAGGTGGCGAGCCTGAGAGTGATTGGGGACAGCACAGCCACCTGGACCTACAAGTCCCAGGACTAACAAGGAAGTTCGAAGCTTGATCTAGGGCATGACAACCTGAGATCTCCCGGCCGACAAATCGATCCGGCTACCATCAGCCCATTGTTCGCCCAAAAAGTGAACACGGCGCATGCTTGTTGAAGTGATGGGGCCATTGGCGCGGACAATGGTCCTGGCAGTGAGATCTCGGTAAAACGCTATTGTAGCGCCGCAGACGCAAGACCGGGCAAATGGGGCACAGCAGGAAGCTGGCAATACGGAGGGCTATTTAAAGGAGGATGTTGTTGAAGGTGAAAGGGAAAAACTACTCAGGGGTCGCGGGAAAAAACATTTCGCTTCATTTCTCGACTCCGCACGATATTTGAAACCCCTCGATCAGCGGCCTATAAACGCACGACAGGTGATCTCTGCAAATTCCCTTTCGCCCCCCCGCGGCTTGGACCCTCCCGGCTTCGTCTGCAACATTTTGTTCGCTATCCTCCCTCGTCTCTTCGCTGTCGCCCTCCAGTTTATTTTTCGGTTGCTCTCTAGTCGATAATCATCGTTTGCGCATCAGTTGTTCGATTTGTTTCCTCGCTATTCCATCCTCCTTCCTCGTCGCTTCGTCTGCGCTGTCTGTCTTCTTGCTTCCACGTACCGTTGTTTTCCGGCTTTTGCCTCCAGAATCCACGAAACAGAGAAAAGAGAGAGAAGAAGACCAGAGTCGTCCTGCTATCCGCCCCATCACCACCGAGTGCGTTGCACCATTATCAATTTTTTGTTCCCTACCTCCACCCCAACGCCCTTTTCTCGCCTACCCTTCACTCCATCTAACCACCGACAATGTCGCGGCCGGAGTCTCAAGAATACGAATTCCCCCCTGGCCTGGGAGCACAGCGCCCTCGGCCAAACGAACGTGATCAACCAGTATCCTATGCACCGGCGGCCCTTGGCTCATTCGCGCACCAGGATCGGCGCTCATCCAGCGGCGCAGCGTCCTTTGCGGCGTTCGGAGGCGGTTTGCCTCGATCGTACGGGATGCAGGACCCACGGGATTACGCCTATGGGATATCGCTGCCAGAGATCCCAGCTGGACCAAATAGACACAATCCGACACCCTCCCTCGCTCATCTCACAGGCTCGTCCTCCTTCTCTACCTTCAACCATCACAATCACCGACCATCCCCTCCTCCCCTCCCCGCCAACGCCCAAAGCGCCCCCGGCGCCGCGTACCCCTCCTCCAGTCCCAGCGACCGCGACACCTTGTTCTTCAGGTCGCCCCAGGCGTCTCATCCACAGCAGCCCGCCTCTAATTCTTCTCTGCGTTCAACCCTCTGGTGGGGAGCACTCGAGCCCTGGATGGACGAAGAATACGCTAAGCAGGTCTGCGGCCTCATGAACTGGGAGCCCGTCACCATCAAGGTCCCGCACGCCGCGGCAGACCCCACGAACAGCCAGCAGCAGGCGAACAATCCTGGGTATTGTTTCTTGACATTCCCATCGCCCGCACACGCGGCGTCCGTCCTCGCCCAGATCAATAATGGCGGGAACAGCGGGAAGGGTATGGCCGCGCCGATGCCAAATTCATCGAAACCCTTCGTGATGAATTGGGCGTCTTCGGTAGCAACAGCATCGCCTATGTCTGCAGCATTCCCCGCCTCGACCGGCGTGCAGGCTGCCGCCCCGGCTGGTCAGCAATACCCCAAGGAGTACAGCATCTTTGTCGGAGACCTCGCTCCAGAGACATCCAACTCCGACCTCGTAGCCGTCTTCCGTAACCCGGTTCTTGGTCTTCGGAATGATAGAGAGCCCAAGTTTATTCGCCCGTTCCTTAGCTGTAAGAGCGCGAAGATTATGCTGGATCCACTTACAGGCGTCTCCAGAGGCTATGGCTTCGTCCGGTGCGTCCGATCCACATGCATATATCTACTCAAATCAATCATTTCCCCAGTTTCACGGATGAGGCTGATCAACAACGTGCTCTGATAGAGATGCATGGGCTATATTGTTTATCGCGTCCAAGTCTGTACACTCCCAGTGATATCGGTGCGCATATATTAACCCTTTCTCCTATTTAGTGCGCATTTCCCCTGCAACCGCGAAGTTCAAACCGCCCGCCTCAGTTTCTCCTTTCGACATGCCTCAAGTGCCCTTCGTACCCCCGGGTAACAACGGAGCAACAGAAGGAGGCAATCAGGCCGTCACCATTGCCGTTCCTCTTAATAACGCGCCACCAATTAAGAGCGTTTCGGCGCCTATCGCGGCAGCGCCATCCAACATGTCTCTGAACAGCAATACAGTCTCTAACTCCACCTCCGGGTCGTCACTTTCGAGCAATTCTCTCACCTCGGGTACCGGTTCTAGTACCAGCATCTCTACGTCGGCCTTCTCGGCGGAAGATATAATGGGCGTGCCCAACAACGTCCTCGCTCAACTCGCTCAGTTCACAACGAACGATCTGCACCCCATCAAGATGGCCAGCGCAAATCCACACGCCCACGATGACGAGCTGAGAAGAGTACTTGCCCACCAGACAGACAACCCGGCGCCGCGCTACGTCATCTCGGAGGAGTCTTGGAAGCACCACGCTCAGGCTCGTGCCATCCTTGGGAATCTCATTGGGCCGAACGGCGAGCAGCTCACATCGACGGACCCATACAACACGACTGTCTTCGTCGGTGGTCTATCGCCACTGATCTCTGAGGATACGCTGAGAACTTTCTTTGCCCCCTTCGGCGATATCCATTACGTACGTATATCAATGCGCCACACTCCTGCCGTTATTGACAATTCTCACAGGTCAAGGTCCCTGTCGGCAAACACTGCGGGTTCGTGCAATTCGTAAGGAAGGCAGACGCAGAGAGGGCGATCGACAAGATGCAGGGCTTCCCGATCGGAGGAAGTAGGATCCGTCTGAGTTGGGGCAGGAGTCAATGTGAGTATCTGGTCTTCTATAATCCTTCTCGGGCGCTTATCGTGCCACTCAGATAAAGCTGCGCAGGCTGCTGCGCAAGCCGCTCAAGCTGCCGCCATGCAGAGTAACTATATGCCTGCCCCTGGATCTATTACGCAAGATCAGGCGATGCAGATCCTTCAGAAGCTCGCTCTGCAGGGGTACCCGACATCTGGGAGTTACGATAGCGCTGACGTAGAAAATGCGCTCCTCAACAACGGGTACAACGGCAGTATGTTGCATTCGGAGCAGAAGCCATCTAAGGACGAAGGACCATCCAGCATGAACTCTTTCCCTCAGCGTCCAGAGCTGCAACGGACTCAATCGAACTTTTCGCCCTTTTCGCCTGATCCAAACAGCCTATACACTTCTTCGGAGAGCGTGCGGCGCGACCAGAACTCCTCGTCGTACCCACGACTGGATACCCTGCCCCATCCATCAAAGGCGTACGCGCCGGGCTTCTTTCCTCAGCATTCGCAGGACTTGAGGATCAACACTAGCGCGAATGGCCCTAACACGAGCAAGGTATCTCCTGTTGCTGCGCGGCCATCGAGCGCGTCCCGTTACGGGTTCGCCGAAAGTTCTGACCCCCCTGCTCGTGCTATGGGACGCTCTGAGGCCCCTATCTCGCGCCCGTCGTCGGGACAGATGTCGGCACCGGTGGACAATCATGAATCAGACGTCATCCAAGACCTCAACGGCACTCTCGCCAGCCTCGACCTGGATCGCCCTTGGAAGTCGCCCGAGGTTGGGAAGAACAGCGGTTGATCAACGGACTACATACTTCATCGACGGGTGTTACGGCTTAACGATGCACCACGAACGAACGATGTCTTCAAACCCTCTCCTTTCGTTCCGATATCCCACTTTCGTTTCTCTTATGTGTTCTCGAATATTACTTCACCATCACGCTAAATCTTACGTATATTCGGCTGGATTCTGGCTTTGGTTATAACTCAAATCTTTTTATTTCCTTTTTCCTTTCGCGGCTGTTTCGTTCCCTTTCTTTCCAGCCCTTTTGCACCATAGTGCAGGTTGGGTTCTGGATTTTCCCCTGTGCCACTTTTTCGCCTTCCAACCTATCCCCTTTCTTGTAGTCTGCCTAGTCTCGCTCTTCTGTGTCCGTCATTGTCACCTCGCTTCGCTTTATCGAAATGTCTGCACTCTATTCCTACGATTTCACGAATAGTCGGTTTGAACTTTTTTATATCTCTCTACACTGTTCATCCCATCCATCCATCCCCCATCCCTGTCGAACCCTCCTCGCTCAGTCTATATTGTTGCGTTCTTGTTTTGTTGAAGTACCTCTGTTTGTCCTGTCTCGTCTATTATCTCCAATCGGTTTTTCCTCATCTCAAGACTTGTTTCTCGCTCACCATTGGTTGGCTCACTCCTGTTGACTCCTCCACTGTTCAAGGTATACCCCTTCTTCGTGACGACTTACTATCTTTTAGATATGGGCATCGTTAGGATTGACTCTCCATCTGGCTTGTTGCGCATTTTTTCAATTGTGTATCGTACTCTAAGCAATCTGTATTTTTGTCTTACCGAGGCTTTGCGCAAGGCGTGCGCACGAAAAGCGCGTCTAATCCGCCAAGAGCCCGCATTGGTCGGAAAGCCCTGTGTGGCTGATGCCTTAAAACTAAATACACATCCAAAAAGGGCCTCTGCAAAGTCTTTTGGCTTCATTCCCGTCCACAATGTCCCGGCCCTCGAATATCAGTGGGTTTAGCGTTATCCCGATTGCATACAACTCGTCGACGACGCATTGTCTCTATGCCCGTGCACATGCTTCAAGCAAATCAGATGCCCGCAAAATCCTACCGGAAGGACGGACACTTTTCTTGGTCAATGTTCCGCCCGATGCGACTGAACGGGAGCTCGTGTTGTTGTTCAAACACAGTGGGACAGTAGAAAAGGTCCTATTCGACTTCGATGTCAAAGAAATCAACAACGACGTCAGCGATAGTGAGGACGACGAGGACGAGTCTATGGATGATCCAGCGGCGAACGACGAAGACGAACGACCAGCACGGAAAAAGCAGAGAAAACAGAAAAACAAGGAAGAGATCCCGACTATAGTCCCGCTTCCAACCCGGCCCCTGCGCAAGATAGGCAAAACTGGCCGCTCAGCGCATGTCATTTTTCTCGACTCCTCATCACTCGAACGGGCATTAGCTTCGACAAGCAAACCTCGAGCTTGGCCAACCTCCTCCGAGGAACCTTCAGGTCTATCACACTACCAAGCTTTATACGCCTCCCTCCGACCACCTCTGGACTCCGTCCGCGCGTACGCCGATTCGTTCTTGGAAGTGCACGAGTACAATCTCGCGAGGCAGAGGCAGAAATCAAAGTATCGCAAAGGCGATGCTATTGTCGATGAAGATGGGTTTACACTCGTCACTCGGGGAGGAGCGTACGGGCAGACACTTGGAGGTGGTGTTGGGGTGGCTAGCAAACGATTTCAACGGTCTGGGCAGACAACGAGCAGGAGCCGAGGGCAAAAGAAGGAAAGAAAAGAAAAGGCTGGGTTCTATGCGTTCCAGAAAGCAGAAAAGCAACGCTCAGGTGAGTTCACCCTTTCATGGGCGTGATCAAGATGGTGTTCTGATTAGCGCTTTCCTCCAGAACTAATGGAATTGAAGAGAAAGTGGGAAGAGGACAAGGCGAAGGTGGAGCAACTCAAAGCTTCAAGACGCTTCAAACCGTATTGAGCAGGAGAAGCCAACTCCAATACACTTCTAGGCCTGCTAGGATGCAAACCTCTTTTTAATGCATTAATCAAAAATGTTACAATACCCAGCCTCGACACAAGACGTACAGAGCTCTAAAAAATCAAAGGGCGACTAACGAGACAGGAACTTTTCTCAATCTATTCTCACTCCGCTCTCTCCAGCAACAGCCGAATTTCATTCGAACGAGGCTTGATCTGACACTTGAACGGCTTCAGATGCCTGCTCGACATCATCATGATCAGTACCTGAAACTGGGACGAGTGTGGCACACTCACATCGTCACACCAATAGTCCACTCGACTTCCGGCTCGACCTCCTTCCCGTTCTTGTCAACCAGTTTTGAGATATCAAAGGCAGCGAGAATGGAACATATGTTCAGGAAAAGCGACATCTCGGCTAGATGTGCACCTGAGAGGCAGAACCGTAAGAGGCAAGTCGAAGAGGCGTTTCCAAGCTCGACTGCTCACCAGGACAGACTCTTCTTCCGAACCCGAAGACAAATCGGAATGGATCAGGTTGTGGGTTTTCTCCGAGATGGCGAGTTGGGTCGAAATTGTCAGGATCAGGATAGATCTCTGCGTCATGTGTCATCGCCCTGCCCAGCGTAAGTAGCTCGCAGCAGCAGCCAGGTTTCAGCAAACACACCAGATGTTCGGGAGTATCTCCGTCCCTTTCGGGATGAAGTAGCTCTCATATACGTCGTCCTGCATCGCACGATGTGGAATACCTGTGAGACAGAAGGTTAAATATTCCTAAAGGAAAACAATTCAACGACATGGAAGGCACCTAGTGGAGCAACAGGAGCCCACCGCAGGATCTCCTTGATGAGTGCTCGGATATACGGTAAGGACTCGTAGTCATGAAGACTCGGGAGACGATTTGGTGCGACTCTCTCCACGGCTGCTTGCGCTTGACGTTGTACCTCCGGGTGTTGAGCCATTACCAAGAAGAACGTCGTCAAAGCGGCGACAGTCTAAGACAGGCAGTGAGTAGTTGAAATGGACGACATGTAAGCGACTGGCGAAACTAACGGTATCTCCTCCTCCAACGTATAGTGCCGAACTAGTCCACTTGAGGTTTTCTTGCATATCCTGGCCTATGATATCTCCATCCTCCTTGAAGAGGTGCTTCGAAGTGAATGATTCGATGTATTCGCCGTTCAGCTGTGAGAAAACCACTGTTAAGAGGACCAAATAATACACAAAAGATGACGAACAATATCTTTCTTCGCCCATTCAAAAGGTACGCGCTCGAGGCGATGAAGCTTTTGCCCGACCCATTTTGCATAACGCTTGAATCCTGCCCCAGGAAACCAGTCAGGTGCAAACCGCACTAGAAGGAGGCGGATCAGAAGAGAAGGTAAACGTATGTTTAGAAGGCCACGCACAGATAGGGAGAAACTCGACCCAATATTTTCCTGGAGTCCCCAGCGTCGCGGACAATGCGAAACCTTCTTCGAGATTCCTTACGAACGGGTCATCGTTGCCTTGGACCTCGTAGCCGTATGCGACTTTGAGAATAACCGCGACGGCATTCCTGGATAAGGAGTCAGCGACAGTGATTGAAGTCCATATTAGCCGCAAATCCTCGAAGATCAAGTACGATCGTCGAATTGAAACGAACCTCCTTATGTGCGCCATAAAGTCCTCCGGCGTGGTCGCCAACGCCTTCAACAAAATTTGACATTCTTGCACCTGGATCGGGCGATAGCTCTTCGACGCTCTTGGGTTGAGACCCGCTTGTAGAAGCCGCCGGAAGATTTTGAATCGTGGGTCGGAATATGAGGCATGGAAGACACTATGTTTACGTCCGGCCAGTTCTCCGCTCATCCAAGCCATATTTCTGTCTGAATAGATTCCAGAACGACTTTCCAACAGGTCCAAAGCTACTTTTCCCGAGCTCACGAGGATGGTCTCCTTGTTGAACACACGATAATACACAAGTGGACCTATATTTCGATGTCAACAACCCAGTTGAAAGAGCAGAGATAATACACATGCCGTATGTCTTTGCCCATGCTGTGAAATAGATCCAAGGCCGTTCTCGGGCCATGGACAACTGACGAAGGTTCCCCGTTATCAAGCTTGACTTTGGTCCAGGAGGAAGTTGCAAGCCCCTCCTGCTTAGCTTCGTCAGCGAGAAATACCGAAGGCCAACATAATACAGCAAAGTGACGGCAAGCAGAGCCACAGAGGCCGGCGTTAAGAATACTGATTTTTCTGGCATTGGTGGGCGAAATGGGGGGGAGAGAAGAAGGGAGACTTTTAACTGACAGTCTCAACCACAGCGAGGCTCGGCGAGAAGCCCTGTCTACGACAGGCATTCCGGCAGCCCCAACAGGCGAAATAGAACCACGGCGTGCCTAAATGTGTATCTCCGAGTGTATTTTGGTGCTTTTGAGGCTGTCCAAACAGCGGGAGGTGTCGTCCATAGCAGAAATGACCTGGCGGTTCAAAGTGGACACTGGAATGCAGTCTCTTGGCGTCAATGCTCAGATACTTAGGTCGTGGTCAGTGACCCAGATGTAGGTAGTCTTCAGCATTTTTTCCAACATCCGTGTTATTTATAGCACCATCTAGTTCACAGCACACTATCAACAGGAAGTTTTCGGAGAACTAGAAGTACACAAGTGTTAAGATACAATAACACAGTAATTTATAAAACGACCGAACTGGTCGGAGGAGACTTTCACTCACTCCTTCTCTAGCAACAACAAAGATTCCTCCGAGCGGGGCTTAATTTGGCACTGGAACGGCCTCAGATTCCTGTCCGGCTAATAGTCAGCAGCGGTGCCTGCTTCGTACAAGGAACTCTTAACTGACCTGGTGATGCCACTCGTCCACTCAACCTTAGGTTCGACCTCGTTCCCATTCGCATCGATGGCTTCCGAAATGTCGAATATAGCGAGAATGCTACAAATATTCAAGAACAACGACATTTCTGCCAGGTGTGCACCTTCAAATCCATAGTGTCGGAGCCAAATTCTTGTGGAGGTTGGGTATTGTACGAACCTGGACAGATTCTTCGACCGAAGCCAAAGATAAACGTAAAGGGGTCCGGCTGAGGTTTGTAACCGAGATGGCGAGTTGGGTCGAAGGTCTCGGGATCTGGATAGAGGGTTTCGTCACGGGTCATCGCCCTGGCTCAAAAATAAGTATGAGCGGCTAGAGCGGAAAGATGGCCGTACCATATATTAGCAATGATCTTCGTCCCTTTTGGAATGAAGTAACCGTCATAGACATCATCCTGCATTACACGATGAGGTATGGCTACGAGATTCAATGTGGCCCGTCAAGGCTGGCGTGGCGTCAAAAGGTTGGCTTACCGAGAGGTGCTACAGGAGCCCAGCGGCTTATTTCTTTGATCAAGGCGACGATGTAGGGCAGAGCCTCGTAGTCTTCAAGGGTTGGAAGTCGGTCAGGCGCAACCTGGTCAATTTCCGCTTGTGCTCTCTCCTGCATTTCGGGGTATTGAGCCATGAGAAGGAAGAAAGTTATGAGGGTTGAGACGGTCTAGCACGCGAGAGAAACCATTCAATAAAATGCCTGATACGCAGGGAAAGGATCACTGACCGTCTCTCCTCCTCCGACATACAGAGCAGCGCTGGTCCATTTAAGAGACTCCTCCATGTCAGCGTCGATGGTCTGGCCGTCCTCCGTGTGGAGATGCTTCGAGACAAACGATTCGATGTAGTGCCCACCGGCCTGTTCTCGGATGCATACTCATAGAAAAAGGAGTGAGATATAGATGGCTCACGATCTCCTTCTTCGCTCTCTCAAGCGGTTCGCGTTCAATAAAGCTCAGCTTCTGTCCCACTTGTTGCGCCAGGCATTTAAATCCGGCTCCAGGGAACCATGCAGGAACAAATCGCACTGAATGGAGGAACAGATAAGAACAAATAAAACCTTATCGATTCAATGATTCAACGGTCACGAACAGACAGGGAAAAATTCGACCCAATATTTTCCAGGAGTTGACAGCCCACCATACACTTTGAGGCCTTCTTGGAGATTGCGGACGAACGGGTCGTCATTGCCTGCAACCTGATAACCATAGGCAACTTTAAGGATCACAGCGATTGCACTCCTGAGCGAGCGCGTCAGATAATCAAGTTCATAGAAGGTTGGCAATGGGTCACACCTCCGTATATGGGCCATGAAATCCTCAGGAGAATTGGCCAGCCCTTGGAGCAGGACTTGACATTCCTGTACTTGAATCGGGCGGTAACCTTTTGCTGCTCTGGCATTGAGACCTGTTTGCAGCAGGCGTCGAAAAGTCTTGAAGCGGGGGTTGTCGAACGAGGAGAGGAAGACGGAGTGCTTGCGCCCAGCAAGCTCTCCTCCCATCCAACTCACTGGCCTGTCCGAATAGATGGAAGAGCGAGAGTCCAACAAGTCGAGAGCAGCTTTTCCGGTGTTCAAGACAATAGTTTCGCTTCCAAACACCCTGTAATAAACTATTGGTCCTACGCAAGTAGGGAGTTGTCAGCTGTGAGGAATGAAAGAAGCAAAGCGAGCGGTCAACTTTCTCTTGGGACCAGGAGGAAGTTGGAGCCCTCTGGCCATCAGTCTCCTCGAACTTGAGAAATAGGTAAGACCAACATAATAGAGCACCGCGACGGACACCAACGCGACAGATGTTGGACTCAAAAGCGCGGAATCTGCTGCCATTTGGACAGAGGACGGCGAAACCCACACTGAGAGCACGAGGGATACCACCTTGACAGTCTTACGCACATAGCGGTGAGTTCGGAGAAGTTACCAAGCTTCTCACACCTCAGTTACACGTACGCTTAAAGGTACGTTGGAGACTGATGTAATGTTCTCTTGTTGGGTCTAGGTGTGCCATAAATACTGGGAGAGCACAGGCAACTGGCTGCGCGGTGAAGATGGTTTGAGGCAAGAGTCGTCTCGGCATGCGCAGTTCCCGGGCCGCATTCGAAAGCTTCAAAGTACAGTGCACAAGACAGTGCAGCAGCAGCAGCAAATTAAGGTATATATACTGGGATATAGGGAATAAATAAAAGATAATGCTACACGAACAAGACAATGATGCAATTATACAATATTTACACTATTCTTGATGCCTTCCGACAAGTTACGACCCAAAAAATGAAGGTATGGGAATGATTAACAGCGATCATAAGGCGTAGATTCTGGGACGAGTGCAATATCCAGCAAAGGTTTGTTGGGTCAGGAGAATAACTCCCAGAGGAACCACCGTTGCCACATCCGCCTCTGGGGAGGCCAAACAGGTCTTCAAGCGGTAGCAATAGTTTCGCTGCGTCACAGCTGTCTGGAGGACAACGCCGCCGAGGTCGTTAGTGTTATCGAAACCTTGATGCTTGAGGACAAGACTGGGGGCGTCGTCTGAGAATTCCCACTCTTCGTCGACAGTACGAAGGTATGTGATCGAATTGTTGTGGGCATCTTGAATTCTGAACGAGAGATATTTCTTCTTGGTCCAGGTCCCGAAAGCGCACAATGCCGTCATCGAAGCGTTTTGACTAACAGTGCACCGAGCTTCGAAACTCTGCTCGCTGGTGTTATATGCGACACTGACAACTTGAGGCCGATTCGGGCTAGGCGACGTCTTGGGATTGAAGATGAGGGTCTGCAGGGAAAAGGTTTCGTTGGGGACTATAGAATAATCGAAGTATCGTTCGCGGAAGGTGCTCGATCCGCTATAGAAAAAGGTCGCTGTGGACTTTAGGCCTGGATTCGTGGCACCTGTTAGGATGACTTCACCCTCGAATGGGTAACGTTCACAGAATCTGGACCATTGATACTGACGAACGTTCAGTCTCTGGGTTCTGGAAGGAGGGTAGAGACAAACGTACCTGCTGCGCCAAAGGGAGTGCTGCAAAGGGGATGAAGAGGCCACCGCAGCACATTACGAAGGCCAGAGGAATAATCATAAATTTGAGAGCACGCAGCAAGTTCCGTTGACGGTGGCTGAGTGTCTCCCTCAGGCATGAGAGCCAGGAGCCAAATTTGCCAGTCAAAGAATAATTCCCATCGTAAAATACAGTCCAAATGTATATGTTGACGTAGCAGATGCAGTAGCCGTAGGTATACACTGATACGAATATGCAATGATGAGCATTAGTCGGAAGGCTCTGCTTCAGGAACCAAAACGACGTACTAGCCACTGAGAAAGGCTTCCAGGCTCTGTGCGGGTCATTCACTTTGGTCCGAGGATTGGGCATACTCCCGGATCTGACATACCAGTAAACCCACCAGGCATCGAGGGATGTGAAGCCTAGCCATAGCGCAACCACTGAATGATCGTTGTTTCAAACCAAGCTATAGGAAACAGCTGCTGGATGAGACGCACCAATGCTCCAAACCTGATCCAGAGGCCAGACAGCAACAAGCCTTCTGGGCAACTCCCCATGGGCCTCGTAGAAATCCCACGGGTTCGGAGAGCCCATCAGAAGGAACTTTGCACCCACACAAAATTGGAAAGGGAGTGTCTTCATGAAGTCGACCAAGTTTCTGTATCGCAAGTTGAGTAGTTTGCAAAGCGCGAGGATGGGAGGCACAGTCGAGAAAAGAGACATGATCTAAGGAGTTGAGGTCAGCACAGTGAAACCAGAGTATGGAGAGCGAGACAACCTGGCCGTACGACAACTCATATTGCTGGCTGCTTGTCATGCCTTTCGCAATGCCGAGCACCCAACTCCAGTGTAGACACATGATAATGACAAAAATCATCCAAGGATGAGACGTAGTGACAACGAACCTATCAGCATCCAAGAGAAATCAGCCGAGCATAGGATGGTCGATGTCCAGGACCCACCATGAAGCAGCTGGGATATTCCAAACACGATACCAAATCTTCGCAAGGGTGCTTCTCTTGGATTGTCTTTCCTTCCGATAAACTAATTCGTCCAGGATGTCGTATCTGTGTCTCACTATATAAATCGCCCAAACCCACATACTTGCCAAAGCTATGGCGCCTAATCCGCCCCTCCCTTGGAGGTCGTTCCAAATATCACGACGGCCCATGACGTCAAGAACGCCTATGAAGTTGGAGACAGCTTGGAACTCAAACCAACGGGTGAAAGTCATGCCTCGACAATAGTCAGGGCTGTTCTTGAAGGCCCGAGGTGAGAAGGAAATTGTCAGGTTAATTCCCAGCCACAAGAAAGGTAGTGCAAGTGAAAGGTAACGTATGATGGTCTTCCCGGTGCGCAGATTCTCGAAGAGGGAGTTATGGTGGCCCAGGAAATCTCGAAAGGCTGAGTATACCAAGTACACGGAGATGGGCGACGCAGTGACGGCAACGGCAAAATGGGCATCGAAGAGACTGAGGTTGGTGCTGTTGATACTCCCTGCTGTGGCGATCATGATTGGGTATACTTGAGAAAGGAGCATCACCACGGTCGTCTGCACGTCGTCGTGTGCCCAACGAAGGAGAATTGCTGTTGGAGATTCCGTAAATGATTTACCGGAAGGGGCAGCTGGCTTACGCAGTACAATGTTGATTACTATGTCTGAAGGAGAAGAAAAAAGACGAAGTTAGCTGGCCGAAAACAGGCTCGCAAAGGGAAAAAAAAGCAATTATAGAAATGATATTCTTACTCGAGAGGCCAACCGCGAACCCGCCGACATCAGGATTCAATTCGTTGTTCTTGTAGTGTCCTGGTATGGTTTGCGCCGAGAAGCAGTCACTCAGAATCGTAGTGTTGTTCATGCTGATATGTTTTGTACGACGAGCGTAGGGAGAGGGGAGAAATCCAAGACAAATGCATGGCGAACCCCATTCCGTTCCTTCGTCGCCCTTAAATGACGCGGACCAAAGGAGGGCTGTGTGCTGGCGGGATCCAATAACCAGCAAGAGATCGGCTTGTAAGGGAGTGAAAAAGCGGGAAGTGCCAAAGCCAATCAATGAGCATAATACCATATCTGCGCCCGCTTGTCACTGAGATTGTGCTGCGAACACAAAATTAATGATCCATATTGGAACTAATTTTGGACCAACGTACTGTTTTGATTTTGAATTGCAGATGAGTAAAGCGAAATAGCTGTTGGAAAGCGGCGCTTACGCTGACGCATGACCAGCTATCGTAAACATAAACCTCGAGGACATGTCTGGCCAGTGGCTTCCTGGTTTTTAGCCATCCAGGGTTGTGTCTACCCCACGGCATAACGTTATAGACCCCCACATACGGAGGTCTTTCCCTGGTAAATATTTGCCTGATAGATTCGTATCCGTGAAGGAAATGACAAGGGGAGTCGAGATTCCTACTCGGACACAGCCTTGACAATGACTGACGATGAGAGCCGCAACGGAGTTTGTCAATCTGCATTGATTTCAATCCAGGCGCGTCCAGGTGACCATTGTTTACGACTTCACTCACCAAGTACACCGAAGTGGCTCAGGAACCGTTCTGCGTTGATAACTGAGGTTGCTCGAAACAACCCAAGTAGACACTAGGGTGAGTCCAGGTTTTCGGAATAGCAAGTTCATTCATGAGAACGACTTATACCGCAGCAGAGCCCAGCTCGCGCCACTGGGAATGAGATGAGAGAGACAGATGAACATACAGCAGCAAGCTGTTCGCAATTTCAACTTGCGTCAATCCTAAGAAGTTCCCACGAGCGCGGATAGGGGCTGGGTAATCCGTCCCGCAAAAGACGGGCTTCCAACTCGAAAGGATCAGGAAACCAGACTCGGTGAACATAATTCATAATTTCATGTATTCGTTATCGACTAAGTGAACTGAATTTGCTCGTAACAAAGAACGACTGGGAAGTTGGCTGTGCAAAAGTTCAAGTCCATCATAGTCTATCGTCACTTCCGTCCTCCCCCTCGAAATTCAATCATCTATAACCCTCTCCGTGACGACAGACCTTACTTCAATCAACACCCAGCGATCATCTGTCGTCCGCCGGGACCAGGGTCTTCTGAAAATATTTGATAGGCGTGGGTGTGTCAGACTGAGAGCGCCAGCAAAGTCGATGCTGTGGTGGCTGCCGTGCCGAGATTCACTGGAAGGGAACGAAATGGATTGAATAAGACGACTGCTCGTCTTTGGGCGGAAGCCGTAACGTCCCGCAGCAGCCCGCTGCCGTGTGGGGGTCCGAGTCATGTCCACCGGGGTGTGGCATCGGGCTGTGCGGGAATCTATCGTAATATATGTCGACGTGGAGGTGGTCGTGGTCGAAAACCTTGATGGCTAAAAGTCGGAAACGATCAATGGGCGTCTAAAGCGGCTAAGGCAAAACGAGACTTGCCAGATGGGGCTCGCAATCCGGGTGCGAAGACGTCTCGAAGAAGCCTTCGTCGTCGATTGAATGTGTCTCATCGGGACCTCTAACTCCCCTCTTCCTCATCATTTGATCGAAAACCATCCCGTAATGGTCAGCTGGTGGACCACATGGCGGCTCGGAGAAGGATCTCATCGAATTGGGGGGACGGGGGGTAGGGGGTGGGTCGGGGTTCGTGCAGTGCAGCTGCGCAGGCACCGGGCTAGCTGGACGAGGTTCTGTTTCACGGCTATCGTAGAACACTTCCGGGGACGCGCTCCCAGAGCGGTAGTCTGGTTCTGGTTCTGGTTCTGGTTCTGAACAAGGAGAGGCGGACGCCGGCGCAGATGCCGATCGAAAAAACTTCTTAACTGGGCCAGCGATTTTGCTGTTGCGGTATGCCAGAAAGCCAGTTTCTGGGTCTAAAAGAGCGGCGAGGTTGAACTTAGGGCTTGGGGTAGGGGGTAACTCTTTGTTGGCATCTAACGCGTCTAGTCCGTTCAATGTCCCTCTGAAACTCGACCGACTCCAGCGGGTAGACTGATGAAACGAAATGATAAGTAATCTTATTTAGAGTGTTTTGTTGTATACCTACCACAGAGGACGCGTCGTCAACAGGCGAGGCCGGCTCGTGGTCAAAGCCACCATCACCGCGAAGATAGCGTCCATACGCAGATGATGAACGGACGTCGATGAAATGTGTCTGACGGCTACCAAACACTGCGAAAGGTTCCCCAACTGTCGATCGGTCTGCGTCCACAGCGCCCACACCGAAGGCAGTGCTTTCCTGGCTAAGCAGGTCTCCGCCAGAAAAGGTTTCCAGTCCTTGCTCTGGATCCCAGATTACAGCGAAGGTTAGAGCCGAGGAGGCACGCTTTCCTGCTTCCGTAGTAGGGCCTTTGTTCGAGTTCGACATCATCATATCGGCGAACTGCGGGCTTTTGGTCATGACATGAAGCTACAAAGAGCGCCTTCTACCCACCAATGATTCTGGTGCACACTGTACAAGCTCAAAAGAACCCGGATGTTGCAAAATGCCGCTGATTCTCGGTCAGATAGACACCTGCTTCGACGATGAAAGCGAATGTCAGCTCTATTCCCTCCATGATGGCTGAAATTAGTTCACCTTGTCCCGACAAGCGCCGCGTCGTATAGTCTCGCAATAGAAGTTCCCAATTGGTAACTGTAAAGAGCACTTCAAGCGCTCCACGCACAGCAAAGACAATAGAAAACCCGGCAGAGGAAGACGGAGAGGGACAAAGAGACGTCCTGCTCACCTCCTCATGGGGTGTTATAGGAATCGTGGTAACTACGCCCAGAAGCAGATGTCGCATCGTGACTGTGAAGGCAGGTTTTCTGAAAGGCACGGCTTGACACGACTCCACTGCATGTTGGTGATAAGCTTTGGGTATGTTACGGACCGGGACGAGTTACCATTTAGCCTGGAGACGGAGGAGGGAACGTGGTGCGAAAGAAGCTCCCAACATTGTCAATCATCGAGCCCCCTGGGTGACCCCGTGAAGAGGGTGGGAGATTCAGAGGAAGCCCGTCTCAATGGGTTGGGGGCGTGTACCGGCCAACGAATAGTAAGCTCGAGGGCGTATGAACGCAAGAAAATGTGGATTCATTGCACGCTCTTGCAACCGGCGTCGACGGTCGACTATGCTCAGTTGCAGTGGTGCGACTGGGGGTGGGTCTGCATGTCACATTTTGCGAGCTTGAATGAGCTGAGAGGCAGCGTTAGCGTTGGGAGGTCGATGAGCAATACATACTGTTTCCAGGCACAGAAAGGTTGTTGAATGTGATGGTATGAAGAAAAGAAAGGATGACTGACCCAGCGTAATCCTTCCAAACTTTCAAAATTAAAATGACCACCGCAGGACTCGAACCTGCAACCTTTTGGTGCCATCTAGCAATCGAAGCCAAACGCGCTACCATTGCGCTAGGTAGCCACAATCAACGTTTGGTGGCTAACGGTCAGAATGTGAGGCGTGAGAAAGCTTCTGGGGACTTGTGCACCCACAACTGCTCATCGTCACATTCGTCTCCTCCATCCCCACGTCCATCACAGTGCACGGCGCACAGTGCTCATGCACTTCCAGGACGTCGTCAAGAGCCCTTACTTCCTCCAAATAGCACCCTTTCTTGTCCTTTTCGTCTTCCCGGCTCTTATTCTCTTTGCAGCAACACAACTTCGCCGTCTCAGCCTTAACCTCAATTTCTTGAGAAGCCTGAGCATGGGCCTCGAAAGCTTGGGCATATTGCCTTGGCTGTGGTCCAGCTCGTCTTCGCAATCCTCTCACTCGAGCTCACATGGTCGACGACACAAGCGAAAGTCTAGCGGAAGCGGTGGTTCAAAGTCGAAGAGTGTCAGAACTCGGGCAGAGCAAATTGCAATGACGAATGTGGGGAAGCGCACACAGGAAGGTGGGTAGCGTAGCGACATCACATATGAAGTCTGACATGTCCGTTTCCCCAGACAAATCAATGACAGAATATGAGTATGACGAAGCGCAATACTATTCTGGACTCGTCAATATCTCGGGCACATACTGCTTCATGAACTCTACCCTCCAGGTTAGCTCGCCTTCACCTCGTTCTCGAAACATCACACTAAGCGTTCTACACACAAGGCACTCTCTTCTCTCACCTGTCTGCAACCCCACATTGATTCAATACATGCAAAGGCGGAGGCCCTCGACGTTCCGACACCTGTCATTGATGCACTGCAGGAGCTGTTCCATAGTATGTCCACCCTCTCTAACTCTTTTTTATACACGCCACTAAGGACTGTCAGATCTCAACACCCCGAAGTCTTCGTACCACTCACTGCGACCTCATGGCATCATTGCTGCACTATCGAATCCCTCGCCGAATCCCTCAGGCTTCAACAGGCCCGCTGCTTCCTCGCTGTTCAACTCGCGAGAGCACCAAGACGCCCAAGAACTTTTCCAGCTCGTCTCAGAATGCATCAAGAACGAGATGATTGCCGTAGATCGAGAAGGCCTCAGAGATAGAGGCATGGCCGGCGTGCTCGACTTCAGCAGGCCATCAAAGTCAAAGGAGGACGAAGACGAGTTACGCGGACTCACCAGCAAGAGCGTCTTCGACGGCCTAACCGCGAACCGTCGGAGCTGCGTCATGTGCGGCTACACCGAGGCCGTCATGCACTTTGGGTTCGACAACTGGCAGCTCGCCGTGCCACGCCTCGCGACCTCGTGTCGACTAGAAGACTGCCTCGAAGACTATACGCGACTCGAGATCCTCAAGGACTGTATCTGCCGGAAGTGCTCCGTAGTCGCGACGCATAAACGGCTTCTCCAGGAACTGAAGACGCTAGAAGAGGCACTTGCTCCAACGGGTCCAGCCCCGACGCCGACGCCGTCGTCCTCATCCACATTTTCCCCCGACTCGCCTGTGGCCTCGTCGTCTGCCATGCCCTCCTCTTCGGGTTCGCCGCATAAGAGTAAACCTTCTCAATCGAAGAAAAAGAGGTACAAAGAAGTTAAGAAGATGGAGCAACGTGTAAAGATTGCCCTGGCCGAGGGTAGGATCGAAGACGAGGCCCTTTTCGAGGGAATTAGAATGGAGAAAGTTTTTAGCGCGGCTTCGACTAAGCAAGCGATGATTGCACGAGTAAGCTCAGAGATCGTCGGTCTGTTAGTCTGTACGCTGATCGTTCCACCAGCCGCCTCCAGTTCTCGCCCTGCATCTAAACAGATCAGTACACTATGGCCAATACGCCGCCAAAAACACCATCCGAGTTCACTTCCCCGAAGTTCTCGACCTCACGCCTTACACAACATCCGGCAGCCTCTCGACCATCCCAACCTCCTCCATATCCACAACCCCTCCGCCACCTAATTTCTACCAAACAAGATCATCAGCCGAAGTTCCCAGCTCCGGCTCGAGTGCCGTGAGCGGCAGCGGCAGCGACGCAGCATCAAGCCAACCTCGACGATCAACAACACCAACACCGGAGACATATGCTCCTGGGACACAGCGGACGATATACAGGCTTGCAGCCGTTGTGTGTCACTACGGCCAGCACTCATTCGGGCACTACATCTGCTACCGACGAAAACCACGCCGGATAGGCGGTAAATGGGCGCCGCCAACGCTCGTCGACCCTCTTCGGTTCGAGACAGACGAAGAAGACTCGGACGGAGAGGCGGAGGCAACCCCGAACGGCGATGCTCATCCTACACCTTCGTCATCACAGAAGAAGCCCAACGGCAAGGCGCCGGACTACTCAACCGGGCCGCGGTATCACTGGGAAGACCGGACGGAGGAAGATGCAGGGCGCAACCGGGGGTGGCTACGGATCAGCGACGACTCGGTGGCGGAGTGCGGGATCGAGAGCGTGCTCGCGGAGGGTAGCGGGGCGTTCATGCTCTACTACGAGCGTGCTGTGCACCCTAAACCTGGTATCTACCTCCGGGGGCGGGGCCGAGGACTTTCGTCGGAGGCCAAAGGCAAGGGTAGCAATGGACACGCAAATGGAATGAGGAGGTCGAGGAGTGCGAGCAGGAAGCGGAGGGAGGCAGAAGGCAACGAGAACACGGATGGTGCGGAGACAGATGGGGATGCGTTCAGCATTGGTTCGGAGGAGACACTCAAGCCGGAGATGAGAGTTGTGGACCTGCATGGGAGCGTGGGGTCGCTGATCAGCGAGGTGGGGGTTGGAGTGATGAAGACACCGAAGAAAGACAAAGAGAAGGAGCGCGCGAGGGCTGAGAAGGAGAAGGAACGGGAGAGGGAGAAGGCAAGAGAGAAGGAAAGGGAGAAGGAGAGGGAGAGGGCCATGAGCATGAGCATGCAGCTGCCCTCTTCTTTCTCTTCTGCTTCGTCGTCGTCGTCGTACACTAGCAGCACCAAACCTTTTGGCCCGCGGGTCATTAGGAGCGTCACTGCTGGTCGGTCGCGCTCAACTACGCCCGCGAGCAGCCGTATCTCTACCGATACCAACCCCACTTCCTCTAATCAACCCAAGCTCGTCAACGGCGACGCAGCACACGGGCATAATCACCACCCCGAACTCGAGGATGGCGCAGAGGTGCCTCCGGAGATGGTAGCGTCCGCACCCTCCATCCTGGCATCGACTTCGTCCAAGTCGTCGTCGTCGAGCCATTGTTCGAGTTCTGGGTTAGGTTCGAAGTCGACATTGGTGATGCACCACCCGCCGCCGAGTTCTATTGGGGTGAAAGCCCGATAACCCCAGGCTCGACGTTCTTGTTGCCTGCCTCCTACTCTCTGTTCCTCCATATCCATCTCAGCCCAGCTCAACGCATCTATCATTATCTCCTTCGTTATTCGCCTGCATTACCACCACCACCACACCAGCCTCATCGCCCTCTCCGCTCTCAGCACCCAGCCCTCGCGAAGCACAAAGCGTCAAACCCATGCACAATTTTTAGCATAACCCTGCACATTGGATAGAATCAACAAACAACATAACATCGAAATCTCGCAAACCAACGTTTTCTTGGCTATCTTATACTACACATGCCTCTACATAGTGACTGAAAGCTGTTCATGTACTATACGCATTCTTTTCGAGCTGTCGTCTGGGATTTGGGCGTAGGCCGTTGGACTGCAATGGTTTAGAGAGGCCACCATCGACGAACGTCTGAGGGGACAAAAACGTGCAAGTGAAGCAGATCGTTGAACGTACTTGAGATTGTTGCGGATGGTAAGGGTGCTTGCCGGCTGGTGGACATATTTGCCGACCGGCGCTTAAGCCTCCAGCGGATCGCGGCACAAACGTTAGAAGAAATCACGCAGATTCATTGTATTCAAGTCAAATGAACATATCCGAACACTGAAGTGTCAACGGAGGACTGCCCGAAGTTGGGCGGGTCAGGCTATGTGGCGGAGGCTGGACGGAGGTGCAAGTCCGCGTCCGATTGACGTAAACCGCCCGTCAACAGATGTATGTGCGTCGGCAGTAAAGACAAAACCGCTGGCCGGCGTGGCTTTTGGGAAAAATAAATAATGTCGGTGGTCAAGCTGAGCTTGATGGTCATGGGATGGTTATGGTTCTGTGGACGTGGACTTTTAATCAGAGGAAGCGGAGTCCAGGACCCAGGTAGTTCCAAGATCGAACACCGATGGATTCCAAATTCCACGGTGCAGATACAATATCGAGTAGTCTTGGTAGTTAGTATTACAAGTTCCAAAGGTCCGATGATGATGGGGAATAAGGGGTACAACTTGAATGTCGATGCGAAGTGATAAGAGTTAAGCATAACTAGGAGGGTTCTCCACCGGGATGCCGCCAACAAGGGAGACCGTACTGGACTCGGCGGGGCTGGTGTACGTTGCTAGAAAAGCAAGATGAATGTGTCAGGCGATATCTAGGGATACGATCAACAAGAACAAGGACGTACGCAAACCCTCCTCCGATTCCTCCTCAGCCATCTGCCGCTTCATGTAGATCGCCCGTTCCCTCGTCTTCTCCAACAGGCTGACAAACTCGAACATCGCGCGGTCCTTGAAGCGTACTTCTACTCTTGTGCCATTCGTGAGCCCGCCATCTGGTGAGGGCTTGATCTCAAACGCGAGGAAGTTGGCGCCGAACGTCGGCTGCTCGAACCTTGTCGAGAGGATGGAGTGTAAAGGTACGGATAAAGAGTCAAATGGAGAGCCGGGCTCCGTGGTGAAGATGAACTGTAATCATCAAGACGCCATAGCAGCAGCAGATATTAGACGAGGAGCAGATCGTCTGATCAGACCTTTATAACTTCTCGAGATAGAGAGAGGACATACCCTCTGGTCTGTAAGCCAGGCTCCACCGAGCGATTTTAGTCGTTTCGACCCACCTGACCCGCCCGCCGTTGAGGGGCCTGCGGGCGGAGCATCGGGGATCGTCAGACTGACTTCGACGCCAGGGTTGACCATCGTGATCGTAGATTCGTTTGGGAGCGGTACAGGTGCGCGCTTGGCGTCTAGCATCGTCCAATTAAGTGCCATGATAGATTGTGGTGGGTGCCGTTAATTGTGAGAGTGGTGGTGGTGATGGTGGTGGTGGTGGTGGAAGAGAAGAGCAGAGTCGATCGCCTCCATGGATAGATGCGTAGTTCACCGATCGGCACCGCCACACAGCCTTTGGACAACGTCATCATGTGTCATAGGAGGATTTTAGAATCAGATATCTACCTACGCAATTTGAATTATGGCTACCTAGCGCAATGGTAGCGCGTTTGGCTTCGATTGCTAGATGGCACCAAAAGGTTGCAGGTTCGAGTCCTGCGGTGGTCATTTTGTTTCTTCTTTTTCTCCCCGTCACGATCAGGTGACCGACGCGTCTGTGTCCTAGCTAAGTGACACTGACATCAACCCTGTTACAGTTCTCTTTCTGCACCGAACCCTCATGTTCTCCCACCACACCTCCAATCCACTCGAGGCATCTACAGACGACCCCATCAACACCTCATACAAAAGGCAATATGGAGCGGCGACAGCTCGACGACGACACGACCTTTCTTCCGAAGACGAGCTTGGTACTTGGGACCACCGAGAATACCAGGAACACATTCGAGATGTCGTCCAGAGCACCAATCGAACGATGGACACTGCCACTCCCAAGGCGGGCCCCAGTCGGATTGGCGCCTATTTCAGGCCAGCGGTGCAGTCCAAGTATGTCGATCAAGACGCAGACATGCAGAGCGACGACCCACTGTCGATACCCTACGTCGAGGAGCAACGAACAATCGACCCCAGAAAGGAGTTCAGAGTAGAAGACTCTGGGACAACTTTCAATAATGCTGACGAAGATGAAGAGGAGGGGCACAACTTCGCCAAAGAAGACGTTAGCGAGCAGGCTCTCCAGTATGTGGACGACGATGACGACGACTTCATCGTCCGTGACGACCCTGATCCCGACGACCCCCACGAACATGAAATGAAGCCAGGAAACTACGAAGGCAGCGAGGACGTCTTCATCCCAGATATCGACCACGATGAGGAGATGTACGACGCTGCCCGGTCCGACTCACGCCTCTCCTCCTTATCCCCCTTGACCCCTCTCTCCTCCTCCCACTCCTCACCTTTCTCCTCCCCACAATCCTCACGCCCCGCCTCCCCAGACGAGGCCCGCACGCTCGACGACAAGCCCCAGGACGAGCAGGACGAGATCCTCGACGAGATCGAGGGGCTGTACAAGAGTGTCCCTGACCTCGGCGCGAACTACGAGCTCGTGGACCGTCTGGGGACAGGCACGTTCTCGTCGGTGTACAAGGCGATCGATCTCAAGTACGCCGAGTGGGATAACAAGCCGTGGACGGGCGATCACCCGCCCGAGAGCAGTGCTTATTACCAGTCTGCTGGGCCTGGCTATAGAGGGAGAGGTGGAAGAGGGCCGAGGAAACGGGTAACAAATGGCGATGGGGACGCGGAGATAGACGTGGAACCGGAAGTGCCGTACCAAAAGAGGGATGGGAGGGTGTATGTGGCGATCAAGAGGATTTACACGACGAGTGGGCCAGAGCGGATACGCAACGAGCTGAGCATCCTAGAGACGTGCAGGGGGTGCCGGCACGCGTCGCAGATCATCACCGCGTTTCGACACCTAGACCAGGTTGTCATCGTCCTACCCTACCAACGGAATATGGATTTTCGGGTGCGCCACTCTTTCTTTAATTACGCGTTCGATGCGTTGGTTCTAACTTGCCGATTGCATATACACAGGAGTTTTACCCAAGCCTACATCCGGAGGGCATCAAGTGCTACTTCCGGTGCCTATTCCGCGCACTACGCGATATCCACGCAAGAGGGATCATCCACCGCGATGTCAAGCCTGCCAACTTCCTCTACGACCCCTTCACAGGCATCGGCACCCTCTGCGACTTCGGTTTGGCTTCAGTACGTCCTCGTTTCTTTTTATGTATTCCGACCTTTTCTTTACAGACATTCTTTTTGCAGCGTATGGAAACTGGCGAAAACAAAGGCGCCTGCCTACATACCGCCGCCTCTTTAAAGGACCCACACGGACGCACGCACACGCTCGACAAGTGGCAGACCGGCGAGGTCAAGGACGCGCAGAAGGCCGCGCGCACAAAGAGCGGGATGCCCGCCGACAAGGTCGGCTACCCCGCGAACGACCGGCGGCCAGCCAGCAAGGCGAATCGTGCTGGCACGAGGGGTTTCAGGGCGCCCGAGGTGTTGTTAAAATGCGGGGCACAGACTGGTGGTAAGTGGCCATTTGATGTTGTGTGCTCGGAGGATGAAAAGAGGAATATTGATAAATGTGCCGTTGTGGGTGCGTTGGGACAGCGATCGATGTGTGGGCGGCGGGCATCATCATGCTCTTCTTCCTGACGGGCAAGTTTCCGATCTTCCAGTCGAACGATGATATCGAGGCCCTGATGGAGATCGCGGCGATTATTGGGAAGAAGAACATGGAGAGGGTGGCTACGCTCCATGGTCAGTTATTCCGTTTTCAGGGAATCAGGTGGTCTTAACTGTCTTTTGAAGCTCGGACGATAGCGACGAATGTGCCGGACATCGACCACGACGGGCTGACATGGCAGGAGTTCGTGGAGAAGCTCGAGCCGACGATCCACGAGCCGCGGAAGTATGACATGCGTTTCTACCCCCACCTCTGCAAGCACCGCGACGGCCCGGGGTCCCGCCAATCCCAACAAGCCTCCACCACCTCCACCCAAGACCCTTCCGCCCCCTTTGTGCCATCCACATCTTCCATATCAACATCCACCCACGCCGACCGGTACGCCAACCCGCCCACCCGCGAACGGCACACCAAAGACCTGCGCGCGGCCTTCCACCTGCTCGAGGCGCTCCTCCAAGTCGAGTCGACCAAACGCGCGACACCCCGCACCGCGCTCGCCCACGCGTTTCTCGCCGAGCCGGGCGTGGACGACGACGACTTCGTGCCGCACCGCCCGGGCGAGGGAGCGTGTGCGGACTGGCATGGGGTGGATGAGGTGACGGGGCAGCTGTTCGTCAGGGTGAGGAGGCGGTGTCGGTGTCGGCAGCTGCAGAAACAGGGGCATGAAGGTGTGGTATGTAAGGGTGAGGGAGGAGGGGAGGGAAAGGAGCTCCCCGACGAGGTGTGGTGTGGGGAGCACGTAGAGGTGTTTAGGGAGATTCAGGTCGGCGAGGGCATCGCGATTGGGAAACGCCCTTGTGAGTTTCATAGGAATGTCTCGCTCTGAGTAAAGTGTATCATATTTTATTTTGTATTACTATCAACTGAAGGGTTTGTACTAGAAGGAACCACCGCGCTCGCACACGAACACACGTTTCTTGGTCAGCCGAGCCCGGACAACGACGACCTCGTGCCACACCACCAGGAGGGTGTATGCTGACTGGCATGAGGTGGATGGGGTGACGAGAAGCAGTTGGTTAAGTGGAGAGTATGAAGGTCCCATAGTGGCAACCGTGGACGCACAAACTAAGGAAGGATACGGTTATAGCGTCAAGCGGGACCGATATTTTTGACCCAATTGCACAAACCGATTAAGCGCCTGTAAGTCAGGGGTGTGGCTAAAAATAGAAACTTGTGGCTGACTTCGGGAATCCGCGTACGTCTTCACATTTGATAGTAACTTCGTCATGAAACGCAGAAGCAATACACGTACATTCTTAATCTCAAACACTACAACGCATATCGTACATCAAACAAGCTCAAGGTCAATCTACTGCGTGTATGGAATCGTTCGGGGATTTACCGACTCAGTTGATGAAGTCAGAATCTGCGTCGTGAGTGATGAGATAATTATTCTAATATATACAGAGCGGAGCATGTGCTTACCGTCGAAGCAGTCGCCGCAGCCGTCACCATTGCTGATACAGACGCCGGACCCATCACCGGCGACACCCAATGCGTTGACCTTGTTGGACCCAGTGTCGCCACAGCCAAGGAGCCCAGCCGCGCGGCTGCGGATCGTCTCGGCATTCGGGACGGGGCCCTCGTCGCTATCTCCGCTAGCGTAGTAGACGCAACCTAAAGCCAGTGATCATGAGAAACTCGAGTATGATAGCTACTTCGAAGTTAATGAGCACTCACATTCTCCGCGGCAAGCAGTGTTGTAGGCCGGGTAGTTGAACTTCAAGTCTTGAGGGTTAGTATAGCTGAACGAGACAGTTCTTTAGTTCACTCTCGTCTTCGAATAAAGTTGGAAAACTGACTGGCAAAGATTGTCATTGCCGGCGAAAGCGGCGTTCCAGTTGTCCCTGTTGTCGATCAGAGCCCGGCAGTCGGACAAAGTGGCATCGTCGGTGGTTCCACAATGGACCTCGTCGCGTTTGGAAAGCTGGGGCTTTGCGAATGCGGATGGGAAAGTACCAGCAATGCCTACGGCGAGAGCGACGATAGTAGTGAGGATTTGCATAGTTTGTGTGGGTAAAGTGTCTGAAGTGAACTGGGAGGGTGGTGGATGTCTATAAAAAATGGGACGGGTCAATTCTTTTATACAGTTGAGGATGGAGAAGATACCGAATAGAGTTGATTTCATTTACGAAATGCGAGGTGCAAGTTGGAGAAAAGAACGAAGTTTTCCATCACTCCAGTCCTCGATCCTTCTAGACGGATATAGCTCCATGGCGTCTGTGGAACATATCTTTACTAATATTCCGGTGGCTGGTCGGAGAGAAGGATGGTATGCAGTAGAGCAATTTGGATCTCAGAACGAAAGGTCGTGTCCTATGCACCTTAAACTTTCTTGGCAACAATCGATGCGCTCGATGTCAGCCCAACAGCCAGCTCTCAAGAAGTTTCAGAGGTAGGTAAATTTCTCGTTCCAATAAACCGATTCGCTTCTTTGTCATTCAGCTTTTCTATATACCAAGTGTAATAATTAATACCTTCATCAATACAAATAAAAGAGGCTTCTGACCGCCGATACCTATTTTTGCTTTCCTCTCACAGAAACGGCGGTTAGCATGGAAATTTTTGACCAGGCCGTACTGTATGATTCGTGTATGCCGTTAATTGAACAGAGAGATACTTGGTATCCAAATAGTGTGGCGCATGCAGGTCTATTTATACCAATTGATAAATTGGTCCGCTATCCCAGTCCCAAGTACCTCCATCAATTCGACTATCAGAAATTCCAACCAGAATCCAGAACGAATTTGCACTCGGAATGTCGCTGCGAGCGTTAGATCCCACCCATAAGTCAGGGGTTATTCAGAGCTAGCAAACAAAAATAGATACAATGCTACGAAGTCGCCGGGAAAGGGATCCACGGAAATCTCCAAACATCAGAAGTCTGCCAGAGAAATCAAGGAAATTTTCGAGTCTATTTTTGAAGGTGGAGTTGATAAATTGGGTCCAATTTGAAATTGAATTTCATGGATTTGGGGTTGTTTTTATCTGGCTTGATTCAAAGGCGAACGACTGCTCATTCTGACAGTTTTTGACTCGTTACCAAGGCACACATACTCTATTCACCTCTTCCCAGCTTCGGTGAAGAACATCCGGGCTTTCCAGAAGGTATTTGGTTCTCTCCGCATATTCAAGGCTTTGCAAATCGACTCCATATATTGCTTCATCCCAACACCGCTTGTCGAACCATTAATCTCCGGGCGTTGGGTGCGAACTCGGGGTATTGTTTCTCGTAGTGGCAGCGCTCGGGAGTCTTCGCGTAGCACGTTCATTTCATATGTCACTCCGATGACCACTGTTCTGCATCATAACTGCCCGAAGACCTGGATGTAAGGTATGACGACAGGAAAAGAATAAGCGCCCATATGCGTCATAGGTTTGGGCTAAAAATAGAAACGTGTTGGCGTCCTCGCAGGCACGTCAATCATATTTGAAACAGAACCGTTCTCGACATGAACTGTGGGTGCCCAAATGATTCACATTTGCAGTTCAAACAGTACATGCCTGCCAGTATCAGATGGTAGATGTGGCTGTGGTCAACACGTAAATGAGTGGCTGCGTTCCTAAGTTGTACGCGTCATCGACGAGGCGGCGACATGTGCTGGAACACGAGTATAGTCCCTATTCCAAATAACTGCCAAGAAATGTGGAATGTTAGCCATATGAGGTAATCATCGCACTTTTGGGAATATGGCGCGCGATGTCCTCGAGGCTGCAGTGGCTGATGGACACCCGAGACAACAATCAACGCTGCCTTGTGCTTGCGATGTGCTTTTTGTCGCGAATATCCAGCACTATCGACTGCATGTTTCTGTGAGGTACTTGCAAAGGGGGTTGCTGGAAGGGCTATGCAGGATCTATCCAACACAACCATGGACCTGTGCTCGTTGAATGAATCGGTGAAATTGGTGGGGAACAGGGAGCGGCAAGGAAGCTATACGTTGTTCAACGAAAGTGGTTTTATGATGGTTCAGCCGATCAAAGTGAAGTGTCCAGTAGGTGTTAGGTCAAATGGGGGGAAAGCGGGAGAACTGCGATGACAGCTAGAGAGCATAACAGAGCACGACTGGGAAGCATGTAGATTGTACAAGAGAAAATAAACAAACATTCGGCGGGCGTCAGGGGGGGGGGAGCGCGGAGCTCCTAATTCCAATATCGGAACGTGTGTACGCCTTGACGGGGAGGGTTGTCACGGCGAAATCCGAACGTGGTGGATGAAGAAGGCTCCCGACATAACTCTCATAAGTTGTTGTATCGGTTGGGGGATGGTACTCAGAACCACGCTGTGCTATTGTTGTTTCTGGAGGAAGTAGAGGGGAGGGACGCCTTCTCCGGCCACGGTGGCACAGTCGCCTGAGACTTGGCCATATTGAATTCGAAGTTACAATCTCAAAAGAGCTGAAATTGACTTACCAAACTCACTTATCTGAAGTGGTCGATTGTGTTCGGGATGTTCGGGATAGATACCCTGCTCTGGCGAAGTGCATCTCGACCTGCAGCTTTCAAGGTCCTTTGTCAACTGGGAGTCACGTACTAGAATATTTGTCATTTGTGAGGCGCGTCGAGGGAAACCATGATACTACGCACCTCCAAGAGTTGAAATAAACATCTCAGTGGTCGCCTCAGCGGCTGCCTCTAGTTTCTTGAGGTCAGGACGGATCCCTTCCCGTTTTGCTTCAGCACGAACACGATCCATACGCTTTCTTTGCTCTGACAGAGTCTTGGACAAGCCATGAAAACGCGAGATGCAAGATAAACGACGCTGAGTTTACCTGGACGCCAACACGGAATATTTCAATTTCCCGGGATATCTCCAGAAGTGCCCATATTTTCGTCCAGGCGCGCAGGATCTGGATGATGTTCTTCGTGGGGAGAATTACGAACATTAACGGCTTGATTCTATCTTCGAGGCTGTATATGCGATCAGGCGACCTTCTAAAGTGAGGGATGGGACACCGCGCTCACAGCTCTAGCCAGGCATTAAGCTGGACGTGATGACCAGCTTCTCCTGGGAGGAGATCCTCTTGGTCGAGCGCATCGTACAAAGCACGCGTTTGGGCGACCAGATCGGCAGTGCGGATATAAAGATTTGTTGGCGTGAAGTGACGGAGAAAGTTGACAGAGGAGAACAGCAGGCCAAAGATTGATAGGATGGTAAGAGTGCATGTCAATGGGTCCAATCCAAGGAGATTAGGGATCGACATCACTGTCGTTAGTTTGTCGGGGGTGGACATCGGGTTTGGGAAATTTGGGGCTTGGGCGAACGCCTTTTTCTACCTCTCTCCGTGGGGCTGACACGCGTTCTGCAACAGACTTGATAAATCGGTTAGCCGAGAGCACTGACTCACATACGGTACAGCATATTGTGGGTTTCATAGGCTGCCTGCAGGCTGCAGGATGTTGGATGAAGGTGGGCAAATGACCTGAGCGTGGGATAGACTTATATAATTCACACTCTAGTTGATCTCTCGAACTTGCCGGTTTGGCCTTGCCAATCAATGCCACCGCCACCAAATGGCGCAGAGGCAGCCATCTCTTCCCGCATATCAGACAGTCGACGATGACAGCGAAGAGATCTATCTTGGACCCCCTGTGTTCGTACGCCCTCCTGAAAATGACTACAAGGTCCCGTATGATTTGCAACACCCAGATACTTCCTATCGGCCAGAGCTAGGACCAATAGAACGATTTTGGGTCGATCGTTCTCAGTTTTTGCTCCAACATGGTTTCGAGCTCCGTTCGCGGTATCAGCTGGGATGGGTACCTTCTTGGAAGGAATCAGGAAAGACTTACACTTCTTGTGAGGACCACTTATTCCGTTTTGTGAGTTGCCTTTGCTCATCGTCTCTTGAGTGTAATGACATGGACTCGTGACAGCATGCTCATATCGTGGATGGAAGGCGGAAATCGGATGGAGCTCCTGTTGTTATAAAACAGGTCTATAGGGCGAATACAGAAATCGACATCTTACGTCTGTTTGCCTCGCCCGAGCTTTCTCGCGATCGGGCGAATCACGTCGTCCAAGTTTTGGATATCCTGCAAGACCCTTTTAAGCCTGGGATGGAGTTCATTGTCATGCCTCTACTCAGGCGTTACGATGATCCCGAATTTGGAGCCATTGGAGAGGTCGTCGACTTCGTCACTCAAGTATTACAGGTGAGTGGTTGTACTTCGCTGGTCCGCGGTCGTTTAGCAATTCTTTCAGGGCCTCGCCTTTATCCATTCTCATAATGTTGCTCACAAGTGCGTTTGGATATAGGTCTAAACATTGATAATTGACGTCTTGTTGCAGTGACTGCACCGGGAATAACATTGTGATGGATGCTCGCCCGATATTCCCCAATGGATGGCATCCTATCTCTGATCTCTACACTCCTGATTACTCCGGTTACACTCGCTCTCTGTCTCGTATCGACCACCCCGTTCGCTACTACTTCATCGATTTTGGACTGTCCCACCGCTTCCTTCCTGGACAACGGCATGTGGTAAAGGATTATGGCGGTGCTGACCAGGATGTCCCTGAGTATGAGGTCCTGAATCCCTACGATCCTTTCAAGGCCGATATCTACACGTTGGCAAACATTTTCATGAAGAAGTTCCATCAGGTTGGCCTGCTCACTTTCCTATCATGCCTTACTGAGCTTCGATGCCCAGAAATACGTCGGCCTTGAATTTATGGGTGATCTAGTCAGCTATATGAGAGTCGAAAAGCCATCGAAAAGGCCAACAGCGCAGATGGTGTTAGAATTCTGGCTGCAGATCCAGGAAGGGCTGGACCCTAGGCATGCCAGGTGGAGGCTTCGAACACCCACGGAGTCTATACCAGAGCGCGTTGTCCTGGATGCCGTCTCTGTCGCTCGTACGGGCATACACGAAATTTCAAAATATTTTATGTAGTTACGAAGGTACATCCCTTCTCTGTCGCCTCTCGTTCTTCACACTGTGGGAAGCGTTGGCGGTTTTTAAAACTGCATCGGCCGAAACTGCCCAGGAATGGCGGTTCCTTTAACCGTTTGAGGAAATGTAAAATTAAATGTGTCTAAAAATAGCGAAATAGCTGCCAATCGGGAGTTAAATCCCCATCATCATGACGTCGTGACACTTTTACACGCGCAGCCGCGGCCTTTCATGACCACGCCAATCGATCGCGCACAACTTCGTGTTGAAGTCACCACTCAACGGACTTACAGGTTTCTCCCAACATTGTTTGGCAGCGGCTTGTTTGTTCCAATAGGCAACCAAACAAAATGAGCAAAAATCCTCATTTTGTTTGGTTGCCTATTGGAACAAACAAGCCGCTGCCAAACACACCGAGACCACGTGATGCAACCGCATCGTTGGCCGCTCTGACGCGCTGCTTCTTCCTTCCTACCACCATCTCCAACCTCCATGTCTACTATATCTCTGTCCTGATCCCCCATCTGAGGCCCAAGATGGGCATCTGTTTGCTGAAAATCCGGCTTGATCACCCGTAGAACTGGACTACGCATTCCGATCTGGCTGATCCGGGCTCTGATTGGCTGATCATGGTCAATTGTCTTGGCTGTGAGTTCCGATTTCGTTGAGTGTATGCGCTGATTTCCATTTGACTTCATGTAGCTAATCTCATTGTCAACTGCGGACGTCGGCCAGGAGGCAGCTTCCAATCGTTTAGAAAGGTGCGATCTACGCCATCTCTTTTACATGCGGCTCCTGTCCCCGAGCTACCAGACGCCATCCGAGCCGAGTATACTGCACATACACCCTTGCGATTGACCATCCTGTAAGTCATTTTACTCGGATCACATTCTTGGCTCAAATTCCTTGGCTCGTAGGCTAATGAAAGCCGGATGCAAGAGGACGGTGCGGCGTCGAGGTACAGGTGGATGTTTCTGTAGCCAGGTATGTTCACAATACTCATTCGCTTTTCTTTTCAGCGTCACCTTGCATTTTCTGGCCTCCCGGCAAACACCGCCCCGTCCTCTGCTCCGGCTTCCCAACCCGTACTACCAAGACACCTCCTGCTCTTTCAACTCACGACTTCGGGGCTGAAGTCTACCAAAAACACCTACTCATAGACCCAATGGCGACGACGAGGTCCAGCACGAGGGTACTTGATACCCCGACACCCCAACGTCTTGCCTTTGCCGCGCCTCCCTTCACCGCCCAAACCCGCCACCACCGGGGTCAAATAGTTGTACGTGTTACTGTTGCAAAAATAGTAAGCACGTCTGTTGAGGAGAATTGACCATGCTCATAATTTCCTTATCTCCGATTTCAACCTCAATGTACGGCTAGATTCACATTTCGCGAGTGCAGTATGCAAATGCCACAGGTACGTTAGTCATTTATATTATTTGAATACTGTTTGAACTCTCCGTTTTTCCTCGCCAGTATCTCACACACCACCGCCTTCCTCCCTTCCATTGTAATGGACAGATGTGTGCAGCGCGATGGTGTTCATGCCCGTGAGTAGTGCTGCCCTCGAACTCCTCGAAGCCCTGATAATCCTTGCCTAACAGCGTGGGACACTCATTGGGAAGGTGTTATTCGCTAACGATAGCGTGGTTGGATGGCCCAGATGTGGATATCAAAGGCGATATATTGTTGTCTGGGTGGTACATGGTTCTGACCCCCCCTTGCATCACGATGATGCTCGCGCTCAAAAATTCGGTGCAGCCTTTATTCTTGAGTACGAGAAAAATGATTTACCACCGTTTTCTCCAACAGCTGCTATCCAGCGACACCCGATGATCCCTGGGACATGAAATACCACCCGGAATGCGAAACCGCACGCGGCTCGTTGAAGGAGGCATTCAGAGGATTATCCACATCGTCGGGCTCGGCAACGTGGTCAAAGACTGGAACGAGCGTGAGTGCCCATTTCTACACAAGCGTATCATGAACTTGCCTTCTGTTGATTCACAACGCATAGTCCTATATATTTGAATGAACGTGCCCTGACGTTGAGGGACGTAAGCGAGCACCCATGAGCAGGAAAGGCTGAAGATGTGGTGAGTCGTCTCTGCACAAAAGATCCCCCCACTCAGTGGATCTGCCAGGATACAGTCCACCGTTGCTGTAATGATCCCAGGAGGCCGACGCGCAATCAACGCGGATCCGACGCGAGAGACCACGCCTATACGAGATCGACGGCCGGAGATGATAAGGAGGGCAAGGGTCGATGTAGGTATGAGGCGCAAGACCTAGCAGAAGCCATGTAATTACCTCGGGCAATGAAATTTACTATTAATGTTGGCAGAAAATCATACACCCAGAAATGACGTAAATAAAACCTAGCTCAGTCGAGGTAGAAAAACCGCCAGAGCTTAGTTGTATTAACCGCCAAAAGAGTCCTTTTGGCGGTTATTTTCACTTTCCTCCGGCAGGGCATAAAACCGCCAGGTGTAGTTTTATATATTGCCATACAGGTAGTTATTTTAAACACTTATGCGGGCTATGAGAATTAACCGCATGCCGGCGTAGTTTTTAAAAATGCCCTGGCTTCCCGCAGTGTTCAATGCTCAATCATGTTGATAGCTGACGAACCTCATGGTTTCTTACCGAAAATCCGGTCTCTGGAGACCCCTAGGCTGAGCCGTATCTCTCATGTTCACCCATTGGAGCATCGCTGGTACAATGTCTCTTGTCGGGCCATCCTGTTTCAATCCGCAAGGCAACGCTTTCGAACTGCTCATCTTCCTGCGATCTGTAGAAGTACTCTCACCTTATTCATACCCTCACGCTAATTGTCGCTTTCTGTACTGTTTTCGAAATGGATAGGGTTCATGTTTTCAAACAGGCCTGATTTTACCTTGGGTCTTCAAACTGCTGCCTGGACCCACTCGGAATATTGGAAGACCACCCCGCAGAAGCGCCTCAATACATCTATAACCAGAGGGTCAAATTAATTCCCTCCCGTCGATGCCTTCGAAGTTCTAGCCACCGATTTTACAGCTTTTCGACTCTAGTAGAAGTCGTCTGGGACTATTTGGAATAGCGTTAACGCAACATGTCCTCCGGGCTATAGCCACAAGCTCCTCCCAGGCTCCTCCCGTGCAACAGCTCCCTCGATCTAGCCTGCCTCATACTGCGCACGCAACCTCGTCCCCTGCCTGCCGTAGATCTTAATGGGCGACCATTGATAGCCTCTGGCGTATTCCGTCACTTAGTCTGGGACTGACCTCTCTGGAAACTGATGGGCATAGGTCACAAACATATCGTGTTTAGTCCGTCAAACACAATCACAAGAGCCGTCATACAATACCCCGTTCAATAATATGTAAGGCCTGCTTCAACGCCAACAGAGACACCAATTTTACTCAGGGGCAAAGTCGGCATCTAAGCCGTTATGATGAGGGAGTCGTCCGTCAATCTGCTTCGTCCTTCTCAAAGATTTTGACTCACCGTCGAAGCAGTCTCCACAGCCGTTTCCATTGCTGATGCAGACTCTAGAACCGTCAGGAGCAACGCCCAGCGCGTTGATCTTGTTGACATCAGTTGTGCCGCATCCTTCTGGATATCCCAGCCTGCCAGTATGGCAGGTCATGGGCTATAAAATTCTCCCACGTCTGACCCAAGTTCTCCAGCTGCTGGTCTCACCCCGCCAAACCGAATCCTAACCATTCGACGCTGCGTTGATCACAAGCTAACCAATTAAATCATCACCACACCCCAACGAACGACCTGCAACGAATCATCATGGTCCAACTTGCTCCCATCGTTGTTCCTTGCCATCCTTCAACTGCGCCCGCTATCGCCGCTCCTTTGCATGTCGAGTACGTCCACCGTCGTTCCTATTTTCCCCACCATTGACTCACAATATACCGTTTTTTAGGCATACTGGTCACGTCCACACCCACGAAGTGCACCCTGAAGTAGAGGCCCGCGAACTTGACACACTCGAGGAGCGCGAGCCAATCTTCGGTGCCCTCAAGATCGCACGGAAGGTCGTCGGAGGTGTCGCCAAGGTCGCAGCTGGAGCGCGCTCCGGTCGCGAGCTCGGGGAGCTAGCTGCCCGCGACCCCGAGAACTTTGACACCCGAGGATTCATTACCACCACGATACCGGGACCCGCGCGGGCGGGAGGACCGGATACGAGGACTATGAGGGTCGCCATTCGCGACATCGAGCATCTGGACGCTCGCAGTGCCCGCAATGGGCGTATGGGAGGCCGTATCGGAGGTGCCGGAGTCTCCCGCCCAGCAGTTCTGCGGTCCGCCGTCATCGACGGCCATGAAGAGCTTGACAGACGCCTCGAACCGAGCGACGGCCTGAGGGCTGCGCGCATGCGTCAGCGGATGGCAGGCGCGAAGCCGGGCTCGCATATGATCACGACCAAAGGGGCGCGTGACCTCGAGGAGCTTGAAGAGCTCGCGCTCCGCTAACCGATCCTCCGCAAGGTACTGGGTGCGTCGCCGGTGCTGCGAGGGTTGCTGCTGGTGCACTCGCAGGCCGTGATGATCTTGAGAGTGTCGAAGAGCTCGCTGCTCGGGGATATTTCGATGGTGAGGTCGACGAGCTCGACTAGGTGGGGTAATATTGACGGGCAGATAACGACTAATGCGCACCTGTATCCAATTATTCCAGTCCAATTGTACCATTACAGGAGAAAGTTGCCTCAATGAAGCCCCACTTCGGGATCTTGATCACCGGGCCGCCATCCGTCTCTCATTCGCTTCTCCCACTCCGTGGAGGTAGGTTCACGACATCTATTGAGCTAACCAGCGTATAATCGACTCGAGACGATAATGTACAACTTGAAACGAGAGAAACTGAGAAAGAAAGAGAAACTCCAAGTGTCCTAGAACCCGGAATTGAACTGATAAATAATAGGTACTCCATTATTCAAGAACCTTCGCATCGTGGTCTTCTGACTACGCCACCGCCGCCGTCGAACATGACACCTTGCCATGTCCGAGGCGGGGCCGTAGAACAGTTCGTTGGGACGTTGAGAGCAGATACGAGGGTCTCGTGAGATTCGTGCGGTCGATCGTGCAACTTGTAATTTCTTCGTCGTGCGCCGGGAATTGGGATTGGGATGGGTTTCGCGACCAGAGTGAAGAGAGCCGGACGCTCAACGTTCACCAGTAGATCCGTCGTTCGATGGTGCGGCGGTTGGGTGTTGGGCGAGTATATTGGACGGTGCGCCTCACGCGGGTGACGGTCGGGTACCTAACGAATGACAAGTCAAGTCAGATGTATGCGCATACAGAACCACGTCGGGCACAGGAAGGTAATCTACTCACCATGCATGGTACACCTCTCCGTCGAGCTGAACTTCGATGACCTGACGACCCTGTATACGTAAGGCAGCATGTCAGTCAGATGTACGCGCGACGGCAGAAGGAAGAAGGAACGGGGATGGACGCACAGCGTAGTCGACATGTGAGCCGATGACGAGACCCTCCTGACGGCCCTTGAGCCCGTGGCGGACAGCGACGATGTCTCCTGGCTATATGCGTACGGTGCGAGGTACGGCGGCGACAGGGTGGTCGAGAGCGATAGTGAGCGAGTCGGTGAAGCGTTCAGAGAAGGGCAGAGAAAAGGACGAGACAAAACATGAGTATGGAGGTCAGGCAAGAGCACTATAGGTTGCTCACCGTGATGTAGTCGTCGTCGGTGACGGTGGACATGGTGGTCGTGGAGAGAGACATAAGGTTGGCGCGGAGCTGGGTAAATGTACTGGCGGGTCTGGCGGGCGGCGAAACTCTTCTCCAAAATCCCACTAGCAAAAATTCCTGTCAATCATGCATACATAACGACGTCGTCCGATAGTGTACGGTATAATGGTCGTACTTACACGATGCTTGACAGGCTTGGCTTACTGGAGGTGGAAGATTTGATTTGGAGTACTTGCGGCGGCGGTGTCGATAAGTCGGGAAGGCTTGAAGATAGTCGAAGGGGGGAGAGCTGTAGTGGATAAGGAGGAATCGGGTGCTTGGTTTTTATAGGGCTAGGAACGATTAGATGGCCCTTTGCCCGCACCTGTACGGTGAGGCTAGCCTCGAGGCAGCCCAGAGGTCATTGTAAGTAGCCGACCCTGTTTTTTGTCCGACCACCTCCCCGATCAGCTGTTTCCTCCTTGTTCAACAGCCTGCGTGGCGACTGACGTGAATACTTACATTGTTCTTAGTGAAGAGTACAACGATAATAATGCACAAGAATTTTTCTAGTTATTCACGAGGTAGAAAGCATGGGCATCAGGTCCAGAAGCCGCTAACGCCAAATCGCCCCATCTCGCGCCGGCCTACCGTCTAGTATTCTCCATGGCACGTTCCGCCACTATAGATGAGAGAGGTGATGGACGTCGGGCATGCATGCAGTGTGAATTTTGGGGTTGCGCCGCCCGGCGTCCTCGTGTCAGCTGCGTTACGCGTCCTCGCGCCAAAACGCCTCCTTCCGACGTGTGTCAGAAACATGACTTTGATTTGAAGGCAGTGAAGGAAGTCGAGGTTGCCTATCTATTAGATCTATGAAGTCATAGTTCAGGTAGTAGAAGCGTGTATCGTTTGATCCTCCCATGTCCAGAATGCTGGGTTCTTCACAGTAAGAACGTCGGCGAAAAGGCGAGGGTGGAGGGCGAAGGCGCCATCTGAGTCCGAGGACCCACAGTCGGCCGTCCGTCCGCATGCACAAGTGTCGTGTGCACAGTAGAGCGGAGGATGGTTAATCGTCGTTGATATATCAGGTCAATCTGAACGACGGCGGAAGGTCGAAGAGACCACAAAGACTGCCATAGTCTGAATGACATCAATAGAGAGGATGTCGAGCCGTTCGGTCTTCCAAGCGCCCAAAGGAGTTTCGGCGGAAGCAAAATGTCGATCTGTGGATCGACGGGCGCTTGATCACGATCAGACAGAAACAGTCGTCCACGTTATCCTGTCAACGTTTCAACTATGACACAAAGTCAACAAAGATAGAAGTCGAACGTACCCTTAAGTCCTTATGCCAAACAGCCGGCGGAAAATGGCGCGCAGCCATGCCACGAGCGAATCTCCGCCTCCAGCAGGCGAAAGCTGGGGGTTGGTCCCCGCTGCACCTCCAGAACTATCTCCAACACCAACGCCTCCACCACCACCACCGTCACCTCCAATCCCAGCTCCAACTCCTTCACTAACCGCACCACTCCTATCCCTGAGTGCGACCAAAATGCCCTCCGCACACTCCTTATACACCTTCTCTAGTTCAACCTCTCTGATATAATAGCTCCTCCGCACCGCATACGGCGCCATGCCATTATATTTCCTCATCAGCCCATTCAGCTCTTCCACCGCCCTCTCATGGTATGCACGCTCTTTTTGGGCCCATTCAGTGTCGCGATGCCTCTTGATATCATCGAGCGTGAGGGTGGGCAGGATGGGAGGTGGATAGGCGAGGACGATCATGCGGACGGCGCGACGCGTCCAGGATTGGGCGAGGATCTCGCGGAAGGAGGATGCGGCTGATTCTAGTTCTGTGTGGAGACAAACACACCAACCATGAGGCCTGAGATACGGAGAGGTAGAGAGCTTCAGTTGCTTACGGCTTTGTATCTCCACCCACGGAGGCACAGCGCCGTTTCTTTGCACAATACGGTTCATCAAGAATTCTTCACGTGCGATGAAGGGATTGTACTCCTCCGTGGTGCGCATGATGGGCTGACCGCGGCCTTTGACAGTCTTGAACAGACCTGCTTGGCGGGCTTGCTGCGAAAGAAGTAATCCTTCTCAACATTCCAAACCCACATGACTGATAGAAAAGACGTACCTCAATCCGTTCTTCGACCAAGCTCGTCCACCCTTTCACACTCACAGGGTTCGGCCTTGCACCACCTCCCGGACTCCTACCCGTACCCACACCCCCACCAACTTTGCCTTTCGCCCCGAACCCAACCCCCATCCGATAATCCAACGTCGCCTCTCTCGCCTCCGTCAGCCTCCCAACCGTTTTTTTCCTCTTCCTTTCCTCCTTTTCCACTCTCCTCACCTGCGGGTCATCTATGCTCGATATGCCCCTAGCCTTTGATGAGGGTAGGGACGGTTGTGCAGGCATCTGCGCGAGCTTCACGCTCGACGCCACGTGCGACGGCGCCTTGAACGTCGTATGCCACGGCTCGTGTCCCTCCGTCGACGGAAGAAGTGGTTCAGTCGCCCATGAGCCCGTCGTCGGTGCGAGCGGGGGTGTCCACACAGGTTCTTGCATTCGTATGTCGTCCGGTACCTGATTCGAACCTATCGAAGGCACTCCGCCCCTCATCTTCATCTTCTCCTCGGCCGACATCACCCTTCCCGTGCGGAAGGGCTTGTACTTGTCCACGAGCATGCGGAGGACGGCGTCCTGCATCCTTTCCTCGCCTGTCCAGTTCTCGTGCACACCCCCGGTGGAGGCGAGGATGGCGGCTTGTCGTGCGAGGGCCTCTGCTTCCTCCTTTTCTGAGAGGGCAGCATGTGCGAAGAGCTGTTCGCTTGCGCTCTGAGTTGTGTTCGCGTTTGCGGTGGGGCTGTCAATGGGTGGGGCCTCCGGGGTGGAAGCGGAAGCGGAATCGGAAGGTACAGTGTGTTTCATCCGTACTCCTTCACGGCCGATAAGGAGCGTCCGTTGACATCCATGGCGTAGGGGGAGAAGGATTCGGCTAGGGAACGGTGGCTTTGTGAGAAAAAGAGGGATATTGAAAGTCAAAGGACGTGATTGCATGCAGAGAGGTGAAACTACCGTAAAACTAAATTCCTCTTTCTGATCAGTTGATCTCGGCCCGGATCGGGCCATTATGACGGAAGCCCTCATTATGACGGAAGCCCTCATTCTGTCTTGAAGACAGAGCACCAACTATGTACCCAGTTGAAAGAGCAGGAACGTATCATGGTACAAAGTCGAGTTCTCTTCTTTTTTAAACAGAGATTTTGGGATAAAACTATTTGGAAACCCCCCTTTCCACGGAAACCCTGGGTTTCTTGTCATTGATGTAGAAACCCCCCACATTTGTGCTTCCATCAAAAGCTTGCGCATGCTTGGCTTTCCGGAGGCGCGGCCGGCGATGTGGGAGGCGCTCAGAAGCGCCTCAAGCGCCTTTTGACGCTGGCGTCCATTACTTATGCAAAGGCATTGAGCCTACGGAAGGCGAGAACCTTCAGCTCAGGTATGTCAATCAAAGCAGTTCACGCGGAATGGGTCCCCACAATCCCTGAACACTGCAGGCTGGCTGAACTGGCAGGAGGCGCCGAGGCGAGAGCTATGTCTTACTAGTGTCCGAGTCCAGCGCCGGTTAGGCACTCCCAAGACACGAGGACGAGTGAACTTTGCTGGGTGCTCTACATAAAAAATTCTTAAATAGTGCTCTAGTGTTATGTTTGTGTGAATCTTTCATCACGGTGGGCTTAAATAACTTCTTCCGAGCAGCTTGGGAGACGAGTGGGCCTTTACTCTCTGAGTGTTCAGAGATCTACTGAGATACAGACTCTTTCTACAGATTACTCAAGCATTAGAGCAAGCAATGCATGATGGTGTCGCTCATTGTCCCTTTATTGTCTATCAAGCCCTCCTGTGCCGACGTTGCAAATGATGCCCGCCTCGCCTCACGAGTGCTTCCCAAACCAATCGCGCCCCGTGCGTCTCACACTTTAAGCTCAAATATCTACCAACCTTCTTTCATACAGCTAATTCTGGTATGGATTTACTACAGGGCGTAAAAGCTGGAGGGAAGGGGAGTAACAACTCAAACAACGTCGACTTGACGGCGCCATGGACGGTGCACGGTGCCATATTTGGTCGACATCACCGGACAGGCACGATCATTCATGCTCGAGGAACCGGGTTTCCGAACAAGTTATTTGGAAATCCAGGGTTTCTGCTGGAAAGGGGGGTTTCCAAATAGTTTTATCCGAGATTTTGGAAAGAAATTTGCGGTTTATTTTGGGTACATAATGCAATGGCGAAAACACAACAAACGAAAGTTTGAAAATTAAACGCCATTTCAACCTGACCAGACAGGTCCGCCAGGGGCAGTATAGCTCTGGAGGTTGTTGTAGATGTTGACCTGGATTCACAACGGTCGTTGGGCGCCCCCACGCAGGCCAAGCGATAGAAGAAGACGACGTACGGTGATACCGGGGTCAGAACCCTGGTAGGCCCCTGGGATGGAGATCTTGGGTGGGTTCGCATTGCCTCCGCTCGTGATCTTGACTTGGGCGCAGCCAATGTAGAACTGGGCTCCGGGGTAGGTTTGAGAGGTGTGGAGGGCAATCTACGCGCGAATAGGATTAGTCATCCAATGCGTTTAAGGCGAGATAGTTTGCCTTACGATCTCAGCACGGAGGAGGTACTCTCCAGCAGGCAGCGAGGCAGGAATGACGACGCTGTGTTTGCCTGTCGCGCAAGGAATGAGCTTATCTACCCTGGTTCTTGAGGTGCACAGGAAGAGGAGACTCACCACCGTTCGAGTTGACGATGTCGGTAGCCCATAGCATCGAGCTTGGGTTCAGCAGGCCAGACGAGTAAATCTTGGTCCATACTGCACCCTGCCCGTCAAAGCTGGCGGCTGTTGATGGAGCCTTCGCGACGTAGACCTGGACGGGCCCTCTGTGGCCGCCGGAGATGGGGTCTTCGCCTGTTCGTTGGGCGTGCTGGTGCCATTCAAAGCTAAAGGGAAGGGGTGTTAGTTACATGGATAGACATATGAAGTCTGGAGAGAGAGAATGTACGTGATGTTGCGACCGGCAGGGATGCTTAATGTGGCGACTGAGGCACCAGATAGACCGTTGACGTTGCAGGTCAAGTCTTTGGAGGTGACGTCCGTGACGGGGTTGTTGTTGGGTGGGACACGAAGGTAGTTGTCCAGTCCTTGATCAACCTGGGAAAAGTTGTTAACAAATAAATTAAGAACGTAGTCGCCATGGTAGAGCCTCTCACCCCATTGTCCCAGATGTACTGCATGGTAAAATGGGCATTGGCCAACGCAGCCGAGGCAAGGAGGGCGAAAACGGTCTTCATCGTAGTGCCGGGACTTGGACCCTTCTCTGAGGTCGTCGACTTCTTTTATACCCCAGCAACACCGGTGAAACGGGCGAGATGTCCAAAATACGCCATATGCACGATCCTGATAAATCGTAAGTATCGCAATCTTTTTCTTAGACGCGACCATTTCCGACGCGGCAGATGATTCCAGAACCAAAAATGGCTCAGGGAACGGTTGCTTCTTCTCTCTTCAGCGAATCCGCTGGATGACATACCCACCACGAGCGCGTACTCGTGGGGGCTTTAGCCAGCAGTCGTGAGGTCACATTGGGTGCGACATCCGAGGATTAGGCGCGCGTTGTTCTCCAGGGCTGTTCTGGGTATATATCGGCCTCGGAAATTTAGGATGGGGCGGTAATGATGCAACCAGACACAAAGACATTGACCAGAGAAAAGGGCTCGGAGAAGCTTGAACTTCGGAACGACCAGTGGGGGCTATTAGACCGAAATTGTCATGGGGTATCAGGAAACATGACGACGTTTAAACCTCCGTGCGGGCCTGCGGAGAACGATCCAGAGTTGAATGAATTGGAGTGAATTCGATCTTCATTAAGGACGTGGCGAGGGCAAAATAGACTCATTACTGGGCGTTGAACCAAGAGTGCAGGCTGATAGGCGTTCTTGAATCCTTTTATATGAGAGTTCCTCAGCAGAAGGCGGCGTGTCAGACGCGTAGAGATTTGTTGTTGAACGACATGGGCGCCGTGGAGAACATGGTTGAAACTCCGCCATCAACATCATCGGTTGGAACCAGACTTGTCCCACAACTTCTCTTCACCCTTGAGATCCTCTTGTGGTGATCTCTTTCTCAAACCCTGTTGGCTTGCGCAGCAGCTATTGTTGGCGGCAAGTATTTCTGGAGGATCCAAAAGTACAGCATTCAAATTTCGCCGACAAGAAGCGACGATTGGCAGCAGTTGAAGTTCTGTGAAGCTCTAGGGTAACAAGCTCCCAACCAGTGCAGGAGGGATGTCTGTTCTTTTTGAAACATCTCTTGGAGATATCGTTATCGATCTGGAAGTCGACAACTGCCCAAAAACATGCGAAAACTTCCTGAAGCTATGCAAAGTCTATTACTACAACTTGAACGCATTCTTCAATGGTACGCGTGCCTCTTCTTCGTTCGGCCCATTGAATGCGTCTATTCACGTCTATTCTACTCATATAGTGTCTAAAGACTTCCTGGCTCAGGCTGGTGACCCGACCGCGACAGGAACCGGAGGTGAATCAATCTGGTCACTTATTGCGTCAGATTCCAAATCCAATCCTCCGTCCTCAAGATACTTCACTCCCGAACTTCTTCCTAAATCAAAGCATACGCAGAGGGGCACGGTCTCAATGGCCGTCGCACCTGCAATGGAGGGCCAGAAGGGCGGTTGTGGAAGTCAGTTCTTCATCACCCTCGGTGGCAACATCGACTATCTCGACGGCAAGCACGCGGTTTTTGGACACGTTGTTGAAGGTTTTGATACCCTCGATAAGCTGAACGAGGTATTTGTGGACCAGGATGGAAGACCGTTCAAGGACGTACGCATAAGGCACGTCATCATTCTTGGTGCGTTGCATGATTCTAGCTCATTTTTTTGCGGAAAGCTCATTGCCACTTGGACCTGTGCAGACGATCCGTTCCCCGATCCACCGGGGTTGATCAAACCGCCGTCTTCGCCTACGAGACCCCCAGATAATTCGACACGTATCGCTGAAGATGAAGACCCCCTGGCAACCCTGCCTGAGGAAGAGGAAGAGCGCATCCGACGCGAGAAAGCCGCAGCGGCCTCCGCTCTCACACTCGAGATGGTTGGAGATCTGCCCTTTGCTAATGTTCGCCCGCCCGAAAACGTTCTGTTTGTCTGCAAGCTCAATCCCGTCACACGAGATGAAGATTTGGAACTCATCTTTTCTCGCTTTGGGGCAATTATGAGTTGCCAAGTAATTCGGGACAAACGTACGGGAGAATCGCTTCAGTATGCTTTCATAGAATTCGACAAGCGCGACGATGCTGAGCAGGTAAGGTGGTGTGCATCTCAACTGATTGACGGTGGCTGATAATTGTTACAAGGCATACTTCAAAATGCAAAATGTCCTCGTGGATGACCGGCGTATTTGGGTTGACTTGTAAGTGCTTACTCAGAGCATCACAATGTAGGGGTTGCTGACCCATCTCCCTCTCAGCTCACAGTCGGTTGCGCGACTAAACACCCACTGGTCCAACAACATTGTCGCAGGACCCAAACGCATCAAGGGCCAGTTTGGTTTCGGTGGCCGTGACGACCTAGAGAAGACACGTCGGTACAGAGATGAGGGCGATTCGCGGAATAAATCGGACAACTATGGAATGGTCTTTGACGTTCCTTCTGATCGTAGCTCCGGGCACCATCGAAAACGCAGTCTTAGTCGAGAAGATGACGACAGAGAGCATCGTCGTAGGCGTTCAAGGTCCCCCCACACATCCTCCAAGCATAAAGATTATGACCGTGACCGGCGGCGAGAAAGGAGCAGGAGCAGGAGCAGAGAGCGACGGTCTGGGCGAGACGGGCGGCGTTGACGGTGTATTTATATGTGTTTGTGCTTCTGTCCCCACCTACCATACCTCAATGCTCAATGCAGTGCTTGCAGGTTCTTATAATGATACGTATTCGTTCTGGTGCGTTTAGGTCAACAGCCTGAGGCTCCTGAATCTGTGTTCCGGGGTGATTGTCCTCCTGCGTCATCGGTTGGCTTCTAAAGTCAACCACGGGTTGACTGGACAGCTCTGTCTGTGGCATATATAAGACCTGTTCCGTGGACTTCTTCCTTCGTCTCAACAATGGCTCTCTCCAAGTACCAGTTCGACGCTCCAGACGCTGACGTCATCCTCATGACGACAGAGGCAGACTCGTCCACTGAATTTCGTGTCCACAGATGTCTCCTGTCAGCCGCATCGCCGTTCTTCAACGACATGTTCTCGCTGCCACAGGGCAAAACACCAGATGAAGACATTCCTACCATCCCAGTTCCCGAACCGGCTCACGTTCTGGACAACATCCTACGATTCATATACCCTATCCCTGACCCCATCATCACTTCTCTCGACGAATTGGCGGCCGTCCTCGCTGCTGCAATACAATACGACCTCGTTCAGGCCATCAGCACCATTTGCAAGCTTCTAATTTCCCCGCAGTTTCTCCAGACGAATCCTCTGCAAGTCTACGCCATCGCATGCCGCTTCGACCTCGACGAAGAAGCCAAAGTTGCTTCGCGTCACACCCTCGGCATTGACCTTGTCGAGGCACCCTCAATTGAGGCACTTCGACATATCTCAGCTTACGACTACCACCGCCTTCTCAAGCTGCATCGGTATAGGTCGCGTGCAGCGCTGGAGCTACTGAACACTGCTCCAGAGAACATGAAGTGCATGCAGTGTAACGGATCCGCTTTTACCATGGATCGCAAACCAGGGTGGTGGATAGAGTTCGAAAGGATTGCGAAAGGGCGATTGGAGGTCAGACCATCTACGGAGGGGCTATTCGAGGTGGAGTTCTTGTTCATGGTTGCTAGAGCTGCGGGGTGCACGAGATGTCCGGAGAGTGTGCTTGATTCGTGGAGGTTCTTAAAGGATCTGCAGCGGGCGATTGACGCGCTGCCTGCAACGGTTTAGACAAAGTTTAAGGATCTCGGGGCTTGGTAGAGATTGCTGAGTCATTTTTATATTCTACACTGTCAAAGGACTCCCTGACGCATTTTCGTTAAGCAAGAGCTGTATAATGATGCTTAAATCCTTAAATAATTCTATTGAATCTATATTCGAACACGTAAGTTCTTTCAGTCAGCAACTGCCTTCGCCAAGAACTGACCGAAGCTGCCGAAGTCAAGCGCCTAACATGATTAGAGTAAGTGCCGTCTTAGATCAAGCCACCATCTACAACGAAAGGAGACACTGCCAACTTCGAGCATTGCTCCGACTTTGGTGCATCCCACCAGGCTCATTTTTTCAGGTTCCTGTAAGCTGGATTCCAGCAGAAGTCGGAGACTCTGTTCTCTGTTCTGCAGCGTTCGATAGGCGGTACTGATACGCTTTCTTCCATCCCAAGAAGATTCGTCAGACGCTCTACTTACGACCACCCGCCGTGCTGATAGATCAAGCAGCTGTCAGGCGCCCAAGCAGTTTGACATTTGAATAAATAGTGGTCATATGTCGGACATCTCGAACTAGATTCCTCCGACCTTCTCAGGACCTACCTGAGATGTAGTTGAAAGCGGCCTGTGGGGCGGTGCGGAGTCTCTCTGCTTTTTGACGCCCACCATGCCCCCCAAGCGTCAGCCAACGAACGAAGGTCCGTCCCCTCGATGTTCTGTCTACTTGTTGACCAACCTGATTCGTTGTAGTGGAAAGGTCTTCTCAGGAGCGGCCGAGGTATTGAAATATATATTCGAAGCCGGCACTATGTCTGAACCCTCTGTACGTTGCAGGGCCCTGCCCATCCAACCGCCTTCAGGGGATTTCCACAGCAAAAACAATAGCAGCATTGCGAATAGTGATAGTTATAATTCTACATCCACCAACACTTCTGCGTCTCACAACGACAACTCTCAAGTCGATGGCAGCAGCCACCATAACACCACAACGACCTCATCAAAGGTTGACATAAAGAACAAGCGGACGGACACCGTTATTAATTTCCACTTAAACGTTGGCAATATGCATGTCCAGTGTAAGCGCCATCTTCTCTGGCGGGCGAAATGTCGTCTCACTGTGAAATGTCCTCCGCAGCGCCAATTCAAAGCCAACCATCCAGCCTAGCTAGTGGGATGCGGCTCGCCGTCGTGGGTGACTTTGTCATTCGTGTTCCATTCATCCTTTCACACTCGGGTTTCTCAGGCTGGACTGGATCATGCAATAAGTACACGCGGCCTATTCTTGCCCTTTCCGTCTCTGACGGATTCTCAGTGGCTAATCATGTGCCCTCCATCGCCATGACGGAGGGCGCTGAAGTGAGTCTTCTCATGTCAACTCCTTCGGCATTGTAGATTGAGCATCACCTTTTGCGGAAACGCCAGACCGAATTGCTCAAAGAGTTACCTTGTGAGCAGCACAGTCTATGCCAAATTTCTGAGGCCCTGATATCCACTCCCTAGTCTTTACCCCAGTCTTTACCCCAGCTATTGCTCCCAACTACGTGAGTTCCAGGCTCTTAGCAACGTCTTACCTCGATTTTCACTCGTTGATTCATCCCGCGTAGAGCAAGACGGCACGTCAGCGAAGGTTGAGTGATGGTGCCCTCAAAGAGTTCATTGGCCATCCTTCTTTGGATACCGCAAGTCCCATGGAAGAAAACGTTCACTGTATGAGCGATGTACGTTCATAAAGGACGTCCTTATGTTCTTGTCTGAAATCAAATTGCCAGGGAGAAGTTAAGCCCGCAAATGTTGCAGACAGATCTCGTCGTATTTATCGCACTATGACTACAAAGCCCTCCAACCCATTCAAGTCGAAGGCGTATTCGAAGCAGGTTGCAAATACTAAAGAGAAGAACGAATCAATGCCAAGCGGGAAGGACGACAACGCCTCTCAGATTCAGAGGCCGGTTAGTCTACCCATTCAACAAAAGGAATCTGTGAAGGGAGGACGGAAATTCTCAGTTTCCGAGGCCATTACTCTCGGTACACCTGCCCTGCAGAACATCCTCAAAAAGGTGGGACAACCAGATCATCAGGGTTGGCTGAAGAAGAAGGGATCTAGCTGGAATTCAGGCTGGAATGACAGGTATTTATTCTTGTCAGGCTCGTCGCTCTACTGTTTAAAAAATAGTGTCCTCGAAGTACGTCCTCGATTGCCGTCCAAATTTAGGCCGGCTGACAACCCTACTCTAGGCATGTGTGGTGAAGGATCGTATCCAGTTAAGAGGCGTCAGGATCGTCGTCGAGGAGATTTCCACGAGTAGGCGTTCTCCTCGATATGGCTTCCGCATCGATCAGCACGGACAAAAAATCTCTTTCCGGTCTGATGACGAAGACGGTGTCAAAGAGTGGATTGGCTTCTTGAGGAAAGCTACAATCGAACGCGACTACACAGGTAAGTGCAACAATCTAGCCATTTCATTTTCTACTGACGCTGGAACATGGTTTCAGACCCAGTGAAGATGAGCTCGACAATTACTACCATACCTCTCGCTGATGCACAGGCAATTACTCGTCGCTCCACTCTGTTCGTGCCTCAGGACCTGGGAAAGTCGGAGACTCCTCCAGGTAATATCCGGCTGGACAACAAAGGAGAAGAGTGCCTCAGAGGCACCAAAGATGATTTTCCTACCTCCCCAACTGCAAAACAGGATGCCCCCCCGCCTAGTCCATGGCAGCTGCATGTCCAAGAGAAAACCGGTGTTGTTGGAATAAGTGTGATCAGATCATTTTCCATGCTTCTACCCCAGACCCGTCGTGAAGCGATTCTCTTATTTCTTCCCTCCCTCGTTATTTTTTATTTGTTCATTTCGTCTGGGTCGTATTCTTGTAAGTAATGATCATGGCATAGGCGCCGAAAATAGGCGCCCACTCTCCCCCCACGAGATGAAGTACGTACAGTCTCCGAAGCTTCGGCTTGCATAACTATGTCTACATCCTCCAAAAAAGGAGATTTCCCACGTAGATACGGGTGTCATACTTGGAATTGTATAACAGCACTTAGGACAACCTCACTCTACTACTGATGCTATCACTTTTCTTGTATGAGCGACCATGATGCACTGCATAAACCAGACTATATTCCTCTACATGAACGCGATTAATATACCTCATTCTCATATTGGAAGAGAGGGAGATCCGGGAACATATTTTAATGGGAATTATTACAGTCGTGTAGTATTCCGGTTAAGGAAGGCATAACGTGAAGGCGGCGGCCGTCCTTAGCTTTGGAATGGTTCTGTTGTCGATATATTCCAGACATTATCCGGAGTTAGGTTCTCGAAGGCTTGTGAGTCCATACGCGAACGTATCGTTGCGGCATCGAGCTGTAGCCGAGCGGTGTAGCACATTTCGGATAATGTTCGCGCGATACGATGTTGATGCCTGTTCCTTCTCCCTTCATTTCCTCTTCTCTTCGCTTTCTTTATGAGTCAGAACAAACTCCGATGTCAGGAAATAACGACTCGTGAGCCTATCATGCTGCGTGTTTTTTTTCTACTGTGCCCGGACGAAAGGAATGAATTTGTGTATAAAAAGCTTTGGGGCACTTGGAGGACACGAACCCCACTTTCTCGAGTATGCTCAAAGCGACGACGTTCCTATCCCTGGTGATTTTCGCGGCGGTGAAGAGTGTCTATGGCCATGGATATGTGCAGGAAATTGTCTCTGGATCGACCATGTATACGGGTTACTTACCTTACCAAGATCCCTACATGGACCCTGCGCCGCGCCGCATAGTCCGGAAGATTCCTAGCAACGGTAGGTTTTAGTCTCGTTATTTAATTGACAATGTCCTCAATTATTCCCTGCTACTAGGTCCCGTCAGTGATCCCTCCTTAATCGAGTGCGTATTTTATTCGTTCCTAGGTGAAAGAGTTGCAGAATTTTCTTGCAGCATCCAGTGCAATGGCTGGACCGAGGGTGGAGTCATTGGCTCTGCGCCTGCCCCGCTATATGCGACTTTTTCCGCTGGCTCTCGAGTATCTCTAAATTGGACAACTTGGCCCGAAAGTCATGTGGTAAGGCTGTTTTTCTTCACGTTGGTGGATGTCTTCTGAGCGGCATACTTCTCAGGGCCCTGTAATCACGTACATGGCTCGAGCTCCAAGTGATGTTACCAAATGGAATCCTGGTTCAGAGTAAGCCACGTTCGACCCCATTATTGTCGCACTATTTTTCATATGGCTTGGAAGCCCTGTTTGGTTCAAGGTGGACGAAAGCGGAAAAACTGCCGACAGGAAGTGGGCCGCGACAGACCTTCTTACGTCTTCAAACAGCGTATACACGCTCAGGATTCCTCCTAAGCTCAAGCCTGGCCAGTACATAATCCGGCATGAGATGTGCGCTCTGTTTCAATGCTCCTTAAAGAAATAACTAACACCACAATTGTAAAATAGCATCGCTCTTCATGGTGGTACGGGTCACATCTCCACAATAGACTCCACAGGACTTATAGTGGATTATCAGCTTTCGAGTACCCTGGTGCACAAATTTATCCGAGCTGCATTCAGGTCGAGGTCATTGGCACCGGCACAGCGTTCCCGACTGCTTTTGTTTCGTTCCCCGGGGCATATACGAAGAACACCCCTGGAATTTTATTTGATGTCTACACAGGTAAGCGTCTTCGACATTTTTCAAATTTTTTTTGCCCCTAACCCATCCCTCACCTTTCAAACAGACCAATCTGTAAGCACCTGACGAAATTCGTCTTCTTCCTCTTACTTATTGGTCGAGGCTCGCTTAGTTACCCTATCCCATCCCCGGACCACCAGTGTAAGTCACATTATCCCTTGTAATCGGAAAAAGAAAGAGCTCGTCGTCTCTCAGATGGACCGGCGGGAACTAGTTTCAAGTTTGTGCATTACTTCCGCGTCAATTGCAAACGATGCCCATACATACTATATTCTATCTGCGGAAACGTGTTCATTTACTCTTTCGTTATCCGCGATGTAATACGATCATAAGATCACGAGCTGACCTATCCTCGGACTTTACATGGCTATCGGATTATTTAAATAAGCGCCTGGGATAAGCGCCGAAATAAACATGACTCATTACCATTACAGGAACACCTTAGGCTGCTTGCAACCTGCGAGACTAGGGCACAAGTCAATTCATCCATCTGCCCGAAGTTTCAAATTTGAGTACTTTGACACGACGAACGGACGATTAAGTGCAGGCGCGGCGAGGACGTTCCGTTATTCGAAAGTTCGAGCCGTTCGAGCCATTCGAGCCATTCGAGACGTACGAGCCATAGGTGGCTGTGACCTCCACCCGCAGTGGCCCCAGCAGAAAGTAACTTAGAAAATAATTATTAGCTCGCTAGTTCCTAAGACTAGGTAATGTTGGAGGATAATCTGACACAAGCTTGACTGCCCCCAAATTAAAGTGGGCAGGGAGGGTCAGCAGGTGCTGGTCCCGTCGATGAGGGCGGGCAGCGCAGCACAACCGCCCGCCCGGCGCCGTCGCAGGCTTTCACCCTGCCATAGAAACTAGCCGAGGAACAATGACAAAATAAGTGCATTTAATAGGTATCTACAACGGCAGGACGAGGGTAGCTCTTTGCGGTAGCGTGGCTCAGAGAGATGGTTACTAATCCCCATAGTATAACCATATTCCTGTCCGTCGTGCCAATTCTCGAAGCTAACCTTCGCTCCTCACTTCCTCGCTCGCCCGTCGTACCGCTGATGTTTGTGCTCGTGAGCGGCCCAGTCGTGAGGGGTCTGTGGTCGAGCTTGAGGTGGTAGTTGGGGGTTAGGCATGGGGGCAACGGCGCGCGGCTGACCTGCGCGGTGTGCGGTGTGTAAAGGTCTTGTGTCGGGGTGGAAAGGAGGAAGTCGGGATGGCGAGACGGCGTACGAGGAGGGTAGAACAGGGCGAGGACGGCGTGGGCCCCTCCCTCCTGTCCCTTGTTGCACTCGTGTCATGTTCAAGCCCGCACGTCCGGGCCTCTCGAGTAGCTGTGTTGCCAAAGATCGAGTTGGCGGGGACAGCGATGGTAGGTATCTGTGGGTGCTGCATGCGAAGGGCGGAATGGGATTGGGAAGGCGCGGTCGGAGGGGCTGGTAAGGGGAGGGACTCGCCCTTGCCTTCCTACCCCTACCCCTAGCCCTCCTCTCCCTCTCCCTCTGCTCGTACTCGCCCCGTGTCCAGAACGTAGACCGGTACAGGCAAGCAGTTCCGTGCTCTGGCTTGCCGTGTCACTACCCGCGCGTCCATCGTTCGTGCCCGCCCTCGCCCTGCGAAACGTTGGGTGGGTGTTGGGGTTTCTGCGAACCCAGTGCTAGGCTTCCCATGGCATCTTGGAGAGAAAATTCCTGTGATTTGCTTCAGCGGGTGGAGAACACTGACGGTGAGGCCATGATGGAGCAGATAATGGTGCAATTCTGTGTCGAGCGGTTGCTGGCTGCCAGTGTAGAGTAGCTGACGAGTTGGCGAGGCCCACTGCGTTAGCTAAGCAGGCTCGTACGTCTCGCACGGCTCGAACTTTCGAATCCCGGAACTTTCTGGGCGCGGCCGGACCGAGCGTGGCGGTCCAAAAAAGTTCGGAGCTAGTCAGAAAGTTCGGGCACGCCCAAATTTCGGTCCATCAGAAATATGTCAGGAATAATTTTTGCAAATGAAACACCATATAGGATTTAGCACCGGTAGTGTGGCAAGTAGGATCGAAGCACGCACAGTAAAGTGTCAAGGACTCGCGTAAGTCACCCATAGAGAATGGTGGGGTGCATAAGTCGAGCTTGAAGCCTAAGAGGTCATTTCGGCCGCGTTATGTCCGACGATAAGATAAGATAACGCCAATGTTGAGTCATGGTTAAATCTAAGCGAATCAGTGACGAGGGATTGAGGACCCTCACCTTTCTTTCTGATTTTTCAACCTTGTCAATGCCTTCAGCTCGCATTACCGTTTTCAGTCATGTTCTGGGTAGGTTCAGCAAATGGAAAACGTGAATCATGCGACCAATTCTCCTATGCCTGAGTTTCATCATTCAACATGATGATCCTTCCGAGGCGTCAAAATGGCGACGGAACTCCATCGAGATCAAGCTTCTTGGAGAGCCAATTTGCACCCCATAAATACTTCAAGCATCGATTATCTTTGAAATCCTACCCACGCCATCTTCACAATGAGCACTCCCCAGCTTGCTGCATTCAAAGTGCCCGCTATCGACAATGAGCCCATGGTGAGTCCTGATTAGGGGCTGTTCGGCTTACCGATGTCTCATGGATTCAACAGAAAACGTATGCTCCGGGCTCAGCAGAGCGTCAAACTCTGGTGGCTGCCATTGCGCAGATGGAACAGGAGCTACCCTTCGAGGTGCCCTGCATCGTCAACGGGGAAATTGTACGTGCTTGTCCTTATCTCCAGTCTCCTTAGTCGCCAGAATAAAGTTTTCAATATGCTCTAGGTCAAGACGGGCAAGCTCGCGAAGCAGCCCCTCCCCCACGACCATGCGAGGCACCTTTGCACCTACCATGAAGCTGACGAGGCCACCGTCACGAAAGCCATCGACGGCGCGCTCGCCGCGAAGGCCCAGTGGGAGAGCATGCCTTGGAACGACCGTGCTGCGATTTTCCTAAAGGCTGCAGATCTCGTTAGCGGCAAGTACAGGTACAAACTTATGGCGGCGACGATTTTGGGACAGGGCAAGAATGCCTGGCAGGCGGAGATTGATGCCGCGGCTGAGGTATGTTTTATCCACTCTTTCTCGCCGGAGTGACTGGCTGATTTTTCTTGGGTATCCGATAGTTGAGCGATTTCTTCCGATTTGGTGTCAAATTCGTGGAGGAGTTATATGCGCAACAACCTGTCAAGAACAGTGCTGGAGCATGGAAGTAAGCCCGAACCAGCTTCATCGGCGACGATCTCCTGACTTATCATCTTTACAGCCGTGTGGAGTACCGTGCTCTCGAAGGCTTCGTTCTGGCAGTATCACCCTTCAATTTCACTGCTATCGGTGGAAACCTTCCCGGAGGTACACTTGGCTTTTCTCACCCACCGAATTTTTATTCCTGACAACAATTTTCACGACGTCCAGCCCCTGCCCTTGTCGGCAACGTCGTCGTCTGGAAGCCCTCGCCTGCAGCCACCTACTCCAACTTCCTTGTACACCAAATCCTCGTCGAAGCGGGTGTACCCGCTGGTGTCATCCAATTCGTCCCCGGCCCACCACCCGAGGTCGTTGCACAGGCCATCAATCATAAGGCATTCGCCGCTCTCCACTTTACTGGCAGCACCTTCGTCTTCAAGAAGCTGTGGAAGGATATCGCATCGAACCTTGACAGGTATAAGGGCTACCCGAGGATTGTGGGCGAGACCGGTGGCAAGAACTTCCATGTGGTGCATCGCTCGGCGGAGGTAAGGAATGCGGTGCTGCAGAGTGTGAGAGGGGCGTTTGAGTATCAAGGTATGTTCTATCTGAAGCGCATATGCGTCTTTAGGTGTCGATCTTTAATTCTCATCCCCATGTTCGTCCTTTAGGCCAAAAGTGCTCTGCCCTCTCCCGGCTCTATGTCTCTTCCTCCGTCTGGAACAAGGGTGGCTTCAAGAACCAGTTCTTGGAGGAGATCGCGAAGATTAAGGTTGGCCCTCCAATGGACTGGAGCAACTTCATGGGCCCCGTCATGTACGTCCAAGTCTTCCATAATCTTCATCACTCTTTCTAATCTCTTCCTTCCGTTGTACAGCGGACGCCCAGCGTACGACAAGATCACTTCCTACATCCAAAAGGCCAGGGACGCTGGTGGCGAGGTGCTCATCGGCGGCACAGGCGACGACTCGAAGGGATACTTCATCCAGCCAACGGTTATTTTGACAAAGGACCCCAAGTCGGTAACGATGGTCGAGGAGATCTTCGGACCCGTCGTCACCGTGTACGTCTTTGAGGACGCCGATTTTGAGAAGACACTCGATATTGTCGATGAAACGACCGACTACGCCCTGACTGGAGCCATGTGCGTTCTCTGCCTGTCTTCATCCCTCTTGCATTGTGCTTATGGTAAATTGCAACCAGCTTTGCAAGAGACCGCAGCGCCCTCATCGCAGCGACCAACCGCCTACGCAACGCTGCTGGCAACGTGTACTACAACGAGAAGTGCACTGGGGCTGTCGTTGGGCAGCAGCCATTTGGAGGTGCTCGTGCGAGTGGAACGAACGACAAGGCTGGCAGCATCAGCATCTTCTACCGGTTTGTCAGCGCACGCAGCATCAAGGAGAACTTCGTTGGCTTGGAGGACTTCAACTACCCTTCGAATTTGGTTTGAAGGACAGAAGATTGAGGGGGATGAAGGAAAGCTTGCCACCAATGGACAGCGAGCCACAGAAGACGAAAAAGAAACCATGAATGCTACAATCGATTTTCGAAGTAGAAATGAACTGTATCAATATGTTGTGCACAACAAAACAGACAATTCTTAAGAAAATGCATACATGGACTCAGACCGTGGAAGAGGCAATGCGAAGCTATCGAGGCAGGTCAAAGGAAAGAACTACTAAAATGACAGCAGCCTTGTACCCGGCCGTTCAAGTTCTAGCTGCAGCGACGCGGCATTTAGGTTTGTGGGCTTTCCAATGGGCCTTTTGGCAAGTTGCAGAGCAGTATTGCGCGTCTTTGCAGCGACCGCAAGTCAGGAGCGAAGGCTTTCCTGGTCCGCCACAGTTGGCACACGCAGGCGAAATTGACCTCGCTGATGATGGGCTAGCCCTCTTGTTTGCCGCGTCTGAAGGCTCAAGGTTCGCTCGCACCTTCGAAATCGCCTCTTCCATGAACGAGAAGGTGAACAATAGACAGATGGCCACTCGAGTCGCCTCAGGATGGAGGGCTTTCCACTTCGGAATTTTCCCAAACTCTCCGAGATCCTTTCCCTTTCCGCAACTGCAAAGTGGAGTCTCAGGGAGCTCCGAGGACGCTGGTATGCCTTCAGTAAGATATTCGCAGGTTGAGCGGTGTTTCCACGTTCGGCAGCGTTCTACGAAAACAGGGAGAAGTTTCTTCCAGACCTTTGTCTCTTCATCATAAGTAGGTATATGGGGCAGGTCGTCTTGTCCGATTTCATAAAGGATAGGCGCTAGCCTCGACACCAGATCCCTCGTAAATGGAATGACACAAGCATCTGCAACCAATGTGTTGGCAGACAGGTCAAGTTTGATGTCATTCACGAAGATGTACGTATAGACGCCATTTCCTGTCTCAGGATTATGCAAGCCGAAGAACCTGGGCCTGGCTTTCAACGGCTCTAATCCAGAAAATTGGATGAAGAAGGTGCAGATACTCGATCTGAGGCCGACAAGGAGATCCTGATCTTCTACCTTGGTGGCAGAGTTGTGTTGCCTTTCGCGATCTGACATCGACATTGCGAGATGGACCGATAGCCATTGGAGTTTGTCCACAGGCTGAGGGAGTCGTAGAGCGGGAAGCTTGTCTAAGTGAAGATAATGGACGTTGAGAAGGTTTGGAGTTTGACCATGAAGGACGACCGGGAATGGGTTGAGTGAACATGCGGCGAATTCCTCCAACGTAGCCCTGATTGGGCATTCGATCTGTTAGATAAGTGATCGTTGGCGATAAGTTTATGTAGAGAAGTATAAACGAGCATACCTCAATGTAGGAAGACTTTCTGGCAATTCTCGTCTTGCATTGGCTGGTAACAAGAGGGAACGGGAAAACAAAAACTCGTTGATAGCCCTGGAAAGTGACAAGGACGCTACAATCTGCGACTGGAGTTGTGGTGACAGTCGCACCGTCTGAGAGCGATTGCATGGCTTTAGGATCAGTTATCTTGTCTCTGAGTGTGAGAGTCTGCATTTTTGTCGCAGAAGGGCCGAATCCGAGAACAATATTTTCTGGAGCTGCCTTGCTTTTCTCAAGGATAGGTATGACTGGCTGGTGTCGAAGTCGGGCGAATTCGCCAGAATTATTGGGTCGATGATGCACGACATGGACATGCTTCTTATCCGTCAACATGGTCGAGAATATGGCGAGCCTCATGCCCAGTTGGGGTATGAGAGCCATTGTTGCTGGTATGTTTCGGAAGTGAAGACCTATCTGGGTGTTCTTGGGGTCATCTGTCAAGATCCAGGATGGTAAGTAGAACGAAACAATCAATGGAGAGTCGCCCTCCCATCCTGCTAAATCTTCCTGAATGGCGATTTCCGAGTGATCCCCTCCTGAGCTGACGAGAATGTCGCCAAAAATTAGCTGGATTGAGGGATGAATGTTATGGAACGACAACGCGGATGATTCGCATTGCAGAGGCGGAGCGCCAATTGCATCTGGATCGATATCTTCTACAACTTTGAGATTCCGACGTGGCACTTTCAGGACGATACAAACAACAGGCGGAACAATATTCCAATCCCGAAATGGGTCAGCTTGTGTTCTGACCGTTTCGAGATAGGCCGACGTGAAGACGTCTTGCGTATGGATGCCATGGAGATGAAGTTGACAGCTCAGCTCTTGGAAGCTATGGAGCCCCATTAGAAGTGTGCGGTCCCTGCCGACAAGGAGGCAAAAATTAGAGATGATTTGGTTCCATCCTACGTCGACTCTGGCTTTGATCAACCGGAGAAGTAAGACGAAGGTGCCCCGTAGGTAGCATAGCAGATGCTGCTTGCGATAACTTGCCATGTTACCTATGTTACGCATATTCTCCATTTGATTTTCGTCCGAGAACATTTGCAGGTATATGGATAAGAGTAGTTCCTCCAGCTTCCTCGGTTCGGCAAATGCTATCATGGAGGGCTTGAACTCATCACTGGCGGGTTGAATACCTGGAACAACAGAACAGGGTATTTTCCATGCTATGGGTTCATGGATTTGGCTGATATCAGATCCTGCAGAGGCGGCAAGTAGATGATGTTTGTTGGAGTTGGTGGTGAAATGGGACAGATGAGAAGTGGGAGCAATGCCCAGCAACAATGCTAACGTCGGGATGTCTGCACATGCCTTGTCAAGGAGTCCTGACTGGACAGTTTGACCATCTTCGTGCGGCAGCAGTGTGTCGGTGTAGAGGACGGATGAAGGCTGTCCCTTGAGAAGGGGTATTGTGACCACCAAAATGTTAAGGAGGCCTGCATGGTCTGTGACATTCGAGGTGTCGATGACGTCGAATACCATCGGGGCTGTGGGAGACGATCCGTAGAGGGTGGTATCAAAATTAATTTGGGCCCCACCCCAAGGCGAGACGTAAACTCCTGTCTTGGTAACCTTGATATCGCGGCAATATTGCAATGCTTGCGCGAATGAACGGGATTCGGCGACGGCAAACCTGACGTTGATATTTGGCTGCGCACTTGACAATCGCTTTTTGAAGGATGAGCACCAGCTTGAGAACTGCGCCATGGCGAGCTCCACAAGAGTGGCGAGGGTAACGTTGGACAGTGATTTTCCATCCTTGAGGGGAGCGAATGCAGGTGCCAAATGGAACGCACGAATGGGGTCGGTACCGTAGTGGACATTGAACTTCTTCCCAGAGAGCGAGTAAACAAATGTTGGGTTGACGTGTTGGTTAACGGAATCCTTAAACAATGTCGGGGCGGTGACACCAGTGGACCAAAACTCCGAACATGACTTGATTTTGTTTGGACAATTGTTCTCAAAATACGTATGGATGAGGGGTCCGGCTGCAGGGCCGGCCGTGGACACTATCGCATGGGTCTTCAGAACTGATTTCATGCCGGCCGTGAAGGATGCCTTCAAAATTTGTTTTTCCTTTCGAGGCTGTGCGTCTGTTTCCAGATAGAGTGTCCACTGCCTACGGACATGGGCAAGGGAGGAGTCATCGCAGAAATGAAGCCATTTCCCGTACTTCGACGCCTTCCAGGCCGCCATATCAGTAGATGATTGGACGAGGGTTCGGCACTGTGCGAGCAAAACATCGTAGGATGCCTGGTTCAGGAAAAAATGGTAGAAAATTGGCCACGTATGACCCGCCTCCACGCCGTCTACGATCATCGTAAGCAGGAGGATGTTTCGTGCTGCGAGACTGATGAACAATCTTCTTGCGCTAGTTATCTAGGAACTCACCTAAGATAGCGGGCTCCCAATCGCAACAGGTGAAATCCAGCTTTCTGGATTCTGGATCACCACGTCAGTGCCAGGGCAGAAAGTAGAGTGAACGACGGACCAGTGCCTAAGTCGGCATGAATCGTATACAGGATGCTCCTCGGATCTCCACAAGCGAGGAGGAGAATATCCGCATCCACTTCAGGCGCAAGTTCCTGAGTGAAGCAAACCGGCGACGTGTTGCCTATTGGGTAGAAAAAAAGTTTCCTCGGCCAAAGGACGGGATACGCCATCGTTATGCTGTCGTCGAGGATGAGAACGGTTCGAGTGGGGAATAATATGAGAGCTGGAGTATTCAAATCGATGTCTTGGTTTATACGCAATCGATGGGGTGATGAATCGCTCGATCTAGTAGATAGGCGCCCGAGAAGACTTCAACGGCAGGTCATGTGGCGAAGGAGAAGGCGATTAGATTGCCACAATGTGTGAATGAAGAGGTGACACACCCAGTGTGTGATTCCACATTGTGGGTCAGGAGAGCTAGGCGGCACAATGAATTGTCTGGCGACGAGGATAGTGCTAGTAAGGACACTGATCGCCTGTTAGGTGATTTCTGCGCAGAGTCATCAGTACGCAGCCTTCGGGGACGAATTTACGAGGGATCCACGAATCCCCGGGTTCGAAAATTGTGATTGGGACAGAGCAAATTGGTCGAAGTCTTCAAATTTATGGACGGGGCACTCATGAGCAAGATGCATAATCCGAGGAGGGTTGAGACTGTGTGTATGGAGAACCTGAGGGTCAGCGATGGCTGATGAAGGAGGTCGTTTACGTTGAAGTCTGAACGTTTGAAGTTGAATCGTTGAACATCAATGTTGTCGATCCCGGGCCGGTTCCCGATCCCCACCAGGTGGAATTGATTTTCGATTTAAACGGAAGGAACTATGGCATCATCTGGTACTCCTCAAAAATGGATACTGAGCAGCCCAATCCGTAGAATGATCAAGATGGATTTGGAAGGAAAGTAAACTATCAAACGAAGGAGATGTTGTGTACATAGAATCATTTTCATGTTTTTGAGTACCAGTAAAGCACTACTACTTGCGACACTCAAGTTTGTGGGCTTTCCAATGGGCTTTTTGGCACATAGAAGAGCAATATTGGACGTTCTTGCACCCGCTGCATGTCAAAAGCGAAGGCTTTCCGGGTCCGCCGCAGCTTCCACACACAGGAGAGGTCGGTTTCATGGAAGAGGAATGCGGAACTGGGGAAAAGGAAGTCTTCAATTTCGAAGCGGATTTGGGACCTTTGCCCATCGCCGTCGTCAGAGGGGCAAAGACGTCTTCCATGAACGAGAACGTGAATAGTGGGCTGATAGCGACCCTGGTTGCCTCCGAATGTAGCACCTTCCACTGCGCTGCCATGCCAAAGGCACCAAGATCCTTGCCCTTTCCACAGCTGCAGAGAGGGCTCTGGGTGAAGCCGTCGAGTGCTGCCGGGATACCCTTCAGGAGGTATTCACATTTCTCTGTATGCTTCCAGGTTCGACAACGTTCAGCGAAAAGAGGCAAGAGCTTCCTCAACGCCTTAACTTCCTCATCCAAAGTGTTAACTGGTAGAAAACCGCGAGTCTTAGACAGGTGATACAGAAGTGGCTTCGCTTTCTCGACAAGCGATTCGGTCAAAGGGACAACGCAAGCATCTGCAACGACGGTGTGGGCACCTAAATCCAGCCTGATGTCGTTCATGAAGAATAAGGTATGGAGGCCTTTTCGGTTGTTGGGATTAATCAACCCGATGATTCTTTGCCGTTTTTCTGCGAACTGAGTGATGGCGATCTGTAAGGTTTGTTTAACGTCAATAAGTGTGCGTTCTTCCGCGCGTGCTTCTTCGGGCTTCTTCACCGTCGAATGTTGCCTCTCGCCGGTCGAAATCGACATCCCCACATGTATCCGAAGCCATTCGGCCGACTTTAGCGAGGTTAAATCAAGAGCTGGAAGAGCGGACAACTTGAGGTAATGAGCGTTCAACAAATTAGGAACTTCTTGAATGACGGTGACGGGGAATGGATTGAGCGAAAGATCGAGGAAGTCCTCGAAGTTGGATCGTATGAAGCTTTCGATCTGAAGACAACGTTAAGGAGACAGCGATTGAGGGAAGAGAAGATGCTTCACCTCAATGTAGGATGACTTGCGAGCAATTCGAGTCTTGTGCTGCTTACCCCGAACTGGATAAGGGAAAGCAAAGGTTCGGTTGTATCCCTCGTACGAGACCACGATGCTACAATCGCCGATTGCCTTTGAAGTGACGCTAGCACCGCTCGATAATGACCTAGTAGCTGCGACGTCGGTTATTGTATCTCTGATGGTCAAGCTCACAGCTTTGGTTCCAAGAGCGTTGATGAGCTGGACTGCTCCCTGACCCCGGTAAATCCCTTTTTTCGACCTTCATCATCACATTCTCGTCGTCCCCTCGATCCCCGACACCTTTCCCATCGAGCCATATGATTCCTCGACACACCCGGAGATCCTCAGTCAGCAAAAGCATCCGTCCCGTGACCGGCACCGCCTCTTTCCCTCTCTTTCCCATTTCACCGAGACGCTCGGCGCGCCACCCTTTCCTTGTTAGGTAGCCTTTTCCCCCATCAACGCAGTTGCCGCCTCGCCGCCTCTCCCCTATTCCATTCCTGTTTCATTCTTATCTGAAAATTTCTGTTTTTCTTTCTTCCTTCACCCACGGCTCGGATATCTTCCTTGCCGGGCTCTTCTTTCTTCATAGATATAATCCATGTCTACACACTCACACAATATAGAGAATTTAGTTCGTTTTTCCGTCTCTCACCTCCCTCGTTCCTCGCTCTCTCACTCGTATTTCGGAGGCACCGTTGCCTCATTCGTCCCGTTCCCACGCTTAGCGCCCGCATTTGCCATCCGTCTTCGAGTCGCGCGCGCCCACTGGTTAGAGCCGCACAACCACGGAACTGTCCTCGCACCTCAGAGCCACTCATTGCGGTGTTTTGGGTGTGTGTTTGTCATTCATTATTCGCACGATCACCCCACCGTAGGCACATCATATTGGAGCCCACCGCGAGGGGTTCCACATCCACATTGCACCTTCTTACCCCGCCGCCGACTTCGACACAACATCGCACACTCGTTCAGTCTCTCCTTCGCGTCGTAATATCCTCTAATCCCATTTATTCGATCCCACCAATCTCATTCCATCACTCCTCTCACATCCCTCCATCGAGTCCAACTCCCCATCACGTCATACACGTTTTCCGCCCATCATGCCGACCCCATCCCCGATCTATATGCCGCCCCGTGGTGACGAAACGGCACCAACGTTCGACCCATCGAAACCTCGAGAGCTCCGGCGCTATTTTCGCGACCTCGAGTTCCTTTTCGACCACGCCCAAGTCACAGACCACGCCGCACGCAAGAAACACACAATCCGTTACGTTGATATCGACGTTGCCGACCTATGGGAGTGCATTATCGAATTCTCGAGTGTCGACGCCACCTACGATGAGTTCAAGACCGCTGTAATCAAGCTGTACCCTGAGGCCGACGAAGACTTCAAGTTCATGCTCTCGGACATGGATTGCATCGTCGACAGCCGCCATCGCCTTGGGATCCACTCACTCAATGATCTCGCCGACTACCACCGTGAATTCACAGCTGTTACGACCTTCCTCGTCATCAAAGATCGCCTCACCACGATGGAGCAAGAACGTGCATTCACCCGAGGATTCCAGCCCAATTTTTGGTCGCTCGTTGCTCGACGCCTGCAAATCAAGGACCCGGATCACTCCCCAGACATGCCATACACCATCGAGAACGTTATGGACGCTGCACGATTCGTTCTTCGTGGATTTCCTGCCCACATTCCGTCGCCGTCGCCCACAGCAACGACTACGACAGCTTCTTCGTCACCAGACTCCGTCAGACTCGAAGCCCTCGGTCCCATCTTCTCAGAACTCACCAAGACAATCGTCGAAGCTCTCCAGCAGTCGAACCAGCCTCGCCAGCCTCGTCCTTCGTTGTCTCCAGCCCCAGTAGCTTGCAAGTTTTGTGGAAGTGCTCATTTCATGCAGGATTGCGAACTCGTCACGGAGTACTCTCGCGCTGGCAAGTGTAGGCGAAACGTCGAGGGAAAGGTCGTCCTTCCATCAGGAGCTTTCATCCCTAAGGAAATCCCTGGCCATTTACTCAAGGATCGCGTAGACGAGTGGCATCGTCGAAATCCGAACCAGCTTGCCGCTGGCACCCTTTTCCACCCGACGACACCATCCGACGCTCTCGAATATTCGCTCTCGTGCACTACAACTCGATCCACCCACCAGACATCGAAGCAGGATCGCATCGCCGCCATTGAAGCCGAGTTACTCGCCCTCCGCGCTCGACAACCACCCAGTTTCGTGCCCACCACCCAAATGCTCGCTCAGACGCCTCGTGCCGTTTTCCAGGATGAAGGAGAAGTTTCTCCTGCCTCACCGCCGCTTCCTGCCGCCCCTGTGCTCGCCGCTGAACAAGATATTGGTCCAGAACTCACCATTCGAGACGCACCAGACGCCGTCTGTGTTTACTCACAAGAAAAGACCGTCGACGCCGCACTCGAGCAAGAAACGCCCAAGAAACTCGGCACCACGTATCTCATGTTACCACCCGCGAACGACATCGAATCGGCACCCGCCAACTGCGACATTTCGTCGAGTACTCCGCCCGTCATCACCCTGCATGAGCTCCCATCCCTATCCCCCGAAATTCGACCTCATAGCTTCGACACTACAACCACGCGATCCCAGACGACCCAAGAGACTCGTACACACGCTACTGCACTCGAAGACGACGCCGTTGACCCGCCACTGCCTGAGAAATCCGCCGATATGTTCCATTCAGCCCCTCCGAGCGTCGCACTTACCTCCAGCCCATATCCCAGCCCACCAGATGCATCCATTGCCAATTTCGACAGGTACAAGCCTTCCTATCGCACTCTCCATCCCGACGACACTCTCGACCCCGATAGACCTGTTATATCGCAGACTTCGGCCACTCTCCGTTCCTATGTCCCTCTAGACGACGAAAATCGACGCCTCGAACGCCTTCTCGACCCCGGTGGTCAAAATTTCGACTCTCAGCCTTTGATTTCACCATCAGCAATCGTTCACGACGATCCGCCACAGCCACACACGTCTCGACAACCGACGCCGCCGCACACGCCGCTACTGCACTTCACAAACAGTCAAAATGTCTCGAAGCATTTCGTTCCCAAGTATCCGTCACCCGCCAATGGCCCGCCCCTCGAGAACGCGTCCGGACGACACGAGACTCTGCCCACATCCTCGGTACACTCGTTCGCTGCCATCGCGCTTAGGAATCTCTTCGTTTTAGGATGCGCGCTCGCCATTTCAATCCTCGCGTCGTTATTTTTAGCAGCCAAGACACTGCCCGTAGCCCCAGCAAATCCAACAACACATTCTTCGACCGCCAGATCACCGCCGTTCGTAGTTCTGATTCTTTCCCTTGTCTTTCCTTTCCTTCTCGACTTCTCGACGACGTCTTCGGCCTTTCGCACTCTCGCCTTCAAGATATTCAGATGTCGACCGCCTTCGACCCCTACAACGACTTCGACGCTGTTCACTTCGCTTTCGAAGAGTAGAAGGCACGGTTCCTATTTCAGTAGGGAGGATCGTGACCTCAGCAAATTCCCAGCTTGTCGACCTCATCCTTTCATTTCTCCTTGCTTTTCACTTCGCCAATCCGTAACCTAACTACTCGATTCTTCGATTTACCCACCTTCGTGCTCGACCACAACCCCATCTCCATCATTCTTGTTCTATTTTTAGTTTCATTCATTTCTTTTTAGTTTTTTTGTTATCCTTCACATTCTACCCTCGAGATCTTGTTCATCTCTCACCATTCACGACACCATTCCGACTTCATTTCGATATGCCGCGCCGCTTCCGAGGAGTCACCCACAATTTCGACCATGAGGATCATGCACAGACGAGACAACCATCGACGACCATCGACGGCATGACTGGGGACAGTCATGATTTCAGTAGGGAGGAGATGATGAGCCGGACTGCTCCCTGACCCCGGTAAATCCCTTTTTTCGACCTTCATCATCACATTCTCGTCGTCCCCTCGATCCCCGACACCTTTCCCATCGAGCCATATGATTCCTCGACACACCCGGAGATCCTCAGTCAGCAAAAGCATCCGTCCCGTGACCGGCACCGCCTCTTTCCCTCTCTTTCCCGTTTCACCGAGACGCTCGGCGCGCCACCCTTTCCTTGTTAGGTAGCCTTTTCCCCCATCAACGCAGTTGCCGCCTCGCCGCCTCTCCCCTATTCCATTCCTGTTTCATTCTTATCTGAAAATTTCTGTTTTTCTTTCTTCCTTCACCCACGGCTCGGATATCTTCCTTGCCGGGCTCTTCTTTCTTCATAGATATAATCCATGTCTACACACTCACACAATATAGAGAATTTAGTTCGTTTTTCCGTCTCTCACCTCCCTCGTTCCTCGCTCTCTCACTCGTATTTCGGAGGCACCGTTGCCTCATTCGTCCCGTTCCCACGCTTAGCGCCCGCATTTGCCATCCGTCTTCGAGTCGCGCGCGCCCACTGGTTAGAGCCGCACAACCACGGAACTGTCCTCGCACCTCAGAGCCACTCATTGCGGTGTTTTGGGTGTGTGTTTGTCATTCATTATTCGCACGATCACCCCACCGTAGGCACATCAGCGTCGAAGTCGATTATGACTCTCTCCGTAGTCACGTTAGTATTCCTCATGACGGGTACCATGGGCTTCCTTAGTTGGGACAGTTCCCTGATGTTGTCGGGACGTTGACGCAGAATATGAACATGATCTTCATCTGCCAGATACGCTGAGAAAATGGCGAGAGACATGCCCAACTTTGGCATGAACGCCAACGTCGCCGGAGTGTTCCGCAGGTGAAGCCCAATTTTGGTCGTCTTAGGTGCAATAGTCAACAGCCACGACGGCATATAGAAGGATACGAGGAGTGGGGAATTCCCATTCCAGCCTTGTGGATCTTCAGTCAGAATCGCTTGGAGTTCACCGTTAACCTGGGTAACGTCCAACATGCCGAAGATGGGTCGTATGGATGAATGGATGTTATGAAAATTGTTGTCCGACGATTCGCATTGAAGGGGTGGGGTGCCGATCTCCGAATCATCAATGTCTTCGAGAGCTTTAAGGCTCTGGCGAGGCACCTTCAGTACGACACACACGACAGGAGGGACATCGCCCTTCCAATTCCGAAAACGGTTGGAAGGGCTCTTGACAACGCGAGACCAATCTGGATGTAAGACGTCCAACGCGAGAATATTGCGCAAATGAAGATGGCAGGCAAGTTCTTGGTAGCTGTGTGCGCCGATCAAAAGAGTATGATCAAACCGGACAAGTTCCAGGAAATGTCGCATGACTTCATTCCAATTTGCGTCAACTCTGGGTTGTATGATCTGGAGAAGCGATACGAAAGAAGTTCGAATATAAGATCTATGGTTCATTGTCCGGAGGCGTGACGAGTTGCCGATCTGCTTCATATTTTCGAATTGGTCTTCATCCGTAAACATTTTCAAATATAGATTGAAGAGGAATTGTGCGAGTCTTCTGGGATCCGCGCAGGCCAACATCGATGGTTGCAGCTGTTCGATTCCACTGATTGGCCCTGGCAAGGCGGACCAGGGCATTTTCCACGAGAGGCATTCTTGAAATTGCCTGCCGAGCACATGGCCAGCAAGCAGCAAGTGCTTGTTGGACTGCGTCGTAAAATGCGAGAGGTGACAAATCGGAGCCACCCCAAGGAGCAACGACAACGTCGAAACATCCGTGCAGGCGCGCTCTGCCAACCCCGACGATACTGGCCCTTCGTCCTTTGTCCGTAGCAAGGTGTTGGTGTGCAAAACGGACGAAGGTGTTCGTTTCAGAAGTGGCACTGCGACGGTTAAGATGTTGAGAAGCCCCATATGATCTGTAACATTGGAAGTGTCGATCACGTCGAAGATCATTGGGGCAGTCCGTTCGGATCCATAGTCTCCAACATCGAAATCGAGCTGCGAGCCTCCCCAAGACTGACTGTAGACACCGGTGTTGGTATCTTCACCATCTCGACAGTGCTGGAGGGCCTCACAAAATGCGAGGGCTTCGGCGACGGCGAATCGAATGGTGGTGGCAGAACGTTGCTGGAGGCGGCGTTGAAGTGACACGCACCACGCTGAGAATTGGGCCATGCAAACCTGGACGAGGCTCGTGAGGCTGACTTTTGAGGGCGACATTGCATGCTTTGTCGGAGCAAAATACGGTGCTAAATGGAACGCGCGAATGGGGTCGGTTGCATAATGGACATTGAACGCCTTTCCAGCACGAGAGTAGACGAAGGTGGGGTTTAGGCACCGATCAATGGCATCTGAAAACAAACTACGAGCAGTGACGCCGGACGACCAAAATTCGGAGAATGTCTCGATGTTGCTTGACTTCCGATCATTGAGGAGGTTGTATGAAAGTGGTCCGGCTGCGACGACGGGGGCTCCCGTAGACCCAACTTTCTTCAGGACGGACTTCATGCCGGATGCAAAAGATGCTTCAAGTTCCTGCTTGTTCTTCTGCGGCAGGTCGTCCATCTCCTGATATTGGGCCCAATGCCTACGAACTTCGACAAGAGAATGATCGTCGCAAAATCGAAGCCAATCCCCATATTTCGAGGCTTTCCACGAAACCATATCGGCGGATGTTTGGATGAGTTTCCGGCATTGTGCAAGCAAGATGTCGTATGACGCTCGGTCGAGAAAAAAATGATAGAAAATTGGCCACATATGAGTTGTTTCTATGCCGTCCGTGATCATTGTGAAGAGAATAATATTTCGAGCTGAGGAACGGTTTTTAATCTCCGTGGCTGTCTCATGCATGAAATTCCTACTGACCTAGGACAGCTGGCTCCCAGTCACAGCAGGTGAAGTCCAATCGTCTATGTCCTGGCCTGTGTTGGTAAGCGATCTCGAAAAACGGGAGAACACATTCGTACCCTTGCCAGGATCAGCGTGGATAGTATAAAGAATATTCCTCGGGTCTCCACAGGCGAGAAGGAGGACATTTGTGTCTGCCTCCGGCGCGATATCCTGCGTCAAACAAACTGGCGGAGTGTTCCCTATGGGATAGAAAAATGTTTTCTTTGGCCAAAGGACGGGATGAGCCATATTGTGAGAGGATAGAGAAGAGGGCGATTTAGACGAAAAGAGGAGCAAAATCGGAAGCCTGTGTTAAATAGCAGGGAAAGCGGGCAATCAATAAACTTGCCGCGTAATCGATGGCGAGATAGAGTTAGAGAAGCGCATAGGCGCCCATCTGAGATGGCTCGTTGCGGCGGGAAGGTGTTTGCAGGATGGCTTACGCATCCGACGCATCCGACGCATGAGCGTCATCAGCTTGTGATGCTGGGGCAGAATGGAGGTGGATCAAACACCGAGGTCTGCATAGGCAGCATACAAGATTATGCTTCGTGGTTCTCCTAAGAAAATGACGTTCGTATCTTCCGCGGAGGGTTCAAAGCGGATAAAAGAAGTTTCGTTTCGGGCCCAAGCAATGGAAGGCAGAATTCTGGGCTATGACATGAACAGACAAAAAGTCAGCCTTGAGGCAGAAACAAGCTTCATCGATAACGATCACCTGGGAGGAAAGGGAGGAGATCGGAAATGTAGACGCTCAAGAAGCCACGAAAAGACGGCATCTGTTCGGGTGCGACTCTGGGGACGCCGGATCTCAGAAAAAGACAACAGTTTGAGGTGCTTTGAAAGCTGCTGTTACAGGCTGGAGAGCCTGCAGAGTGCAATAGACGAAGGAGTGACGGGTGGATGCAGAGGTGATGGTCAGGGGCAAGCACGGTGCGTGGGATGGGCGTGGCGGTACCGTTATATGCAGTAATTTGAGTCACGCTCTTTTTCTTTCTTCTACACCCATCATGGCTTCCTCATCGACTGCCGCGCCCAGCAATGACTTCTCCAAAATGCCCGCTAAGACCGCCGATCTCGAGGAGACATGGACATATCTCAACGCCGGCGTCGACCACATCATGAACAATCTGGAGAAGGGTCTCTCCTTCACTGGTTACACGAGTCTTTACACGACGGTGTACAACTACTGTACGTCTACCAAGATGCACGGTCGAATGGATAATAATCGATGTACGTCTTGATTACTCATATACTCATATCTGTGGCTCAGACGCGGGTTCGTAGCGGGCGCTAATCTAGTCGGGTCTGACTTGTATAACAAGCTCAGTGAATACTTCGTACAACATTTTAAGCCCATGATACAGGTATATCTCCCGCTAATCTCCTGTAATTTGCCACTCATCTACTCATAGAAAGCGGAAGCTCTGACAGACGTTGATCTTCTGCGATATTACGCATCCGAATGGGACCGCTATACAACGGGCGCGAACTACCTAAATCGATTATTCACGTATCTGAACCGCTACTGGGTAAAGAGGGAACGGGATGAAGGCAAGAAAGGAGTATTCCAGGTGTACACAGTGCGTACGCCACTCGAAGTCCTGCTGCAAGTAAACATTTGATGTTCTTCTAGCTCGCGCTGTCGCAATGGAAGGAGCATTTTTTCATGCATATCCAGAAAGACAACTCGAAAATTGCAGCTGCCACCCTCCGCCTCATCACGCAACAACGCAACGGCGAAACTATCGATCAGGGTCTCGTGAAGAAAGTCGTCGACTCTTTCGTTTCTCTCGGTCTCGATATCGCAGATCCCAACAAGGAATGTCTTGATGTGTACAAGGACCAATTTGAAACTTCCTTCATTCAAGCTACCGAGCAATACTACAAAAAGGAGTCGGAAACTTTCCTTGCCGAGAATTCCGTTCCCGACTACCTCAAGAAGGCAGAGGAGCGTCTTCGCGAAGAGGAGAACCGGGTAGAGCGTTACCTACACACGAAAACGCGTAAAGAGCTTATCAGCAAGTGCGAGAATGTCCTCATTAGAGAACACGGTGAACTCATGTGGGAGAGCTTCCAAAAACTGCTCGATTTCGATCAGGATGAGGACCTCCAACGCATGTACTCCCTACTCTCGCGCATTCCTGAGGGTCTTGAGCCGCTAAGGAAGAGGTTCGAAGCACACGTCAAGCAGGCAGGGCTGGCAGCGATCTCAAAGTTGGTTGGCGAGGCTGGTGCTGCTACTGACTCGCTTGATCCTAAAGCTTACGTCGACGCCCTCCTGGAAGTGCATCAGAAGAACTCCGAAATTGTCAATCGGAGCTTCAAGGGCGAGGCTGGATTCGCTGCCAGTCTTGACAAGGCTTGCCGAGAATTCGTCAATCGTAACGCTGCTACCGGAACATCTTCAACGAAATCGCCTGAACTCATCGCCAAGCACGCCGACATGCTCCTGCGGAAAAATAACAAAATGGCGGAGGAGAACGACCTGGAAGGTGCTCTGAACCGCGTTGTAAGCGTCGATCTCCAGTGTTCTGCGAACTTTCGTGCTTAGTGGTATACCTAGATGATCCTGTTCAAGTACCTCGAGGACAAGGACGTGTTCCAAACGTTCTACACCACGAAACTATCAAAGCGACTGATCCACGGTGTCTCTGCATCAGATGAAGCTGAGGCTAGCATGATTTCAAAGCTTAAGGAGGCTTGCGGCTTCGAATATACCAACAAGCTCCAACGCATGTTCACTGGTTCGTCCTTCTCGTATAAAATCTACTTGCTCTGATATTTCGAACGGCGTAGACATGAGCTTGAGCAAAGATCTTACGGACTCCTTTAAGGACCGTATGGCTCAGAACCACGACGACATGGACATCACCTTCAGCATCATGGTCCTCGGCACTAATTTCTGGCCACTCAACCCGCCACCACACGACTTCGTCATTCCTGTGGAGATCATTTCGACATACGACCGCTTCCAGAAGTACTACCAGACGAAGCATTCAGGTCGTAAGCTGACATGGCTATGGAACTACTCCAAGAACGAACTGCGCACGAACTACCTCAACCAGAAGTACATCCTCATGACGAGTTCGTACCAGATGGCGGTGCTACTGCAGTACAACCAGAACGATACGATGTCGCTTGATGAGCTTGTCTCTGCGACCTCGATCACGAAGGATATCCTGACGCAGGTCCTGGCTGTCCTTGTTAAGGCTAAGATCCTGATCAATGAGGAGACGGATCAGTATGATCTCAACCCCAGTTCGTATTTTTGCGAGAACCAGCAACCGAAGATAAGACGCTGATGTACGATTTCAGGCTTCAAGTCGAAGAAGATCCGTGTCAACCTTAACTTGCCCATAAAGGCAGAGGTCAAGGCTGAGTCTGCCGACGTTCTCAAGGCTGTCGATGAGGATCGTAAATATGTGATTCAAGCCACCATCGTCCGGTATGTGTTGACCTTTAGTTCAGAGGATTTCATGCTGACCAACGGTTGTTCACCAGAATCATGAAAGCAAGAAAGACAATGAAGAACCAGGCTCTCATCCAAGAGGTTATTTCTCAGATCTCACAGCGCTTCGCACCTAAGATCCCAGATATTAAGAAGGTATGCACCTCTTCTTCCTCTAGTCCTTGTATCAGCTAATCATATAAAAATCCTATAGGCCATCGAGACCTTGCTCGAGAAAGAATATATGGAGCGTGTGGAAGGCTCCAAAGACACTTTCGCCTACATCGCCTAATCCTTTCTGGTCTACACTACCCCTTCCATAATCATATTGATCTATGCTTGCCTCATGGGCTGCCGCTCCATCCATCTTGTACTCGTCGCCCTAGCCGATCGAGTTACCCCTCATCACACACTGCATAGCTCTGCTTGTTTCTTTCATGTATACCATATCGCTAGACCGACGCTTCCGTACTCAATAATTTCTCAAATTTAATCGGCACCTTCACGCTGGGCCACACAAAGATGGCAAGAAAAAGATGGAATGGCGGGCAGGTACTAGGTGGAAAGACAAATGCAATGTACTAGACATTGAGGCCAGCTTCGATTTCACCCAGCAGCATTGTGCCGTCCTTGCTTCCCGTAAGGACTAGGAAAGGAAGTCAACGTCGCAGGCTGGCTCGAAAGACGACGGAACTTACTGATAGGCTCTTTTGGATGGAAGTCGACAGCTGTGACTGTGCCCTTATGGCCAGGAAGCTGCGTTGAGGAGTCAGAATGCACACCATGAAACCGAAGATAAAAACAAAGTACGGACCTTGTACAAAATTCTCCCGCTATCCACATCCCAAATGCACACCATCCTGTCAGCACCTCCAAGGGCCACTCTCTTGCCACCGTCGTCTTTGCTCCACGCTCCTCTTAGCAAGGTGTTTTCGAAGCCAGCAGGTGCGCCTTGAAGAACGCGGTGAATCCGGTTCGGTGATGGGGAGAAGGGGCGGACGTCCCAGACGATTGTCTGAGAAGAGAATGAAGGCGAGAGGAGGTAGTTCCCATTGGGAGACAAGGACAGAGACGTCGGCGTATCAATGTGGCCCGTGAGCGAGGAAACTTGTTCGCTTTTGCGTAGGTCGTATATCTGCGACAGGCAGTTGATTGAGACACGTCGACTGAGTGTGAAAACAGGTTCTTGGGACGTACATGGACTTCATTGTCAATCGCACCAACATACACGCTGTTCCCATCTATGCTCCAACACACCGAAGTAACAGGGCACTTCACTTCGAACGTCGCCACGGCCTGCTTGCCCGCCTCCTCGCCTCCTTCCCAGATCTTGACGGTGCCGTCATCCGAGCCCGTCGCAATGAGCTCGATCCCCGACCCGCTAGCCATTGTTCGGTCAATGGAGTTGATAATCTCGCGGTGGGCGCGTATCTTGCGCGTGCGCTGGCCTGTCGTCACGTCTGTCATGCATAGCGTGTGGTCGGCAGACACGGTATAGAGGAGTGGAGAGCAGAGCGACCATTGCAGGTCGAGGATGGGGGCTTTGGCGTGGCTAGAGAGCAAGCCGTAGTTCGTGTTTGGTGGGTATGTTCTCCAGAGAGCTGCAAAGGGAATCAATTAGCGAAACTTCGGTGCAACGAGAAGACAATGTACATATACTCCGGTCAGTCGAGCATGCCGCGATATTCTGTCCCGTTGGGTCGAATCTGCAGCTCAAAATTTCACCCTGAAGACAAAATATTGAATATTTTTCGCGCGTTTCACGGAACACACTGACAGAATGAGCTCCTGCAAGGCTGACGATCGGCGCTTCGAGGTTACTTGTGCGTTGGACTGTTCGAATAAGTCCCTTGTTTCGATCATCGTTTGAGGATGAGATAGCAATTTGGTTTGAAGGTGGAGGTGTCGCCCGCGCCCTTTTTATGACAGCTCCTCCTGGAGGTGGTGACGGTCCTCTTTTCGACATTTTCAGGGCTTTTTGGTGATAATGAGGGTGTAAGTGGTAAGTAAGCGTAGGTAAGTAACGTATGATCGAGGAACTCGGGGTTTGCCGACTCTTTCCCATCCGCCAAAGTCTAAACGTTATGTAAACGCCAGACAACTTCATTGTTGGCTACCAGGTTACAATTTTTCGAACGACTAGATCACTATTTCGGCTACAATTTTCGTCGACATAAAACAGTCCTAACACGTAGCCATAGTCTTAAGGAAGTAGCATGTGAGGGCGCTGGGAAGACGGACATTATGCGAATGGTGTCATCTGGATATAGACTTCCCGGCATGCGGCCAACGTATAGTGGGCATGACTGGGAATAGGGGAATAGACGATATCCAGGCGGTTGTTCGCCGTGGTATTCGGGCATAAGCCCATAAATCGGTGCGTCCTGAGACTGACAAAAGAGGGTACCCAATGAACGGCCCGGTGGGGGAGATAGGATTGGGCTACGGCCATAGAGATCAGGTCAAGTTGAAAACAAGAATACGTTGTAGATTACATACCTTAGCACAGAACCCGTTGTAGCCTACGGCAGTCTGTGGAAACTCGGAAATGAAGGCTTGAGAGTCTCCAACGTTGGGAACTAAGGGCCTTGAGTTGTAACTGGTCAAAATGCCATTCATCAGCCCGAAGTTGTAATAATCGGTCCAAGGGCAACCCGCGGGGCATGTCTGAAGCAACGAAAACAAAAAGATGATCTTTGAGGACGAGGTAAAAAGTTAAAAGAGATAACGAACCGATATGATGGTGTAATAGATGGGCTCCGTACGTGGATTCGTAGGGATCGCATACATGCATATACAGCCTTGTGACAGCGCCGCCTGCCTTAGGAATAGCTTGCAGGATGTTGTTCTGGAACGAAAAGACGTCGCGCCAGGTAATACAAATGTCCGTGCTCGGAACAATAGCAGCACTATCCTGATAAAGCACTAGGCGATTTCCAGCTCCGCACAGCTCGGTGTCGTCTCCCGGGCACACGAAGTTGCACTGGCTTTCGGGCATCAAGTTGCCGTATGGCATGTAGTTGTCACACCCTGGTGGTCGTTCGATGTCAGGCTTATGACTCAATTGCAAAGAAAAGATTGGCTTACAGCATTCGGTTCCATATTCGAGACCAGCAAGTCCATAACCCAGGCTGGTGCAGAGAGTAGTACAACTCTCCGCGCTGTTACCTTCTGGAATAGTATAACTAAAGGTCAAAATACGAGGTCCAATGTCTCTATAGCAATGCAATCAGCGGGTGAATCGAGTGAAGAAAGGAAGAATTACCTGTAGCATCCCTTGTACTCCCATGTACCAACGGTTTGCTTTATAGTCTGGGCCAACACCTTTGGAAGAGTTTGTGGGAGCTCAACGGACAAGCAGGAGGGAGAAACCTACGGCAGCGAGGAAGATGGAAGCGAGAAACAGGCGTGAAAACATCATAGGAAGAACACGAAGGGATCCTTGCAGGCAGAAAACCTTCTTCTAACCTTATATCCTGTCCGCTCTCGTCCAAATTCGAAAAAGATTTTAACTGGCATGAGCCGCCACTCTGGGCTCTCGTACGCTCTCGAGACAGATCAAGTGGACTGTATGCCTAGACGGTGGAGCAGTGTTCGACACCCATCCTCCCAGTGTCTGACCATGATGATTAACCTGCGTAACGGTGACGCAGTGACGACAGAAGGGCGATTCGAAGACTAGGCACTGGGAGAGAAGAACGGTATGCATCACCTCCACGGTTGACGGTTAAACGCTAGATGAGTCCTCTTCACACAGATAGTGAGGTTGTTCCATAATGGTGGGCTAATTGGAGTCAGGTGGGTACGCCTCGGCCCTGATGTCGCTGCAGTAGCACGACAGCGGGATTGGGTCGACTGGATGAGGATGGATGAACATTGAGAATGCCGTTGGCAGCGGGTTCTGGTAGAAGGTTAGGATAGTTGACAGCCAGCATGGTCTTCCATCCAGCCACTTCCCATTGTCAGCACTCTCCCAGCACGTTATCTTTCCCACCGATTCTCCAGGCTGCCAGAGGAGATGACTTGGATGAATATCATCTCTTTCAGCCACATGACTACACTTCAATCGATATTCTGTGTCGTAGCGAGGTCGGGTCAGCGTCGCCGGGTTGCGAGACGCGAAAACGTGGATTGGCCACCTATACTCGAGTACAGATGTTGATGGGTGCAAAACCTGGCCGCAGCGGGACTGACAGATGGCAAGCTCTAAGAATAGGGTTTCTGCTTGTCTTTGGCTTGGAAAACTGGCGATTCCAGGGGGGCAAAAGCATGAAGGTTATTTCGCCAACAGTTCAGCTCGCGCCACCACTGTGAATTGCCCTAAATGCAAGTCTGAATCATGGTTATTTAATGTCGTGAAAATGCATGAATCTCACTTCGCTGTCTTTGGAACACTGCATTACGTCGACTGCGACTGGACTTTTCTCTCTTGCATATGTATTCGAGTTTGTGCATCTCTTGCACACATAGTCAAACTCTCGGCGTTGGTGGTAGCGGAGCTGCGTTCGGGACATCCATCTTCATGTCGAATCATGATGATCAGCCAGCGTAACAGGTGACGACAGTAGGGCAATTCGGCAACTCGTCGTCTTTACTCCACGCTCCTCTTAAGGGTGTTTTCGAAGCCAGCAGGTGCACCTTGAAGCTTGCGATGGATCCTGATTCCTGTTGGGTGATGGAGAGAACGTGTGGATGTGAGGTGAGGTTTAACCCGGTACGGTCCATTTCTGAACACCGGGGGCCCGAGACTACTCCAGCTGGCCTTTTAGCCATGCTGCACCTGTCACAGAATATTGTCTGAGAAGAGAATGAGGGCGAAAGGAGGCAGCTTCTGTTGGGAGACAAGGAGAGGGAGGTTGGCGTGGGTAGGTCTGCAACAGAAATTTATTGAGACGCATCGACTTGTGTCCATCGCGCCAGCATACAAGCTGTTCTCATCCACACAGAAGTTGCAGCCTGCAGGGGACTTCAGCTCGAACGTCGCCACGGCCTGCTTGCCCTCGTAGCCCTCCTTCCCAAATCTCGACGGTGCCGTCATCTGAGCCTGTCGCAATGAGCTCAATCCTCGACCCGCTGGCCATCATCCAGTCAATGGAGCTGATAATCTCGTGTCTCTTGCGCGTGCGCTGGTCCGTCGTGACGTCCTTCATGCGTAACGTGCGGTCGGAAGACACGGAATGAAGGGGTAGAGAGAAAAGCGCATTGCAAGTCGAAGATGGGCACTCGTGCACGACTAGAGAGCAGGCCGTAGTTCGTGTTTGGTGGGCATGTTCTTCAGAGAGCTGCAAGAGAATATGATTAGCGAAACTCCTACGCAAACAAGAAGACAATAAGCACATATGCTCTGGTCGGTCGAGCATGCCGCAATATTCTGTCCGTCGGGTCGAATGTGCAGCTCAGTATTTCACCCTGAAGACATATGAAATCAATGAGTCTCCTTCGTGCAATTCACGAACCCAATGACAGAATGAGTTTGAGGCTGCTGATCGGCACTTCAAGATTTTTGAAGGTGGAGTCGTCTGGGTACTTTTTATAATTGCCCCTTCTGGAAGTTGTGAGTGTGATGATCGTCCTTAGAGATTGACGTTGACCATGCTGTAAAGATGGCGTTAATCGCAAGAACTCAGCTCAAGTTATGCTATGAGGTCGGCAAATGCCGAGTGAATCTGAGTAAGTAAATTTCAATACTTAAGAAATAAACTATGCAGTGCATTCAAGTTTAAGCCCGCCGGAAGTCGCTCGGCACGACGGAGGGGCGAAGGCGAGCGGGACTAAGTGCTTCAAATCCATGGAAAGTGACAAAGAACTTTAGCACATGTGCAATTTTATTTCGGGTCCCAATTCCTCCCCACCGGCGCACCCCGTGCGAAGCACGGGCAAACCTCTAGTGATTATGATTACGGGGCCATCTGGATATAGACTTCCTGGCAGGCGGACGCTGTATATTGAGGATGATTGGGGATAGGGGAATAGACGATGTCCAGGCGGTTGTTAGCCGTGGTATTCGTGCACAGTGCCCACAAATCGGTATGTCGTGAGGCTGACAAGAGAGGGTAACCAATGAATGGGCCGTCAGGCGAAATGGGATTAGGCTATGAATATAGAAGTGTGATAAAGCTTGAAATGAGAACCATTGCTGTGAATTGCCCACCTTTGCACAGTACCCGCTGTAACCTACCACAGTCTGTGGCCATCGGGAAATGAAGGCTTGAGAGTCTCCAACGTTGGGAGCTAAGGGCATCGAATTGTAGCTTATCAAAACGCCATCGAATAAATTGAAATTGGAATAATCGGTCCAAGGGCAACCTGCAGGGCAAGTCTGGGTCACAAGATAAAAATCAATGTTAGTGAGCAAGATCAGAGTTAGAGTAGCCCGAACGAACCGAAACGATGGTGTAGTAGATAGGATCCGTACGTGGGTTCGTAGGAATCGCGTACAACTTCGTGATAGCACCACCCGTCTTCGGAATGGCTTGCAGGTCGTTGTTTTGGAACGAGAACCTGTCGCGCCAGCTAATGCATATGTCTGGGCTCGGAGGAGAAGCGGCATTACTCTGATAAAGCACTAGGCGATTTCCAGCCCCACAAAGCTCGGTGCTATCTCCTGGGCATACGAAGTTGTAGTCGCTATCGGGCATCAAGTCGCTGTATGGCATGTAGTTGTCACACCCTGGAAGTTGTCCAATGTCGAGCATTACAGTGAGTTGCAAAGAGCGGACTCGCTTACAGCATTCGGATCCATATTCGAGACCAGCAAGTCCATAGCCTTCATTGTTACAGAGGGCAGTACAACTCTCCGCACTGTTACCTGCTGGAATAGTATAGCGGAAAGTCAAGATGCGGGTATAGCGATCCGGTCAGCAGGTAAATCGATTGAATGTAGACATATTCCATTACTTGTAGCATCCCTTGAACTGCCATGTACCAACGGTCTCCTTTATCGAAGGAGTCTGGGCCAACACCTATTCGAGAGTTTAGCAAGAGCTCGGCAGACAAGCTAGGGCCACGTACGGGGGCTGAGAGGGCAACAGAAAGAAACAGGCTTAAGGACATCCTAGAGGAGACCCTTGCAGCTCTACGGTCCATGATCCATTCTTTATATCCAGTCCGTCCAGGCACCTCTTCTCCAGTTTCGAAAGGAAGTTCGTCTGATATTTTTAGACGAGCAGGAGCTTGCGCTACTCCAGGCTCTCCGCACAGTCTCGAGACAAAAGAAGCATACCGTGCGTCTAGGCGGTGGTAGCTGTGGTCGATACCCATCTTCCCAATGTCAGGCCATGATGATCAGCCTGAGTAACAGATGACGCTGCGACGACAGAAGGGGGCTCGTCGTGTCAAAGACACGGCATTGAGAGAGAACATTGGTATTCATCACATCCAAGTCAGACGCTTAGAAGCCAGATGTGTATCGGGCGCGCTGAGAGCGAGGTTGTTCCATGGTGGGCTTTTCGACGGACAATTGATGCCGGGAAAGAGCCTCGCCCACGATTGGTCGATGTCACTGCTCTTGGACGAGTAGCTGCTCAAGGTCGGCTGAAGGAGATGTGGACGAATGTTGAAGGTGAAACAAGCAGTGCCGTCATGTCTGGATCGAGAGCGCCGGTGGCGGCGGGTTCTGGTAGAAGATTGGGTCATTCTTTTCTATGATCCATCTGCCCGCGTCCATTGTCAGCACTCTCCCAGCACGTTTTCTTTCTTCCCACCCACCTAATTATAACCACCTTGATAGAGTTAACGTTGCTTTCAACCCCGATACTTCATCCTTCCCATCCATAACGAGGCCGGGACAGTGTCGCCATGGTGCCACGGTGGTGGGAGAGGAATGTCGAGACGATGGACATCAAAGCCTAGCCAGGCGCGGACAGTGAGCTCTAAAAATAAGACTTCTGTTTGTCTTCAGATCGAAAAGTTGACGATTAGAGGCGGGCAAAAGCGTGGAGACCAGGAAGGTGCTGGCAAATCCAGATTGTCAGTAAGAGCCCATCTCATTCTACCACTGTAAGCAATAGAAAATCCAAGTCTGAGCCACGGATGATACGCTGAAAAGCATGACTTCTCACTTGACACCTGAGCCTCTGCCTCCACACCGCACGACTGTGTTCGATTGCGACTGTTGATTCCTCTTGCGCGTTTGTTCGAACTGTACGCATAAGTGCCCTAGCTGCAGGAGCTCTCGGCCTTGGCGGTCCATACGGGCAGGGTGCACAGTGACAAAGGGTAAACTATAGTAAGAGGTCAAGCCGATCAAGTCCAACAACTTCGTGGGTTGATGGGCCTCTCCGGCCCGGAATTTCCCGGCCTGAGCATAGTAAGCGCCAAAACAAATTCTATTAATCCATAACTTTCATCGAAAAAGGCCGAAGACCGACGTTGTGCTTGTACTTCTGAGGTGTTTAAATGATAATTGTCACTGCGTAATAGTACACTTCCTAGAACCTACAGAAGGAGCATCCTGGCTCCCCTTTGTTACCAGATCCACCTAAGCGCCCACCCATATCAACGAGGGTAAAACGAAACAGTAATACAAGATCATCACGAGTGATCTATCAGTTAGCGCTGGAGCCACAGGCATCTCCAATACAATGGCTGCGGTATCTTGCGGTCTCAGACGGTGATTCTTGGCCACACCCAACGTTGAGAGTGGAGCAACTCGTGGTTGACATCCCGCTCCTTCTGACCAGATCGAACCCATTTAATCGGAGCTGGCTCAAACTAGATGATCTAAGCTGCTTTAAACTCATAATTTGTATCTCTGAACCGATTGATGAAGTGGGCAAACATGGTATAAAAGACTTTGAAATAACTACTGAAAAATACAACTCTTCCTCGTCTTCAAATCGCTCGCTGAATCCATCAGCTCGAGCGGCCTACACAACCTACTAGCTCTCTACTTGCTTACCGCTTTGCAAGTAGGTCCAATCGTTTCTGTTCTTAATTTTCACTCATTAACACTCCTTTTCTATCCTCTCTACTCGAAGCACCAGACCGATCAGCCGCTATGTGCGACGTTGTCCTCTATATCTTCCGCTGCAAAATCTGCAACGTGGATCTCAAATCGAACATGGAGTCCACTCCTTGTCAACAATTTGCTCGCATTGGGTACTGCGACAAGATGGCTCCCCAGCGAGAGAAAGTGGCCTACATCCCTCTCGGCTACGTCGACAGTTGCCAGGCCTGTACCAACAATCCGTCCAAGAGTTCTGGGTCGCGAAAATAGATAAAGGAAAGATCCTCGACTTCAATGGTACCAGATTTTTTCTGTTCTTTCTGGCTGCACTAAAGAGAAAACTTTCAGCATGATGTTTCATAGTTGAACGTATTTTTCGATGTAATACTACCTGGTACCTTCTGGCTGTCTGTACTACATGATTTGATCTTCAGAAATTACGATCTTCATAAACCACTAGGGAATGGATTATTGGAGGAAATTCTTCTGGGGCTATGGCACACGATGTCCCTCTGTATCCCGAGTCAAGGAGTTTCGTTCAGACGCCTTGAGGCATCCCGGGTAACACGACTTGCCATTTTTGTCACACCTACTCAGTACCCTTTGTCACCTCTTCTCTACGACACCCTACATCCTTAAGACAAGAAACAAGTCAGGACTAGTTTATTATTCAAAGCCTCAGTCTTTTCGAATGCTGAACGTCGCAGTGGTAGCTCTCAAGCTAAAATTGGCTGAGACAGCAATGTAGGCACAACGCGACCTATCGGGCGAAGTTCTTTCAAACAATTTATCGAAGACCAGAATGAAAAAAATAGAGATTCACTCTATCTCGAGCAAAGAGGTTTTTCCCAGTGGCACTGTCCCATAGCCCGACGATACCGGGAGTGAACCAGTGCCCTGAGCGCCGAAACCCCTCCGTCGGGGGATGCGGAGCGCTCGCTCCTCCGCCGATTATCACCTCTTGATGACAACCTCTCCTAAAGTAAAGCCGGCTGGCATCTGCGGAGAAGAAGGGAGTGTTGCATCAGAGTTTGTTCTTCGGACCCTGGCCGTCATCTTGAACAACTACTGGTGGAGTCACCATCTGCTGGACGCCTGAGACGATTATTTGGTGATTTCCTACGTCCCATATCTTTGATGTGCAGACATATTTTAGTAAGAACTGCTTGGATGTCCTCTCAGAGGGGGATAGCCTACCTCGCTACGACAGCAGCCCACATCCGTGTCCGCGGACATGGACCTGCTTACAATCCGTATTCTGGCGCCCCTGAAGTAAATGGATATCGTTTATACGCTTCCGAAGGATAGGAAGTCGAATAACTCACACAGGTACATCACGATGGAACATGATATTGAATGTCTGGGAAAGGCCGACAATATTTATGTGTCCTTGCTCGACATTCATCATCAAGAGAGCAATTGCTGAAGCCCTGCTCAGAGAACAAAATGCTGAGTAAACACGATAATTCTCGAAAAGGTCGCAAAAGGAAACTCACTCGTCCATTAAAAAGCTCATACATCCCCGATCCAGCAGGCCCTGCGCATTGCACATATCTGGAGTGACGGCCCGGGGCTGCTGTCAATTGACTCTTCCACCTCAACTCGAATCCCTATTACTCACCCGGAAGCACCTCAAGCTCACATACCAGCTTTGCCGAGCGCATCTCATCGTTATGCGCCGCCGGCTCGATGCTCGCCTCCTTGATCTCAATCCGCTGCCGCACGTCAAACGCGAATCCAAAGCCGCGCAGACTGAGGATCTTGTACCACTTCACCGGAAGCCCTTTGATCTCCTCCGATGCGTTTCCTGCGATCAACACGGTCGCTTCGGGCGGAAGAGGGGTGTCGAGGATCGCAAAGGCACCTTTGTGGAGAGACATTGTAGAGGGAATCCGAAGGCCAGTGACGGGTTGCGGACACTCTAGCTGCTTTACGAGCTTCGACGAAGAGAGCGGTGAAAGCAAGCAGTCGATAGAGTCAAGAATACGTCGTGGCGATCCTAAAGGTAGAATGCAGGCGAGACGGTGACCGTCATGAAGCAAGAAGCCATTGCAAAGGTTTTGTCAACATGATGATCTCGCCCAAGTGATTCTATTTGGCCATACCGGGCCGGCGGTACTGAGAGAGCAGAAACCCTCACGCAGGAGAACAACGAATAATATATCTTCAGACTTACTCCATAGGCATTATACAATCCGTCTCATAATCTACAAACTCCAAACGATGGTAGGTGTGAATTCTACTTGAATTTCGAAAAAGATGGAATCATCGTTATTTGCGTACCAGAGGCAACCAGCCTCCGGTTAGTCGCATCCCAGACCTGCAGATCGCGTAATCAATATGTTATTGGTGAGCTAGTGATAGAGGAAGAATTCACCTCAGTACGTCCCGCATTAGATTGATCTCCATTCGCCACAGAGAAATTTAGTAGTCGGAGCTTCGTTCCTCTGCAAGAGCGTCAGTGTTACCGGCCTCGAGCGTACAGTCAATGTGAGCACGTACACCAGTGCTCTCGCATGAAAGAGGGTATTTATCGTTTGCGATACACCAGGTGGTTGGTAATTATCTTCGTAGGCGTTTGAAACGACCATGGCAATAGAGGAGCACCTGCATGTGGATATCAGAACCTGAGCACGACGAATAGATCTCAAAGGCTTACTCGTCGATCAAGTAGACGATACAGCCCTCATGCAGCACGCCTTGAGAGTCGCACATGTCTAGCACATGAGTGTCAACATCCAGGCTCAAACAGTAGAGGCGACGATTCTCTCACCTTCTGTAACTTCTACTTCCGTGGTCACCTTCGCCTCCATCCTCAACGGATCGTCGACACCCGCGACCACAGACACGTCTGTTACCTTCACCCTCTCGCCGACATTGCCAGCAAATCCTGTCCCCTCATTCCTGAACACAGCCAACCACTTCACCGGCAGCTCCTTGATTTCGCGGGGCACATTCCCTGTGATACTGTCTAGAAGGGAGTCCGGCAAGGGCGATTCAAGAATGTTCATCATGCGATTATCGAGGTGGTCAGGTTGTCCAGGAAGTAGAGGGAACAGGCTGTCGTCCTGGGTGCAGTATAAGAGGACTCCGACAAGGGGCTTCAGCTTTTGGCGGATTTGGCCGCCATATCTGAAATCACGACGATGAGAGCTCTGGGCAAAAGGGATATCCGGCACGGACATCTCCCGAACACCGATTCAAGGATCGTAGGAAGGTCGGCCTTCTGCCCGAAGCGTCCTGGGCGTCATTCTTATCGCCGTTCCAAGTTCCAAAGACAACTATGGGTCCTTGTGTATCATGCAGGTCTTTTTTGTTCTCATCGTTCCAATGTGACTCTGGACGCCCATTAAAGAGCAGACGAAATCATATCCAGGTCTGCCCGCTACTTATCGGCAGATTACTGCACCCTTTCCGACGAAAAGGCGTCAAAGGGTCAGGACATCCCCTGAAGTCAAAAATTATGGCAGATCCTGGATGCCTGCTTATTTGACATCCGCTGCTGACGTCGTCTGCCATTTGAAAATTTGACGCCTGCGATACCCTTGTGTCATGCCTATTGCCGACATTGGAAACCAGGCTTGAAGAGTGTCAAATACCCGAAGGTTGAGAGCATCGATTCGCAGTCGTGGATCGGATGGAACGTACGTCATATTTGAGTCTTCCGTCACCTGTGGATTCTCTTTTTCTTCATTCTTCACCCCCACCACCATGGACAGCGGCGAAACACCCAAGCTTCCCGTTTACGCAGGTCAAGTTACAGTAGAGGGGAAGGCGCTGGATGTCTCCGATATTCATGGCAACGTCTCTAAAGACATGAAGCGCGAGAGCCTGTATGTCTTCCGGCATTTCGTAAGTACACAAGGAAATTCGTATGGTGCTGAAGTCGGTGAGCGGATAAAGATGACGAGCGTGAACATCTGGAGAGAGGGCGGAGAGGCGCGTGCGGAGACGATCTTTGAGATCACGGTCGAGAAAGGTGAGTTTACAGACTGGCCTATTAGTTGTTGGCTCATTAGCTATCTTCTAGACATGTGCAACATTCTCGGGACGCTGCATGGTGCTTGCGCAGCATATATTGTTGATCCGTATGTTCGATTCCGCGCTGCTTGTGCCGGAGAGACTGACCGTCAATTCGCAGGTGCTCCGTATCTTCTCTCGTTGTCCTTGGTCGAGCAAAAGGGATAGACGGCACGGGTGTCTCCCAGTCAATGAACCTTATCTGGCACCATCCTGTCCGACTGTAAGTCCTCTTCGTCAGACTTGAAGATTCTCAAACCTGACTTCCCAGAACAGAGGGACGAGACTCCGCATCGTCTCCACCTCTATGTCACTAAAAGGGCGCGTCAGGACTGCACGCTGCGAGGTGGGTCCACCCAACGAATGCCCTGAGGGTGGGAGCTTAATCGACGCATTTACGTAGCTCTGGGATGGTGACAGCCTGTGCGTCTCCGCCGTCCACTCCACAGTGAATCCGGGACAGAAAAGGACCAAAGGGAGGATGTAGAATTCTGAACGGCGAGGTTCACTGAGGTCTGGATCAGCGAACGATCAGTTGGATATCCTCTTAGTATTAGCCGCACTAACTTTGACTTCGGGATGATGCCGGGGATCGTCGAGCTTTCTTGACCTTTCGATGATTTTGAAACCCGTCAGCACCGCTTGCTCAGGCTATTAGCCCCTTTGGTATTAATAGTGACGAAAAGTCTATCTGTGATTGTATATAGATACCAGACGATTAGACATTGGTGTGGCGCACAGCGATTCTCGTGCTCATCGTAAAAGAAACGACTTCTTCCTTGGCTGCGGAACGGTTATTCAGGTAGGGACTGGAGATAAGCGCGAAGCTTCTCCAGTGCTTTGCCCCTATGAGAGATTTTGTGCTTCACATCGGAGGGCATCTCGGCGTACCTATCCTCATTCTGGTCAGAAATCCTAAACTTCTGGGCGAAGTAGGGCGTACGTTTGGTTAAACCCAAGCGGTTCGAAAACCGCATCCCATCCAAACACCTTCGGCCCCCGAGCAGGCACGATCGTGCCTTCCGTCCTTCCCTCAAATATAATGGGTTCCGTTCCTGCGTTAGCGCCCTTAGCATCCCTCCTCTTCGTACAAAAAACTGCGAAGGGCGCACCTGGCCCAGCAGAGTATGCGAACGTGCACACCGCCTCTGCCGCTTTCGTCGGGAAGCCTACAAGGAGGTTGTTCAGGCCTTCGTGTCCGATCTCAGCCATGAAGTGCTTGATGTATGGTCCTGGCAGGCCCTTGAGAGCCACGTAGCTCAGGGCGGTGTCTTCTGTTATACAAGGGCCACCGACCTAGATGATACTGGTTAGGCCGGGAGGTATTTGCAAAGAGAGGGCACAAACGAGCTCAGCGGCGCGTTGACACTTCGCCCGGGCAACTTCGACTGTAGTCCCTTGTATTTCTGGTACTTTTCGACGTGTCAGGTGCAAGATTGGAGGAGGTCGATGTACAGCTTACTTACTATCGAGGTTCTGCGATTCAATCTCTATAGGATTGCCACCTTGCGACAAAATTTCCTTGACCTCTTTCAACTTGTTGGCGTTGCCTGTGACGAACACTTCACATTGATAGGGTTAGAAGGGTGAATGTCTGTAATGATTGACTAGATAAGCGCGTACCAAGAGGTTTGGATGGCGACATTTCGTACAGGGTGTATGAGGAAGTGAGATGCAGAGTCAATAAAGGCGTTGGGATTGCGCCAACCCGCGTCGATCTTATCAGTTTTGATTGGCTCGGGAAATGCCGAGTACGATTAGCGCGCGTGGTAACAAGTTATCGGGTCATCGCTTGCTCGATGTCAAGTATCACTGTATCACCAACGTGTTGGCGCAGTGGTGGTGGTTGGTGGTTAAGACACGATTAGCATTTAGCGCCCGTTGAGAGGGCTTATATACCTACGTACAAAGTAACTAGAATATTCTAGTAAATACTATTCTAAGTAATTGTCCATTAAGGGAAATAAACGAGAATGTACTCGAGGAGTCGGGAGACGACTCTTCGAGGGCGGAATGTCCGAGTACCAACTACTCGGTTCTATTCCGACACAACGTTTCTGGAGAATCGAGTCAGAAAAAGGTGGGTTTTAATCAGGAACGTCGTTGGAGTCATTCATGAAAATTGCAACTTGAGGCCGAACGGCGACAAAGCTAACGAGCGAATGGAAGCTTGGACTCTTCACACCCAAAATGTGGCCTGTAGAGAATACAATTGGTTTGGTTCCTAATACATACAGGTGCTAGTCGTGATGTAGTCCCGAATTATATCCTATCATTTAATCGAGCTGGTCGAATTCAGCGTCAAAGTATGCACGCTCCATAAGCTCGTCAATGGTCTCGAGGTCACGGGCAGCAAGTGCACCAGCGGCGACCTTCGCAGCACCACCGACGACCTTCTTCGCAGCACCGAGAACCTTCTTTAAGAATGGCTCCCGGAGGGCGAGCTCCTCAAGCTCCTCCAAGTCACGCTCCGATAGATCCTCGAGCTCAGGCTCGCGCCTCATGACGGCGAGCCTTGCCCTCTGACCTCCTCGGGGCATGTCATGAGTACTGCCAACACGAGGATCGCGGGCAGCAATCTCCTCGAGTTCCTCGACCTCGCGGCTAGAGAGGGCACCGGCAGCGACCTTCGCGACCTTCTTCGCAACCTTGAGGATACCGAAAATAGGTTCGCGCTCTTCGAGGTCGTCGAACTCACGGGCAGCGAGTTCTTCGAGCTCTTCAAGCTCACGGGCAGATAGGGCGCCTACCGCAACCTTCGCGGCACCACCGGCGACCTTCTTCGCAACGCGGAGGACTTTCTTCAGGAAAGGCTCGCGGAGAGCGAGTTCTTCTAGTTCCTCGAGCTCACGGGCGGAGAGTGCGCCCGCAGCGACCTTCGCTGCGCCACCTACAACCTTCTTCGCGACGCCAAGGACTTTCTTCAAGAACGGCTCCCGAAGTGCGAGTTCCTCAAGGTCTCGCGCCTGGTGGATCGAAGGGATGGTGGCGCCAGCAGCATCCAACGCGGCAGTACTGGTGTGAATGCGGGGCTCATGCGCTTCGATGTCGGAGCGCGCCTCGTGGGTGTGAGCGTGGCCGGCGTGCTCGGCGTGGCTAAGATGACAGTGGACTTATGAGCCAATGGTTCAAGAGATAGAAACTTAAAGTGAACGTACGGAACGTGGAAGGGTGCGGCGAGGGCAGGGCCAGCGAGGAGGGCGGCAACAGCGACAGAGGTGAGTCGAACCATGGTGATTTCGTTAGAGGTGAAGGGTCGTAAGTCGTTGAAAAAGTATTGTTAAGTTGATTGGTTGGCTTGCGATCAACGCAGCGTCGAGTAGATGATAGGATTCTGTTGGGGTGAGACCAGCTGAAGAATTGAGGCTCTGACCCGCCCCGCTTATATAGCTCGTGGTCTACCTTCGAAGTCAGAGTTGTTGGCGCAACGAGTTGCTATTTTCGATATGCGACGAGGGATCGGCGCAGATCCTAGAAAGGATCCGCACAAGAAATTCGAAGGGTTTCTAGGGTCATTAAATGGTGTCATCGTGGCCAAGGTGTCCTTGCACAGAGAAGAGCCTCTCCCGAAGCTTCTCTGAAACGATAACGAGACACTTAGCACACACCCCTAACAGCAGCATAATCCATACCGAGATAAGGAAATTTTCGTGAGCAAAGCAGTCGTACGCAAATCGACCACTTGCATATTTGTCAGGCGAAGGAGCCGAAATAAGGCCGCCGAATAAGTATCTAAGAGGCATAAATCAATGAATCCCTCTCGGTAGACCTACTAGCTCCACACGACGACTTGTGTCAAAAAGCAACGCAGAAATCATAAGTCGCAAGAGCACCGCCAGATGCAGCCGTCGACCATGCAGAAGAGAACGAGACCCAAGCACGGTGCCATCCAAAGCGTTGAAAACGGCGCACAATTATGTCAATTTGGATTTCAAATCACTGAGCCGGGTCGACGGTGAAAACATAGGAGACTCGACACAATTCCTCAGAAAGATGACAGCCGGTAGGCTTAGAGACAGTAAATATACCGGAAAAATCGAGGATCATCCAAAGGCTACGTAGATAGTGTTGGTTGCGAGAGTTGCGGTGCGCATCGATATCACTGCGGTGGCGCAAAAGGCATACTGGTCCGTTGTAATTTGAAGGCAGTGTGCAAGGGTACAGTCGCAAAGAACTGGTCGTATGAGAAAGACGCCGGCCGACTGTGTCCAAGGAGTTGTACGTTTGACTTTGTCATAACTCGGAAGCTCATGAGGAGAGAGAGAGAGGATACAAGCTTTCTCCATCAATTGACTCGACAATCTTCCCACGAATTAGCCTGAGCAACGCGATCACGTGAAAGTCATGCACCTAATTAATCACGCGTTTGAATTGCAGGCGGCGCAGTCCTTGACCACCTCGCTCAGGCTCGCTGAGAACCAGCCAAAACACCCTAATGCAAGGCAGCCACTCCGACGCCGACCACTTTAGTCTCGCACCTCCTGTCTCTCGGGACGGGTTCTCGTACCAAGATGAAAAGTTCTACGTCACTTCAGATCCTCACAAACATCCACGGATGGATGCTGCAGAACTCTATGAACTCCTCACACGTACTACCCCTCGCACATCCGACACGACCAAGGGCACCCGGAAGGGCATGGACTCCATAGGTCCAAAGAAGGATCGAGAGCCACACTTCTACACCGCGCAAATGGCTCACTACGGTTTGAAGGTCCTCAAAACGCGCGGAGCGGCAAAGAAGAAGCTATTGGCTGTATTTGAGGCTGCTGGAGGCGAGCTGGAGGTCCCTGAGACTATACTCGACCTCGAAGAGGAGTTGATGGAAGAGTGGCGCAAGGCCGAGGAGGCTCGACAACAGGAAGTGGATGACGAGGAAGAGACTGGACAGAAACGGAAAGGGAAAGGGAAAGGGAGAGGCGCTGGGCAGGTGAAGAAAAAGAAGCTGGGACACTCTGGTGCCCCGGTCGTTGCGGCTGCATCTACGGCGAATACCAAGATGTCGAAAGCACAGATACAAGATAAAATCAAGCTTCTCCCCATCGACACGTCCCGGAGGATTCTGAGCAGGGTTCTGAACGAGTTTCCTGCCTCAGAGCAGATCATATCGGAGGAAATCACCTCTGTGAGTTCTTCATTTCCCCCGAATATATTCGAAATACAACTTCGTGGGTGTGCTGATCTCCCGCCTCTGCAGGTAACTATGCCCATGCAAGAATGGGCAGGGATCTATTTTGTTGAATTATCACACGATATGGAGCTCCAGTTCCAAAATTCCTACTTAGATACCGTCCTCGAGACGTATCCTTCATCGACTTCTGCCCACCTTTGGGCTTGGTTCGACTTCGGCATCGCGTCAGGTGTGATGCGCTCCGTGGGCCGTGCACCGACGATGCTGAATGAACCCGTTCACGTCGAGTGGCGCGGCTATGATGGCGAATCTCGCTCGCTTTCGAATACCACATTCGGCCCTCGCAATCGCGCCATCCTTGCCTTCCTGGGGAACGGGAGGGTGAAAGCCGAGATGATGCGGTTCGATTGCGAAGGAAAATTCAGTTTTTCTGGTAAGTTTGACAAGGACGAAACCAAGAAGAATGCGGCGAAGCAGAAGGCCACAGTGAAGAAGTGGAAGAAACAGTGGAGAGAGATCAATAAGGAGAACCAGAAGTCGTCCAACTCCATGATGTACGGATCGAAATTCGAACGCTGTGACGAGAGCGCTTTTGAAAGCGACACGACCGACGGACATCATCGAAGGAAGAAAGAGATAGACCTTGAGAAATTTCTGGAGGCGGATGATCGTGACCGAGGGTCCGATGAGGGCTGGTCTGAGGAGGAAGATTCAGACAATTCAGACGACTATTAGTAGCACCGCCAGGCTCCGCTTTATATTAGAACATTAGAGCAGAGGCTGCAAGGCTGGATATTGCGGTATCTTCTCTGCTATTTTTCCCGTCATTTTACATAAAACACTCCCTTCTGATGTCGGCGTCGGCAACGCGAAAGTGTGGCGCATCCCACGATTGGGTGCAACCGAGCACCAAACACGCCCGGGAATTAAAGCTGGAAGACATCCTCATATTCCTTCCACACCACCTTGTAACGGGTGTAACCGCCCTCTTGCATATCTAATCTTACCCATCTTATCTATTGTTTGGCAACGCCGTCAGCGTCACCTTTTATCTCGTTTCGCATCATTTTCCTTATTTCTTAGCACCCGCGTAAACTACCAACGAAGATTCGGTCTGGTTTACCCTGGTGCGCCCGTAAGACTCCCGCTTTGGAACACACTGGCGTTTCACACCTCGACCCCTCTGCCTCCGCGAGACCCAACGCATCCTCAAGTTCGACGTACCCCTCGTTAGTCCTGAACCCATGACAGTTGAATTCGATCGTTCTCAGGGACTCCAACGCCCTCTTTCTTTCGAATCCCGAATCACCATTTTCTCGGCATACGAGGTCCTGTAGCACCACCGCGAGCTCTCTGGCCTGATTCGTCGCTCTCGATCTGTGCAGTGCGAGCTTCTGGACGCCTTGTATCGGTAGAGCGGTGGGAGAGTGAGAATGGAGCATGGATAACGAGGTTGTTGAGAGGCGCAACACCGTTACTTGAGGAAGCAGGTTGAGGATCAGTGCGTCGTCGCAGTGGATTACGGCGCGGCTTCGAACTCTGTCGTGCTGGTAGCACCCGAGCTCCACCTCTCTCACACCTGACAAGTCGGCTTGAAAGGCCAAGTCGAGGAACAGAGGCACGAGCATTTCTGCTTCCGCTTCCGTGTTATTACACAACAGGTAGAACCGGAAGTGCGGGATAGAGGGCGAAGATGGGGAGATGCTAGTGATGGAGACGCCACAGTCTCATGACATGACGGTGAACGACGACGCTGCGAACGTGTGGTTTTGGAGATGGAGGGCGAAGATGCGTGATACAGTGTGCAGGTCTGCGGGGGATGGATGCATTGATAGATGCATTGAATCCCTGGGGTGGATGTCGATCTTGACGACGGCGCTGGGGTTTGGCAGGATAAGTACGTGTGAGGGCAGCGGAGGCGGAGAGGAGGTCGTCAGAGAGGAGGTCGTCAGAGAGGACGAGGGTGGACAGACGAGGAAGGGCGATTGGCATGATCTTATCGACTTCGAGGAGGTGTGTGGGTATTCCCTGGTGCGTGCGTTCGACGTACAGGTGCTCTAAGTGGGTCATCTGCGGGAGCACCTCAAGCAGCTCCCCCAGTTCGAACGAAGGTTTCCTCGGGTTCGCATTGGTGAGGAAAAGGTTCAACCGCCGGAGCTGGGCTACCCAGGGTACGCAGGCAAGCTGAGCACGCGTAGGAGGGGCGCCCGCGCGGTGAGCGCAACCGGGGGAAACGCGACCACGGAGCTGGAAAGCCGCAGGGTCCTGAGCGTCGGGGCGGGGGTGCCGAGTACGGCCCAGTGGTCGTGGAACGGCATATGATTATCCAGCAGCTCGACGTCGACGTGTTGCACACGCGCCCATTCCTTCTTCATTACAAGGAAGATTGTAGGTCTCAGGAATCGAACCGATGACTTAGAGCGTCGACTTTGTGGGATTTCACACGATAAAGCAGCTATCAGCGCGACTGAACCACTAGGCCAAAAGGTGTAACCTAGTTTTTCGTTCTTTGTCTTTTGTCACTCCCAATTCGACAACCGAGGATTCCATGACATATATAATAGCTAGCGTCATTTGGACCCCGATCCAACTGGTGTTGAGGGGGGTTATCGTCTCACAACGGGGAGGGGCTTGCTTCCTTCCCACGCCGTGACAGGGACAGCTGGTCGCGCTGATCGCCAGTCTGCCGACGTACTGCCGCTTTACGGACTTATCGTGACCTAGACTGTGCGTAGCCATCACCCACCTTTGGACTCAGTCGGCAGTCTCCGAAGATCGTACCGAAAGCAGTACACAAAGTATAGCCGTGCATGGACGCGCCCGATGACAGAGAGCGCACCCGCTTCGTCCGGCGGAGCACTTCTGCCCGCCATTTCTCCTTGCCGTATCCCATATAGCCGAGGCGATGAGCGCCGCCCACAGCGCGGGTGAGTCGAGTGCCAGATGGCCCCACTGGCGACAGACTTGTGAGCATCGCCTGAGTTCGTTCAATGGGTGTCCTTTTCGTGGGGCATGTTGCTTCTTTGGGCGCTCATTCCGGGAGATGTGTGGTTGTATACCGTAGGGTCTGTACGCGTCTAGGATCTCGACATTGAAGGAGAATAAGAGGCAGAGGAGGTCTGTTGGGAGAGACATAATGTGGGTCTTCATGGCAGGTGGATAAGGACCCCAGAGCGAGTAGTCATTAGGATCATACCGGACCGAACTTCCCGAACCTTGTGAGAATCTCGGGCCGGCTTCCGTTCATCCCCATCGACACCCGATAGCAGCAGCAAAACAAAGTTGTTCCCAAACGCTCTCAACATCCGAATCCTCCTCAATCTCACTCCGATCTTCCCCACCCGAATCTCAGGGCCTCAAGACTGCAAGCTACAAACTTCAAAGCCTCAAGCGGCTACGGGCTACCTAGAACTGCGTCTGGCACGAACACATGCGCCCAACCTTATTTAAAGCCGGAGAAGGGTTCTCAGGCCTATTTCAATATCTATCACTTAACGCCTATCTCACGACGAAGCACCCTCGCCACATCCACGCCGGGATCACAGGACACGTTCTGGAGATAGCTATCGTTCTATTTCAAGAACGCGAGCGAGGCGAGCTACTTATGTAGACCCGTCGGTCGAGCTTCTGGGTTCTTTTCTGACACCTCTGAGCTCCTACCACCGTCGGTTATTCGACGTTGGTTGGACTTCGACACAGACGGCTTTCCTCAGCTTGCGATTGATAGGTCTGGCGACTGGCGATGCTCTCCAAGATCATCGAAGTCGACGACACGGCTACGACTCCGTTAGAGGAAGAGAAGAGCGCGACAGTGGATGGGGAGAAGATGGGCGTAACTGATTCGAACGTTGCGTCGGACGAGGGGGTGGGCAGTACACCGCTCTTCATGGGCTCGATAAGCAAGGACGAACCTATCGTCACTCGACGCGAGCTCTGGAGTTACTATCGTGCGTTGTCCAAGCTCCTCCTCTCTTTTCTCTCACCCAATATCTCGCAGTATACTACAATGGCGATAACGTACGTTGTCCTAATCCCCAACCCCCACATTTGGAGCTGAATGAAACCATGACCATGAAATCAACAGGGAGTCGGTCCCTTCGGGTTCTCCATGACCCTCTTCCAATCCCTCGCCTTCGCTGCGGGGCACGACCCGACCCAAGGCCCCGGCTCGTCGTGCAACACGGCTGACTCTTCGGGCCAATGCGTCCTCCCCTGGGCAGGCGGCACGAAATCGGTCTCGAGCGTGGTGTTAATCGCGAATGGGGTCAGCTTTGCTGTATGTTTCAATTCTCTACATCGCTTAATTCTCTCAAAATCGAGACAGACCGCTTTTTCGCGCATATATAGATCATGACCCTGATATTCACCACCATCGGCTCAGCAGCGGACTACGGGACGTTCGGGCGCTGGCTCCTGCTCGCCATAACCTGCATCTGCTGGGCGTCCCAGTTCGCCGAGATGAGTCTAACCAGTACGTCTCCCATCCTCCTTTTCCATCTCCCCCCAAAACTCCCATAACATACGCTACATACTAATTCCAATTCCAGCACCCTCCCGCTGGCCCCTCGCCATGGCCCTCTTCATGATAGGCTTCATCACCTACGGCGCCACCCTCGTCTTCTACGCCGCCCTCTTCCCGCGTCTCGCGCGGAACACCGCCCACGCACGCGCGCTCCGCGAGCGGTACGAAAACGGCGAGGTCGCCCCGGAGATATACGAACGCGAGGAGAGCCTGGAGAAGAACCGGATCAGTAATATAAGCACGGCACATAGCAATATCGGGTACATCGCGACGCTGTGCTTGAATTTGAGCATTCTGCTACCGTTAAAGGATCATCCGATGGTTAATAATTACGTGCTGGTTCTGTGAGTCTTCCGGTTTCTTCTCCTCTGGGTACGTTCTTTTGCTGAGTCTTACGTTGCCTTGTAGGACGAATGGATATTGGGTCATCATGGGGATTTGGTGGTGTAGGCTTTGTGTTTTCACCTTCGTGTCATGTATTCCTGATGGAAGGGCCAGTTATCTTCCAACAACCGCGCCCTGGCCCTCCGTTGCCGAAAGGCGAATCTTATTTAACAATCGGGTGGAAACAAGTCAGTCAATTCATTACATTTGGACTGCAAAACGGATGGTGATGCAGTCTCTTCGAACAGATCTGGCTGGCATGCAAGCAATACAAACAGCTCCCATACACCTTCATCTACCTATTCGCTTTCTTCCTCCTCGCCGATGTGAGTCCTTCCCGTACTTTATCGTTACACCCGGACAAAACTCAAGCATATATGTACTCCCAGGGCCTCAACACAACTGGCACCCTTGTCTCGATATGCCAGAACGACAAATTCTCCTTCAGCTTCCTCCAGAACACCTACCTCGGTCTCTCGCAGGCTATCACATCAACTCTGAGCACGTTTGGGTTTTGGTATGTACAGAAGTACTTCAAGATCCCGACGAAGAAGATGGTCAGTAGGTTTCTTTTTCCTGATGTGCTTGAGCGCTAATGGAATGTATGGGGTCAATATTCTACGTACAGTTTGTAGTGACGAACGTCGTCACGATATTGATACCCTTCTGGGGGATGCTAGGTATCTGGACGGACAAAATTGGGTGGGTGGACCCTCCTTAACGGCCTCCGAAGGGACAACTGACCCTGGACCGCTCGTGAACAGGTTCCACAACGTCTGGGAGTTCTGGTGCGTGTAGTGGCTACCGCGCCTTTCTGTGGGAATAAAATCATTGAAACCTGCGCAGGATGTACAACATCGTCTTCGGCCTCTTCCAAGCGCCGTACTACGCTTTTTCGCAAACGATGATGGCAGAGCTTACCCCGCCGGGGTTCGATAACATGGTGCGTTCCCCTTCCCTCTCCCTCTTCCCTCATCCCTCATCTTACCCTTTCGCTCTTCCCTCTAGTTCTTCGGCCTCTTCGGCCTCTCGAACCGCGCCTCCTCCATGATCGGCCCGAACGTCATCCAAGCCATCATCGACAGCTCAGGCAGCAACTGGATGGGCTTCCCCTTCCTCTTCGCGCTCTGCGTCTGTGCGTCGATCGTCATTTGGTTCTTTATTGACGTGGAGAAGGGACGGAGGGATGCGGTTAGGTGGGCGGAGGGTGTGAGGAGGAAGAACGCTAAGGGGGTTGTTGAGTAGTGGATAGGATGGCGCGGATTTAGAGAAGGACTCAGAAGGTGGGAATAAGAAGTTTCCAATTAATTCAATAATGAATGCGGCTGTTTTTAAGGCGAGAGGGAGCTGGAGGATTCATTGAGTCTTGCAGAAGATGTTGAGGTGGTATGGAGAGAGGGACAAAACAATTGTCGCATCATCGGGCAAAGTGACACTTATACTGCCCAATCAATCGCGTGATGCGCCACACTCGCCTAATCGCATCGAGAGTGGCTTTGAGTGAGACTGAGGACAATCAGGATGTTGAGAATGGTTCATGTTTTTTTGTTGCTGCGGAGGATAAAGGATGAATGGAAAACCGGCCCGAGATGTCGGGCTATTTGGTCCGGGCTGATCTCGACTTCCCAGTACTCAGTACTCAGTACTTGACTCTTATCGATGAAAGCCTGCATCGCATCTCTCCCAACAGACCTCCTCTACCTCTTATTCTCCCTCAACGTCGAGATCCCAGACGTATACAGATCCTATGGCATAGAACCAGCGATCTCTCTGAATGGACATTCAAGGAGACCACTTGCCCCACGAGAAGAACACCCATTGAACGAACTCAGGCGATACTCCCAAGTGTGTCGCCGATGGCGCCACCTTGCACTCGACTCTCCCACGCTGTGGGCGGGCCTCATCGACCTCGACCATATGGAATACGGCAAGGAGGAGTGGAGAGCAGAAGTGCTTCGGCGGACCAAGCAGGCACCGCTCTCTGTTATCGGGCGCGTCCATGCACGCACTTTCCTCGACTTGGTGAAGAAGGAATGGACGCGCGTGCGGCACGTCGACGTCGCGCTGCTGAATGGCCTGCCCCTCTCCTACCAGTGGGAGGTGTTCGGCACACCTGCACCTACACTCAGGACCCTGCGGCTTTCCGGTTTCTTGTTTTCATTTCCCCCTGTTACGCTTACCTCGCAGGCGCCCTCCTACGCGTGCTGAGCATCCCTGCATATCCCTCATTCGACCCTCGTGCGACATGGGTCATCCAGCTACGGCGGCTGGACCTGCAGGACTCTACGTTCACACTTGAGCCGCTACTTGAGGTGCTCCCGCAAATGACCCAGCTCGAGCACTTGTACATTGAACGCAAGTACCAGAGAACAAGCATGGACCTCCTCCGTGGTGAGATCGCGCCGATCATTCTTCCTCGCCTAGTGACCTTTGTCCTCTCCGACGGCCTTCTATCCGTCTTCGCCATCCTCGCGCACATTCTACCAAACCCCACCGCCCTCGTCAACATTGACGCCTACACCAGGCACGCAATCCAGCTATCACCTGCTGACCTACACGCCCTATCTCGTATATTCGGACTCCATCTCCAAACCCACACATTTGCAGAATCGTCGTTCACCATCGAGCCATGCAACGATGGTCTCTCCGTCACCAGCGTTTCCCCATCTTTGCCCTCTATCCCGCACTTCCGGTTCCGCCTTCTCTGTACGGACATGGAAATGGAGGCAGATACGCTCATGCCTCTGTTCCTTGATTCGGCTTTCCGGACAAACTTGTCAGGTGTGAGAGAGGTGGAGTTCGTGTGTTACCAGAATGACGAAGCCCGGAGGCGGGCAGTGGTCCACTGCGACAACGCGCTAATCCTTAGCCTGCTTCCTCAAGTATCGGTGTTGCGCCTCTCAATGGCCTCGTTAGTTATGCTCCATTCTCACTCTCCTATCCCTCTCCCTATACAAAGTGTCGAGAAACTTGCAGTGCATAGCACAGGCTACCTAAACCAGGCTCTGGCGCTCGCGACGGCGCTCAGAGCTTTTCTCCGGCCGAGCACACGAGGAAAACAGGTGCTGGGATCGTTGAAACAGATAGAGTTCGACGGCGATCTCTATCGTTGGTTTAGAGATCACGAGGGGTATGGCGAGCTAGAGGACGCGTTGGCTCTTGTGGAGGAGGAGGGGGTGGAGGTGCTGTGGAAAGGAATATCGGAAAGAGTTCCAGCTTCAATTCGACCAGTTTGAATGCTCGGTTGCACCTAATTGCGATGCGCCACACCTCATTGCGTAAATTAACTACGGTGAATAGGTCACAGACGCCTGATTAGGCACTAAAGCAAGTTAGTGTTTTTCCCGGCCAGACGAAAGCTACAGTGTCTGAAATGGCACAAGAAATAATAGAGAAGATTCCATAACCTCCTTCAAGATAATATTCCAATTGTGAATGGTGTTGCTGTAGTTCATGAAGATTGAAGAAGAGCGGTCGAGCCTGACATTGGTAACATCGGCGCCGACTGGGCGGTATTGGGGGCTTGTGTATTTCATGACTGCGCACGAGTCTGAGAGCTCATCCCGTCGCCACATCCCTTGGGAGGGCAATATCTGGAAAGGGACTCCAGCAGGATGCAAGAAAACATTAAGTATTGCTCACAGACAATTCTAGCTATCATCCATCAAAAAGTGTGCTGTATCGATCGCCTCTTCTCGGCGGTGGTCACCCGTTGAAGTATCGCTTTCAAACGGGCTCTCCTCAAGATATAACACGACCTTTCTCCCTATTCTTGCACGCTGCTCTGCGTCCTCGTTTGCCCAATTATACCGCCTCCACTCCGACTTCCAGGCCTTCACTCGCCTCTTCTGCTGGACCAGTGTACGCTGATCTCCTGGAGGGACCAATGAACCGGTGAACGTGTAATTTGCTTCATCACCTTGGATCGTCGCCTGTATCTTGCCTTCGCCCAGGAATACGAGAATACCCCGATTCCATTCGTTGACCAACATGGCTTGTTCGCCCAGTTCACGACCACGCCATTCGATGAGAATTTCCTCGTTGACGGCCGTCGGAGGTTTAGATATCGAGCGCATGACGCCCGATATAATCCCGACGTTGAAATGGGCCCAAAGGTGGGCGGAAGTAGACGAAGGGTAAGTTTCGAACTTGAGGTTGCCGCTACACTCTTTGGGCCATTCGTCTGCGAGCTCTGGAGATCGGACTTTATAGATGCCTGCCCACTCCGAGAGCGGTAATGTAGCCTAGGTATATAGATGTATGACTTCTAACTTATACACAGAACGACCCAATGAACCGCTTGCGTACCACGGGGTTGCTCGACAGCTCCGACAACACCTCTCTCGCTGCAGGCACTCTATCAAGGACCTTATTCAATACTTGGTGGGCCCGTGCTTCCGGAAGATGCGAAATCTTCTGCTTCATTTCGTCCACAGTCATAACGGTGCTCGCTGGTACGCTGTCGGGTGTTGTTCCCGATGCTTCTGCCATTGCAGCAGACCCAGGGTTGGGAACACCGGTTGTCTTCGTGGACCGTCGTTTATGAGTTGAGGAGGAGCGTGCCATTATATCAAAGAAACGTTGTCGTCGTAGTTCAACTGGGCAGTCTCGTAGAGGAAGCAAGTTGGAAGTTAGGAGGATTTCGGAACTACGTGACGGTAGCCGCGTCGATGCGAATTGGGCAGGTGACCGTGTTGGAACGCCAAGCTCGAGTCTCATCTTGGCGCAGCCTCCAATCTTGCGAATATGGGGGCATTCTGCTTTTCTATGTCCAAGTCTAACGGCATAGTAAATGTGGTTCTTTAATCAGAGATAGATAAAAACATAAATTAGTACATGCCTACACTCCGAATCGCCGCCAAAATCCCTACATAGCTCAGACCCTTTGATATTTAGTGCATGTACGAAAGTCGCCTTCCTGCAAGCAGAAGCAACTTCGACGAAGATCAGTCTGACTTGGACGCAGTATGTTCAGAAGCCAATCCCATTTCGCTGGAGAAGCCCTTCAACAGCTTCGCAGCATCGTCTGAATACTTTGTAGCTGCACAAAGGTATCAAGTCAAAAAGGAGCGCTTCCTTCACGAATAATAACAAGACCTACCCAGCCTTTCGAACTTGTCGGCCTTGGTTTTCCATGCACCACACTCCATTTTCTTCAAGTCCAACTCGGATTTCACTGGGAGAAAACGAATTCGTGATTGTTCGCACCGTGGATGGCCGTCAGGCGCCAAAAAAGTCATAACTCACGTTGGGTCTTTTCCTTCTTCATGGCTTCTAGCGTCTGTCGCATTTCCTTCATCTCCTCTGCCTGCCGTCGATTGTCCTCCTCTGAGCGGGCAAGAGCGCTCTTGGCGGCGATCTGATCTTCCAACGCCTTCTTCAGGACAATTTCCATCGCCTCTTTGTGCTGCTCCTCGCTGACTGGTGCGTTAGTTGTTGCCACTTCGGTCGGAGATATCTGTGTCACGGCTGGTGTCGGTGTAGAGGTGGCTGCGGTTGCTGGCTCTCGGGCGGGAGCACTACTGCTGCTCAAGGGAAGGAACATGTGAACGGGCTGAGGGTTGCGTGTAATGCGGTCACGGTTCTGAGTCCCGTCGTCTCGATTTTGTGCGGAAGCGTGGGACAGTAGGTGCACGATAGGGTAGGACTTGAGCAACGGAGTCTCAAGTGGTCCCACGGACGAGGGCGCTTCGACCGGCTTTGAAGATGGGCGGCTGGGCAAAGCTCCGAACAAAGAAACCCGGTTCAGTTTGGATTTCATCTTTGAAAATTTGGATGGGCGTGAAGAATCTAGGCGTGACGTGGATGCGATGGTCTCCTGAACGCCCTCCTGGTTGTGTCTCGCCTTCGCCGCGTCCTCGCCATGTTTTGGGCGCTTCGACGGGGATCCTTCTTTCTCCAAACTAGCTGCGAAACTTCCTGGGCTTGTTAGCTCCCTCCGGATGACCGAAGTGCCTGGTGGGCCCCCTGTCGTTACCAGAGACGTCACAGAAACAGAGAGAGGGCGCTTCCTTTTCCTATTATCTGGGGAGGGCTGGGTAAGTTCAACAGTTTCGCGTTCGCGCTCTCTGCGCTCTCGCTCTTCTTCGAGTTCCGACAAAGCATCTCTATTGGGGCGTATCGAGCGATAGTCAATTAGCAGGTGACGCTTTCGGGCTTCTTCAGATGACAGGCCAAGGTCCTTCATTGTGTACTTCAGGATAAAATCCTTTTTCCAAGAGCACCCTTGTTTGAGATCCTGGCATGCTTTGCAACGCAAGTGGTCCGCGTCATCTGGGAGGCACTGTGTGTGCTTCCGGGAGCAATTGGAGCACGTATCCTGCAGGAGGTCAAGACTGAATATCCGAGCAGAGATATTCGTTTCGCCACTCACCTTCGTCACACGCTCGCTAAATTCTTTAAGCTCCTCCGACGCTGGGCAGAGAATGGCCTTGACATATGTGTCGTAGGAAATGTTAAGATGCTTGCTAGAGTTGCTACTGTTATCGACGCTGATATGAAATGGGTGAGACCATGAAAATTGCGCCTGGACGTCACCTGGATATTTCTTTCGAAGCCGGGCTCGAGGCATTCGGTCCAGTCGTAGTCGCAGGTCTATCCTTTAATATAGGTATCTCTTCGGATAAGTCCAGTAACGTAACAACCATTTCAACGGTCGTTGGACCTAGGTGCTGGAAAGTTGGAAGACCTATTTAGACTTCAGTCGTATTTCGGAGGTCGTGATTGGCGAAGCGGGGTTTGCCGGCTACATCCTTCGTGGAATACTTACATAACCTTCCTCAACTCAACTTTCATCCATCATCGCAAAAATCAACTCTCGCATCCTGGAACTTGGCTTCGGAATACTGAAGACCGAAGAAAATCGAACATGAAGCCCTTCGCTGAGATCAAGCAATTCTTGACTCCTTGACTCGGAAGGACAACGGTGGAAGACAAAAAGAGAACAAGACGAAGAAGATGGACGATACATAAGAAGAAACACTAGCCTACTCTTCGATCGACTCCGGCTGCTGGAGTGAACCGTTCGAGGAACTGGGAAAGCGCCGTCGCACTTTGACAGGTGTGGCCATGCAGGAACCCCGTCAGTCCGGGACAATTTTTTCACTCTGGGCCTATGGCTCTCACAGTCTTCTATTTTGAGAGCAGACTTACCGTCTTAAGCTTGTCTTCGCCTTCCTCTAACAACTAGCTCTCTCGTCGCCACTGCCTACCTGCTCCTGATACCACTTGGCAGCTTGCATCGCCATCGAACAGATCCCAAGTTCAAAGGTCAACGTCCAGGTTTTTTCTTGGAGTTCTTATCATCGTGGCGCTGCCCAGGTATGATATCATACTGTCACCGCCGTTTCACTGCCGCAAAAGATGTTCGCTGTTGAAACGTGTCGATGATCTGCGGGCGCTCTATGGACGGAGACAACAATCGCGATCGGATTGTCAGCTACGCCTTCGCTATCTCTTGATTGCGTCCCGTTAATCCCTTGCGGTGCCATTACAACGATCACAGTTCTCGTAAGTTCGGTCTATAGTTTCATGATATTGCTTCATTTTATGATTGAAACTGCAGAATAGAAAGATAAATATTTTCTATATAACCCCAGATCTTTCCGAGGCTCCGATATCAGCATAACACACACCTGCATCTTCATTCCTCACAAGTAGTCACGTATCCAGAATGGCTAACACCTCAAGCTCGTTATACCCCCAACAACACAAGCAAGCTGTCCGCTTCCCCTATCTCAGAAAGCCCTCGGTTCCCAGCACTTACCACGAAGCTCTCGGTCTTGCCGTGGAGAGTTTCAAAGATGTAAAAAACAAGTACGTTTTTCATGTTATTTGATCCAGAAAAAACGCTCTAACATGAGTGTCAAAAGAATCGATTGGGTCTTTGACATTGCAGGCTACCAGTCTTCTCTCCGCCCGTGTCACCACAAGGACAAATCAGACGAAGAGAACCTCAAGTCCAAACGGAATCTGTACCAATGGGAGACCTGCGGCAACTTCCCTCCGCACCTTAAGAACCTCCCAGTCCCCGATCGCGCTGAGCAACTCTTCATCTTCGACTTCAAGAGGATGTACGATACGCTCCAAGCTGCCTTCCCGCTCGTCCCAGACGTCGACTTCTTTGAGAACCTCGCGCCATCGGCTGAAGGCGCCACAATGAAATACTTAGAGAACCGGAACCGGTTCCTCCATAACTGGACCTCACATAACATGTATGCGGCGGAGAACATCGGCCTGCGCGAGGATTGGTACACCGATGCCGTCTTCGCGCAGCAACAGTTCACAGGTGTAAATCCGACGACGATTACATGTGCCACATCAGAGTGGATCGACGCGTTCCTCCAGGCTGCAAGCCAACAGGAGAACGGCGCTATGGAGAGGCAAATACGGGAGTGTCCCCCTGCGTCGCTCTACATGCAGGACAACAGCAGCTTGAGGGCTGCCGCGGGCAAAGAGCCAGCGGAGGAAATCACATCGACGTACGGCAACCTCTCAGGCACACACCCGCGCTTCGGCTGCGCCTCGGTCGTCCTCTTCCAGCTCTTCCCGAGTGGGAAGCTCCACCCCCTCGCCATCGTCCTAGACTACAAAGGCAGTATCGACGCATCGACCAGTGTTACGATCTTCAACCGCCGCTTGCACCCTGAGCACTCAGCGGTAGACGAGAAGACCGACTGGCCGTGGCGCTACGCGAAGATGTGCGCGCAGGTGTCGGATTGGGCCGTGCATGAATTCGTCGTGCATCTCGTGAACACGCATCTGCTCGAGGAGGCGATCATCGTTGGAGCTCAGCGGAGTTTCCCTGATTCGCATATCCTCATTACGCTTCTCAAGCCGCACTGGAATACGACGCTGTCGTTGAACGCGTTAGCTCGTGAGCTGATGGTACCCCAGATGATATCGAAGAACACGGGGTTTAAGGCAAGTCTTTTATTCTAAAAATAACGCAGGGTCCTGATCCTTTTGGCTTAGCTCCCCGAACTGTACGAAGTATGCCGAAACGCATACAAATCCTTCGACTTCACCGGCTCCTATGTTCCTGCCGACCTCAAGCGGCGCGGTTTCCCACTTGCCCAACTCGACGACCCCTTGGGCCCATTCCACAACTACGCATATGCTCGCAATATTATCAAGATCTGGGACGTCCTTCGCCGCTTCGTGGCCACAGTACTCTCTGCTCGCTACCCCAACGGCGACGCGGATGTCGTCGCGGACGAGTACGTCTCCGCCTTCTGCGCCGAGATGCAGTCAGCTCAAGGTGGTGGGATGTCGACGTTCCCGACTATCACCACGCTTGACGGATTGATCGATATGGTTACGATGTGCATCCACATCGCCGCTCCTCAACACAGTGCTGTCAATTACCTCCAGCAGTACTATCTGACATTCGTCCCCAACAAGCCCGCAGCCCTCTATTCGCCGCTACCTACCTCATTGGAGGAGCTACAGAAATTCGGAGAGGCCGACGTTTCGAATGCCCTTCCGCTCAAGCTGCACAGTGCTTGGCTCCTGATGGCTCAAATTCCATACCTCCTCTCCGCCGAAGTCGAGTCGGAAGACAATATCGTCACTTACGCGGACACGGTTGCGTCCTCACGAGACGCGGTCCTTGCTCAGGCGGGGAAGGCATTGCGTGCCGACCTTACCGTGCTCTCGAAAGTGTTGAGAGAACATAGCAGGGATATGGATGACCAGACGAAGAAGTACGACGTGCTGGACCCGATCGCGGTAGCATCTTCCATCGTCATCTGAGTTGTATTCGGTTATGAATGAAGCATATAGTCGAGCATTGTATCATGTTAGGAAAGTTAGCAGTCTGTAAGAGTGGTTCGGGTATGATTTATCATAATTTATCAAGTTGAAGCAGCTGCAGCCTGGGGTAACGATGCCATATCAATTTGGGAGCTGAAATCCGCCAATAGCTTCTTCACGTCGGCTGATCGCTTGGTTGCTTTGAGGAGGTCATGGACCGTCCTGCACGCATTGCAAACGAGACTCACCTTGGGTTTCCGACGCAGCAAGTTGAATCCGAAGCTGATTGCACTCTTTTGCTTTAGAAGTTAACTCCTTTTTTGCTTCGACGGAATGGAGTGTCAATTTGTGTTTCTTCATGCCGTGTGGCGAGAACTCACTCTGTCGCTGCTCGCTTTCCGATTTGCCAAGACGCTCCTTCAGCTTTTTGGTCTCCTCCTTGAGCTTCTTCAGCTCCTGCTGCTGCTGCTGCTTTTCCACCTCCAGACGGGTGACTGTAAGGTTTGCCGTGTTCTTGTCCTCTATCGTCTTTTGAAGCACGATATCTAAAGCTTCCTGGTATTGAACCTCATCGATCGGAGCACCAAGTTTTGTTGAAGCGCTGCATCCAACATCCGAGACAGAACCACGTTGTACTGCAGCCCTGGTGAGTCGACGTCCTCTCGGGACGTGATCTTCCTTGTCCTAAGAAAGTTTTGTTCTTTTCGCCGGCGGGGAAACTGGGTCGTCCGAGACGTCCACGTATATCTTCTTGCGTATAAGCCTTGTAGGTTGTGGCAAGTCCAGCTCGTTCTCCTGAAATAACCAGCTGTCTATTTCTCCTGGCGCTTGTCGTCTTGATAAAATGGGCTTTACGCGTCCAATAAAGTTACCCGTCGTCATTCCGGTAATAGTTCGCTGTTGAGCAGCCGGAGGTTTGGAGGATTCAGGGGGTGAGAGAGCAGGTGCTTCAGATTCTGGAACCATGGTGGGCGTTATGTACAAGCGGAGCAACGTCTACAATCTGGTTGGGTCACAGTATGTATCGCTGATGAAATCGATGATTGATCTGTCAGTGATCTGAATTGGCGACCCGTATAATTGGCGACCCGTATAGTGGGGCACGTGCATTCTAACACAACCAAAGATGGAAACCTTTTATCTCAGTTCGGCTTCAGAAATGAGCTCGATTGTGGGACAAGGTCCCGATCACTAATGCAAGGGAAGTCCAGGTAGAGAATATTGTACATTACGGGGAAGAGGGGTTGATCATGCATGGACATATCGATCGAGTGGTATGTGTGAAACAACTAAGAATAGCTCAGCGTTTGGAAAAACGGCTGTAACATTGACTAGTACCTAAGAATAGCTAGGTACAGGATGTAAGCATATGAATAGAAGATCATAAACTAGAAAGCTCACCTCAGCGTTTGGAAAAACGGCTGAGGGAGCGCTAACGAAAACGGCGCGGTATAAATGGGCTCGACTGCCCAGGAGAGCCATGTGAAGATAAAACACAAAAGAGCAGCCGATGCATGATAAGAACGGCAACGAGATAACGTAGAATGTTTATATGTACTCTAGATGTGAAGTAGAGTAGACGGAAGTAAAATGAAAGTGAACATAAAGACAAAATACCTATCTGCAAGCATGAGACGGGCCGTGCTGACACGAGCCGCGTACGTGGAACCTGTGCGCTGCTCGGGCGCGTTTGCCTCCCCAAATCCAACAGTATGATCCTAGTCGCGGTAGGAGTTCCATTGTTTAACCGTTCCACAATTATCTGAGTTAAGTGCTGTAAATGACATGTCGGTCGAATGTAGGTAGATTAACCAGTACTGCTAAACAACTATAACTTGGGTATAAAAAATGTGAATCATTGGGGTGATGCTCCAACCATGGGTTTCAGTGTCGTCTCAATCTCGCGGTTGAAGTTTGCCAAAAGTCTCTTTACATCGGCAGACTGGCTTGTAGCTGTAAGAGGTTATGAACGAAGTCAGCTATTTTTGTGTATTAAAAAGACAGAAACGACCTTGAGCCTCCGATGCGGCAAGCTTGGCTTGTAGCTGACTACACACCTGCATCTTGTCTGCCAACTGCGCTCTGACTTTGTAACGTATGCCAGTATGTCAGCCCTTGCCTCCGCGCAACGAGATATATAGAACACGCACTGAATGTCTTCTCCTTTTCCAACCTCGTAATGGACGCCTTCATCCTCTCGGCCTCTTCCGCCTCCATCCTCTCGGCCTCTTCCGCCTTCTCTCTAGCTTGAGCTTCCAGGCGTGCTATCGTGACGCCAGCTGAGTTCTTGTCCTCTAATGCTCGTTGCAACACGAGATCCAGCGCGGCCTGGTACTGTGCATCGTCGGCTGAGGTACCGCGTTTCGAAACGTTCGCTAATGCTGATGCGCAGCGCTTGATATCTAGTGGCGGTATATTGGGGGACTTCGGACTGGCAGAAGCAGAGGTGGGTGATGCAGGATTGGGTGATGGATCCCCTGGCGGGACAACTGGTTTCTTCGTCACATCAGGTCCTGTGGGCGTAACTTCCGCATTGTCTCTGAGCTTCGGCTTCTTCGATGGCGGAGACCGGGGGTCGCTTGCATCCACGCTCTTCTTAGGGCCAGAGGGGATGAATAAACAAGACATGGCTCTCTTCAACGAAGAGCTCTTCCCATGAGGCGCCGCCGCATTGCCCCCTTCGCATGCCTTTTTGGGGGGCTCGGAGCCGTCAAATTGGCCGCTGACCATAGCAATCTGCTTGAGCTGCTTTAAAGCCCCTTGATTATGCCGTGCAGTACGACCGCCACTCTTCTCGTACTTCTCCTCAGCGTCGGTAAGGGATAATCCAAGATTCTTGGCCGTGTATTGGACGATAAAGGATTTCTTCCAAGAGCATGGTCCAGCGTTACCAACCCCCAAACAGGCCTTGCAGCGCCAGGCATTCATCTCATCCTGCAGACACGGCAGAGAGAAGGAGACACATCTTTCGCATTTGTCCTGGAGGGGGTTCAGAGCTTGGATTGAAGGATGAACAAAGGCGACTCGCCTTGGGGTCGCGGCTTGCGAATTCTATCAATTCCTTCGACGACTCGCATAGGATCGCTTTCACGTAAGTCTCATAATTCATGCCGGGGCATTTGCTGTCGTTGGAATAACAAAATCGAGTTGAGAGGTCCAATGCCCACCAAATCTAAGCGCGATAACGTACCTTGCTCGACTCGTGTTTAGATCTTCTCCACTGGCCCCCGCGTTTTTGGATGTCAACGAGGCCTCGCCAAAGGTGGATTGTCGTTCTGTCACAGCCATTGGCGGTTTCAAGGTCAACTATAGCGTTTAGAACCGCAAAATGGTGGACAAAGGAGACATGACCAGGGGCAAGAGGGGAAGCGGATATAGTAATTTGCTAACAGGATCGGGGGACTTCTGATCCGGCGGGCGCTGGATGGTTCTAGAAATAACCGCTATTGAGGCCGAGGTTACTTTCGTCGGATTAACCGAGTACAGTCAAATCCACAAAAAAATCATTAGGCCAAAGTACGAGGAAGCTTTATCCACCTGAAGGACGATATTGTCATTTCTCGGGCATTATGAGCTATCTTCGGAAATTGTGGTGTAGGAGGGAGAGGTTGGCTACGATGCGACGTTGGTTTACGGTGACTGCACGATCACATGATCTGTGACGCGTCTCGCCTAGGACTTAGCTTTCGGATTCATGCATCGAGACTTCACTTATTCTACATTCCGTGTATCATACAGCCTTGGCCTTTATCCATCCGAACTCATACCGACTTACTGTCATTCACTTGGAGCCCACCGCGAGGGGATAAGCCAAAACGGCTGATCCTCATCCCGTACATCCCAATACCGTTCTACCGAAGTCAAACGCCACGTCAAAATCCCGTCGTCAGAAGAACGAGGTTGGCCGTTCTAGGGTACTACCACCGAGAAAAGGAGTACCAGGACGAGTGCCACCAGCTTCCGACATCGAGGAAGACATCGCCGAGGTTGGCTATCGTATCATCAAAGAATCAGCAGATTACAACGAACAAGACGACGAGATCGTTCAAGAGCAGCTTACCAGCAACATACACAAAAATCCACCAAGGGCAGGTAGACGAAACCCCGCAAAAACTTTGCAGACGCAAGAAAATCAGTCAGATCAGTCATCCGAAGCGCATATACTCACTCAATCAGCCGCTGCGAACGTGGTTTCCATAAACACGATGTCATCAGACCCTAGCAAGATGCCCACCCCTGGGTCAAAGAAGAGCCCGGACTGGAAAGGGAAGGTAGAGGAGCTGTTGGAATTTTTCGAAGACTTTGAGGAGTTGGCAAAGGTAGCAAGCTTGAAGGACGAGGAGAAGATGAAGTGGGTGTTGAAGTATGTGGCTGAGAAGAGCACGAGGAAGTTTTGGAAGTCTCTGGACGCCTACAGCGCAACTCCGAAGGATTGGGCTGCTTTCAAAAAGGAGGTTTTGGAGCAGTATCCGGGTGCCGAGGAAGGCGAGGCATACACTGTGCGCGACTTGGAGAAATTGACGAAGGCGACAGCTGAAAAACGCATCAACACGGAGGAACGTTTTATGAAGTATTACTCACATTTCAAGCCAATGGCGAAGTTCCTAGTTGCCAAGAACAAGATCAGCACACTGGACAGTAATCGGTACTTCTGGAATGGCCTGCCCAAGGCGACGAGGAAGTTGATTAAGCAACGACTCGACATGACCGATGCTGCCAGAGATGTGAAGGTTATGCCATCAGTGGAAAACGTCGTCAAAGCAGCACGGAGGGTGTTGGGGGAAGATGCGTTGGTTCCACGAGGAAGGAGGTCAAAGAAGAGCAAACGCAGGCGCTCAAAGAGCAATAGCAGCTCATCGGATTCTTCAAGTGATGGCGATGCTTCTGCGAATGATTCGTCTGATTCTGACAGTGATAGCAACG